TAACCTATATTATTTGGTATTACAATGACTTACACCATAGAGCATGGGTAAGTACCGGTAGGCTAACCCGTGTTATAGGGTTCAATGTGTGTACTTGCACCTATATTATCATGCACATCTAAATTCCAGAGTGATTTCATCATTACAAATACACAGCTCACAATGGCAGCCCTAAACTCTAACATTTAACATTTAAGGGCCATGGAAATCCTTTTTTTACGGGGGGGGGGGTGTAAAATCCCACTACCCCCTACCCGTTGCGCCGCATTGACAGCAGATCGGGTAACAACACGATGTACTCGCCTCACAAAGTGGTGGACACGTCCACTATGACTTCACATTCAATGAATCTGTGTACCCCCACCACACAACACCTCTGTTCTCTTAAAAATGGTATATCAAGCTCTGATGAGTGTTTTTTTTTACCCCGACCAAATCCATTAAAATATTTTATACTTTATACAGGTGCGACACTGCATATGCCTTTTGGTCTGTCAGAAAAAAAGGCAGGGGAAACAATGTATTTGAAGAAGTAACACTAGTCTTTCCAGGACTAACTGAGGTACCCCAGTTTATACCCCAATTCAGATATTGCTGCAGTTGAAAGGTTAACAATAATTCTACAGACGACAAAACCAGTAACTGGGTTAATATAGATGAGGCAAGAATGCATAGTGTAAGAAAACAAAGGGTTTGCCAACAGTAACTTCCAACTATAAAGGCGGCCCTACTCCAACACATTAAACAGCTATCTGAGGTGGATTTTATTATATGAAACGCGGTCAAAATTTTTCACGTTGTGCATATTGAGTATCCCCCCCCCCCCCCCATTTTAAAAATGGATGCCGCGCCTCTAAAAGGGTAGGTTTGTGATGGCTTAAAATTGAAAAAAAAGAATTTTTTTATGAATATATTGTCTGAGTGGAATTTAATCCATTTATGAAAGGTAGGCACGACTTTCTTTTATAGGGACATCATGACTACCCCCCCCCATTTTATTATGGCTGCCACGCCCCTAAAAAGGTGTGTTTACGATGGCTCCACTTGTGATTTTTTTCTCGTGAGTATTAATGTCTGTGGGAATAGCTTCATTCGTTTATGAGATGTGGACACATTTTTCCCATGTTGGGCATAATGAAAACCCCGCCCCCCTTTTTTTCAATATGGCTGCCACGCCCCTAAAAGGGTGTGTTCGCGATGGCTCCACATCTGGAATTGTTTTTCTCATGAATGTCAATGTTTGTGGAAAGTTCCATTTCTCTATGAGTGTGGGAACAATATTTCCAGGGTGGGCATAATGAAAACCCCGCCCCCTTTTTTTTCTTATATATGGTTGCCACGCCCCTAAAAGGGTGTGTTCGAGATGGCTCCACAGCTGGAATTTTTTTTTCTCATGAATATAAACGTCTGTGGGACGTTTTATTCGTTCATGAAATATGGGCACTATGTTTTTCAAAGTGGGCATAATAATTACCCCCCCCCCTTTTTCTTTTAATGGCTGCCACGCCCCCAAAAAGGTACTTTTGTGGTGGCTCCGAATCTGGAAGACACTAATAATCTATATAATTATATCTTTGTAAAGTTTCCTGCTTTTGTAACAAGTGGGAAAAACCGTTTTCAATGCGGGCACGACAAGTCCCGCCCCCCTTTTTTAAAATGGATGCCACGCCCCTAAAAGGGTAAATTTGCGATGGCTCCACATCTAAAACATTTTATCGCATGAATATAAACATCTGTGCCAAGTTTCACGCTTTTATGCAAAAGTGCACAATTTTTTCACATATCCGCTGGACTATAAAGGGCCCTAGAGCACATTCCCACTCGATTTGGGGACATATGTGGCATTTTAAAGAAAAATGACATATGTGGCATTTTAAAGAAAAATGACGCCAAAATTTGGGGTAAAATTTAGCAATAAATATGATTTTTTTTATCAATATATCGATGATTTGTGCCCAAATCTTCCAAATTGGTCTTGGTTGGGTATTGATTGATGCTCCTCTTGCATCCAAACTTGAAACTTGCAGGGAAGATGCCTAAAGGGCTCTAGAGCACATTGCCACTCGATTTGGGGACATATGTGCCATTTTAGAGAAAAATGACGCCCAAAATTTGGGGAATATTTTATAAAATATATAATTTTGTTCTCAATATATCAATGATTTGTGCCCAAATCTTCCAAATATTTGGTGTTTGAGTATTGATTGATGCTCCTCTTGCATCCAAAGGAATTGGTGCGGTGGTTGGAGAAAAGTCAATTTTTGGCCAAATTTTGGTAAAAATGTAAGGTTAACCCCTTGCAATTTTTTCAAATTTGGCCAAAAAAATGAAAATCCTTGAAACTTGCAGGGAAGATGCTTAAAGGGCCCTAGAGCACATTCCCACTCGATTTGGGGACATATGTGCCATTCAAAAGATAATTGACGCCCAAAATTTGGGAAAAATTTTGTACAATATATAATTTTTTTCTCAATATATCAATGATTTGTGCCCAAATCTTCCAAATATTGAGTGTTTGAGTATCGATTGATGCTCCTCTTGCATCCAAAGGAATTTGTACGTAATTTGGAGAAAAGTCAATTTTTTGCCAAATTTGGGTAAAAATGTAAGGCTAACCCCTTGCAATTTTTTCAAATTTGGCCAAAAAATTGAAATCCTTGAAACTTGCGGAGAAGATGCCTAAAGGGCCCTGGAGCACATTCCCATACTCGATTTGGAGACAGATTTGCCATTCAAAAGAAAAATGACGCCCAAAATTTGGGGAAAATTTTGTAAAAAATATGATTTTCTTTCTCAATATATCAATGATTTGTGCCCAAATCTGCCAAATATTGAGTGTTTGGGTATTGATTGATGCTCCTCTCTCATCCAAAGAAATTTGTACGTAATTTGGAGAAAAGTCAATTTTTGGCCAAATTTGGGTAAAAATGTAACCCCTTACAATTTTTTTTTCAAATTTGGCCAAAAAATGAAAATCCTTGAAACTTGCGGGGAAGATGCCTAAAGGGCCCTTAAGCACATTCCCACTTGATTTGGGGACATATGTGCCATTCAAAAGATAATTGACGCCCAACATTTGGGGCAAATTTTGTAAAAAATATGATTTTCTTTCTCAATATATCGATGATTTATGCCCAAATCTTCCAAATTTGGGGTGCTTAAGTATTGATTGATGCTCCTCTTACATCCAAAGGAAATTGTGTGGTATTTGGAGAAAAGTCAATTTTGACTAAATTTGGGTAAAAATGTAAGGCTAACCCCTTACAATTTTGTCAAATTTGGCCAAAAAATGAAAAATCCTTGAAACTTGCGGGGAAGATGCCTAAATAGCCCTTGAGCAAATTCCCACTCGATTTTGGGACAGATGTGCCATTCAAAAGAAAATTGAGGCCGAAAATTTGGGGAAAATTTGGTAAAAAATATGATTTTTTTTCTCAATATATCGATGAATTATGCCCAAATCTTTCCAATTTGGGGTGTTTGAGTATTGATTGATGATCCTCTTGCATCCAAAGGAATTGGTGTGGTATTTGGAAAAAAGTCAATTTTTGACTAAATTTGGGTAAAAATGTAAGGCTAACCCCTTGCAATTTTGTCAAATTTGGCCAAAAAATGAAAATCCTTGAAACTTGCGGGGAAGATGCCAAAAGGGCCCTAGAGCTCATTCCCACTCGATTTTGGGACATATGTGCCATTCAAAAGGATACTGACGGCGAAAATTGTGGTACATTTTAGTAAAAAACAGGATTTTTTTTCTCAATAAATCGAAGATTTGTGCGCAAATCCTCAAAGTTTTGGGTGTTTAAGTAATGATTGATGCTCCTCTTGCATCCATAGAAATTGGTGCGATTTTGAGAAAAGTCCATTTTGGGCCAAATAAAAATGTAAGGCTAACCCTTTGCAATTTTGTCATTTAAGCTGTATTTTCGTTAAATCATATTAAATTGATTATTCAAGTGTTTCCGTCGATTTTCAAACTGTTTGATTCCTATATCCAGAACAATAATTGTACGAAATTTCATTTTAGTGCAATGTGTTTTTCTTAAGTTATCATCTCCACAGAGTGCTTTAGTTTTGTTCACTTGAATTCGGATTGAATTTTGCTATTCCCACCTTTTTTTGGACGGATGTGCCATTCAAAAGAAAACTGGCGGTCAAAATTTGGGTATATACATTTCAGTCAAAGATGTAACTTCTTTTCCTCAATAATTCCATGATTTTTGCCCAAATCTTCAAAATTATAGGGTGTTTGAGCATAATTGGATGCTCCTCTTGCATCCAAAGGAATTTGCGCGCTATTTGGTGAAAAGTCATTTTTTTAACCAAAGTTAAAGTAAAACTGCAAGGCTATCCACTTGCCATTTTTTTCAATGTTGGCCATAAAATGAAAATCCTTGAAACTTGCAGGGAATGTGTCCTTTCGATAACGGTAAGGTAAAATCTCGAAGTTTCGGGAAAAAACGTTCAAATGCAGAAAGCTTTTGTTTAATCAATACATTTCAACAAATTAAAACAGTTTAACGAATTCCATTCTCTTTTTTTCATTGAAAAATCTGATTGGTAGGCGCAACATGCATTAAAGCGAAATTTTAACACAACTTATAGGTTTTCTTTCAAATTTAAACCATGATTATTAGACTTAAACAATATGGGGTTTTGCCATTCACCGACGTATAAACACTGCATTACCTCCCGAGATAACACACTGTACAAGCATTACATTCACAGTGTGGACTTCCGAACAAAAGAGGTCCACACAAACCAGGTAGCAGCGACGTTGTGTGGACTTGCCCATGTCCACACAGTGTTTCCTCCTCTCTGGAAAACAGGTTTAGAGGCATTTTTGGGTTAGGTTTATCCGTGGCAAAATGAAGAGAAACACTAAAGGGAATCATAGAAACAAATTTGGGTTGGAAGAGTTTTCACAGTGCGAGTGAAATGAGTTTTTTTTTCACAGGTTTTTCTTAACTACACGAAAACAAAAGAATGTCCACATTACGTACCGGTATGTAACGTAAACATGTCTGAGTACACAGTGTTTATACGCTGGTGAAGGGCAAAACCCAATATTGATTTACATCAACCCGACGCAAATTCCATCTTATGAATAGACTTACATACTTCCGAGGAGATCATTTTGAAGACACCTTTGTTAAATTGTTGTCTTTGAGGAATCATTCGTGTCTAAGAAAGCTAAATCGCATGCAATTGCACAGTTTGAAAGTCACATTATCAAGATAAAAATAAACGACATAGAAATTCGAGTTTGCAAAAAAAAAGGTTGACCAATTTCCCTAAATTACAGTACTTTACTTTTAGTACAAAACTGTGCAGGCGTTTTTTCAGGTTTAGATGTGACAATGAAAACATAATTATCTGACTAAAACAATATTTTATTTCGTTTGTCTTCTTCTTCCGCCCTCTTTTGCACGTGGCCATAAATGTCCCCAGTTACTTTCAAAGTGTACTTCATGTCCATGAGACCGGGGTAGGGTTTCCCGGCGGCCGCTCCATGTCGCTGGATGCTGGGAAACTCGCTGTCCTTCATGCGATGCGACGCCGTGATGAACAGCAGCCGGTCGAAGAACTCCACTTCCTCCCCCTGGTACTTGAACATCCCCTCCGTGAGCTCCCGGATGCCCGTCTGCACCTGGTAGTTGGAGATGATCTCCATCTGCGGCGGGAATTTCTCCTGCAGCATGGCCAGCCATTTGACCTTCGACATGACGATTGGTACAGTCTCGATCTCCCACTTGGCATCCACCTTGATCTCCTGCAAGCTCCGGATGATTTTGATGTACGGCTCGTCTGAGTCGTTCTCGATGAACCGACGGGATGCCTCGCTGAACACCGGCAGGGTGCTCATGGGTCCCGGTCGGTGGATGATCAGCACCTTCCCGGTGGGACTCAGAGTCCGCATAACATGCGAGAAAGACTCAGCCAGGTTCGTGAGATGCTCCACGGAATCCTTCAAGATCATCTTATCAAAGGGAGGCTCTTTGTGGTCCCGGACCAGGTCTTCCGAGAGCTGCCGGAAGTACTCCTCCGCACCGACGTGGCAGATCTTAAAAGGCAGCATCCTCTGGTTTGGGGTCTCCTGGTAGTGGATCAAGCCGGGGAAGATGTTGACCATGGGCTGAAGGAGGCAGAACCTCTCCTTGATCTTTTCGGCCAAGGAGCCCTTGCTTCCTCCCACATAGGCCAGCCGGTCGTGGGTGTCCAACTCCAGATGCTTGTGGATGAGCTTGTAGAGGCTCTCTTCGTAGACGTCTCCGAAGCTGTAGATGTCTGCTAGAGAGCCTTCGGCGTTCTCCTCCTCAACCCGAGGAGAGCTGAGCTGCAGCTTGTCCTGCCAGTGCTCGCTGATGACGGCGAACGGTTGAGGCTGCTTTGGTAGAACCAGCGGTGCTGACAAAATCTTGTTCCCCGTCGCCATGTTGTTCGTTTGCCAGTTGTAGGTTTTTTTTCCCAAAAGATGGAGTTCAACCAAATGCGAAGGGACCCGAATCATGTAAATGTCTCTCTGTTGGATGCTACAGTTGTTGACACTGGTTAGATAAGGAGGTCTGACAAATTTGAAATTGTCTTTGAATTAGTTTTGTCGCAGACCAAAAATTTACATTTAAATGTTCAATGGGCGTTGCGGGTTTCGGCCTGTCGGAATTAAAAGATTCATTAAATGCATCAAAGCTCACAGTTGCTAAGCCTTCTTGAAACATTCACAAATTTGAAAATTGCCAGTATTTGATCTGAAAGTTCAAAGTTGCACCAGTGTTTTTTTTAATCTCGTTTCATAATAATGCGTCCTATTTCTGCAACATGGGTAGATAACGAGGCCTTTATCGTCTTTGGAGAGTAATTAATCATGTGGTAATGAGACAAGCTCAAACAACAGTCGCTGAAAATGAACTCGCCGCCAGAGAAAACAAAGTCATCGATTCTCCACAGAGTTGAAGCGGGACAACCTTTGTACACGCTTCGCAGGTACGTGTTAAAGATCATCAGTTGATATACTCATCCACCGCTGATAATGCCGATGATACAAGTAGTGCTCTGACGTTGTTCCTCCGTACGATAGCAAATTCTCGCGAATAAAATGTTAGCGTGTCACTGACGGAAGCCAAGAGGAAGGGTCTCCATGCACACGAGCACGCAACAAACACCGTAACCGCAAATCTAATTTCCTCGTCTCCTACGCGATCATTTTTTATTCAGTACGACAATTACAGTCACAATAGGACGTGCGAATCCTCAACTGACTATATTTTTCTCTCACTTATTATATATGATTTACAGTCCAGCATATGTGCTCCAATTCGCTCCAAATCCATGTACATTACTTTGCTCCAAGGATGTGCATGTCGGTGGAACGATTGTCTTTCTTCGCCCTTCACTCCTGTTCATCCAGAAACTATCAGTTCGTTGCAATCTTAAACATCATCTTGAAGAATCGTAAACATCTTTTGTAATTGGACATGGAATCTTTCAGGCCAGTAGGTCAGTGGTCCATATCAGCCTCATGGACGAACACTACGGCTCGAAGTCCTGGAGGAATCGTCAATTAGTGCCGACTATCTCAAGGCGATATCTACAGCAGCAACGATCATGTTCCAAGTTGAAGTAGGGCTACTGTCTCCCCCCTCAAAGCAAAACACCGCAAGTCCGCAACAAACTTCTACATTAGCTGTCAATTCCCCATCAAATACACCAATTATCACTTGGTCAACACTCGGTCAAAATGTGATCCCGACTCGATATTAAAGTCCGTTCGCCATCTAGAAGCCGATTAGAGAGTGTATACCAGCCATGCTAGCCACCTGTTGTATTCAACCTAGTTTTGTTGAGCTCTCCAAAAGACCCCCACTACAAATCGATTCAGTGGAACACTATTATCATACGCAAATAAAAAGACTTGTTATGTCTGAAAGCAACACAGAAAGCCTCAATAGTCTGCATGTATAAGGTTGTTTGGTTGGTTTCTGCGTAGCTCTATTTGATCAAGTGTTGGCGGTAGATAATAGACTGGTGACGCCGTTGCCATGGTGCGCGGAGCAGCGGGGTCGTCGAGCTATTGACTTGCGCCGTCACGGTTCGTGGGTATAGCTGTGTATTATCAGCCGGAAGAGGTCGCACTTTCATTAAAGGGAAAATACAACATTTGCAAACATCAAAAAATAATACTATCAAATCATTTTGAAATACCTTGCTGGACTGTTAGTGAATGACAGTGTAAAGCATCCTGTAAAATCATGGCACCTGGTATACTGTCATTTTCAAGAAAAGTGGTATTTTTGTATCAATTTCCAACGCTGATCGGCCAATCAGCGTTGGAAAAAAACTGGCTTTGGAACCAGACTACAGGAAAATGATTGTTTTTCTTGGTTTTTATAGCATTCACGAACCCAAAACCTCAAAAAAGTCAGTGTAACTATATTTGCTACATATTTCCAACCCCCCAATTCCATCCATTTCTGAAAATTACAGCAAAAGCAAATGATGTATATTCCCTCGGCAGAAAGAAAAGACTAACTGCTTCAAAGATATGCTTAAATTAGTTCACTTTAAAATGCGTGTCATGAGATTGCAACACAAATTAAATCGGAGCTTAAATTCAATCAGAGCTTATATTCATCAGCCCTTCCAATCGTCGTCGGGGGGGGGGGGGGGGGGGGTACGAGCGAAGATGATGATTTGTATACCTACACATGCCCAAACCGGTCCATTTAAACATGCGACAAATGTAGCAGTAAACATAGAACCAATTTTAGAAATCACAGGCCTTTTTTTTAAAGCTCTGGCAGGAGCGGTCGGTCGGTCTGTCTATCTGTCCCCGAAAATTGACCAAAAGTATGGTGTTTCATATGTGCCATCGGCGTCGCATTTTTGGCGTTGCATTTTTAAGCTCTGGCAGTGATCATTTTGATCGATTTCATGCAAGACTATCATGTGAGACTTCTTACAAGCACAGCCAGAGCTTATTCAGTTATTGTGCACTTGCACTTGTTTTTAGGTTGGGCTGAAATTACCATGACACTTTGGAGATTTGTACATGTATTTGGAAGTGGGGTTTATTTTTGGGGGGGGGGGATAAGTAGTTTAGTGAAAAAAAAGTGCCACATTTTTATTCATTTGTAAAAATGGTAACAAGTGAAAGAGGGTGTTATTACATCTAGTGGTTGTAAGGTGCTGGAACTTTACTTTCCAAAAATGTGCAAATAAGCTGTGGGGACCCCCCCCCCCCCCCCCAGATGTAAATACCCCTCGAGTGCAATATACACCACCGAAAGACGTGGCCAGTAGACATATTAACAAAAACATATTCACCTAAAGGTCTCTGGAAGTTCCTATACCATTATAGTAAATCACACACGATGACCAACAACTTAAACAACAAATATCAGTTTTGCAGTGAGTACTAAATAAGACAGAATTTATTGCAATTATGCTTTTTAACACTGCTTAAAAAACCCAAATCCCATGAAAACGTATCGAGGAGTAAACACCAAAGTACAAGGTGCAAAGCTAGAGAAAAATGATCAGTATTTTTTTGACAAATTTAAAATCTTGTGATAGTCTTATGAATGGACCTGTGACTTGTGATTTCCTTATGACTTATGATTTCCTTGTGGCTGGACTTCTGACTTGTGACTTGACTTGTGATTTCCTTAGGAATGGACTTGTAACTTGACTTGTGATTTCCTTATGTGTTGACTTATGACTTGTCTTGTGATTTCCTTGTGGCTGGACTTCTGACTTGTGACTTGACTTGTGATTTCCTTATGAATAGACTTATGGCTTGTGACTTGACTTAGGATTTACTAATGAATGGACTTGTGACTTGACTTGTGATTTTCTTGTGGTTGGACTTCTGACTTGTGACTCGACTTGTGATTTCCTTATGAATGGACTTGTGACTTGACTTGTGATTAAATTGTGGCTGGACTTCTGACTTGTGATTTGACTTGCGATTTCCTTAGGAATGGACTTGTGACTTGACTTGTGATTTCCTTGTGGTTGGACTTCTGACTTGTGACTTGACTTGTGATTTCCTTTGGAATGGACTTGTGACTTGACTTGTGATTTTCTTGCGGTTGGACTTCTGACTTCGTCTTGACTTGCAATTTCCTTATGAATGGACTTGTGACTTGTCTTTGATTTCCTTAGGAATTGACTTGTGACTTGACTTGCGATTTCCTTAGGAATTGACTTGTGACTTTCTTGTGATTTTCTTGTGGATGGAATTCGGACTTGCGACTTGACTTGTGATTTTCTTACGAATGGTCTTGTGACTTGACATGTGGTTTTCTTGTGGTTGGACTTCTGACTTGCGACTTGACTTGTGATTTCCTTGTGGCTGGACTTCTGACTTGCGACTTGACTTGTGATTTCCTTGCGGCTGGACTTCTGACTTAGGGCTTGACTTTGGATTTCCTTATGAATGGACTTGTGACTTGTCTTGTGATTTCTTGTGGTTGGACTTCTGACTTGCGACTTGACTTGCGATTTCCTTAGGAATTGACTTGTGACTTGTCTTGTGATTTCCTTGTGGTTGGACTTCTGACTTGCGACATGACTTGTGATTTCCTTATGTATTGACTTGTGACTTGTCTTGTGATTTCCTTGTGGTTGGACTTCTGACTTGCAACTTGACTTGTGATTTCCTTATGAATGGATTTGTGACTTGACTTGTGTCTTCCTTGTAGCTGGACTTCGGACTTGCGACTTGACTTGTGATTTCCTTACGAATGGACTTGCGAATTGACTTGTGATTTCCTTATGAATTGACTTTCTGACTGGACTTGCGACTTGACTTGTGATTACTTTGTGGTTGGACTTGTGATGGACTTGTGTTAGATTTGCCCACAACACTGGTAGACTGGTCCCAAAAAATACACCTTAAGATTAAAATTATTCCAATTTATTTTTGAGTTGACTATAAATAATTGAATAAAATAAAAAATATTCTAACAGTCTAGTAGTCGTCATTGTCTGAATCGTCCGCTTGATCCCGACCCCCAGCAAAGCTGACCGTTGTTCTTGTCGTTGGCTGAGGCTTTTCTTCCAACGTCGTTACCACGGCGCCCATTTCAGATAATTTCCACTCCAACTCTGCCAAGACATCAGGTAAAGACAAAGAATTTCAGTAGAGTGCCCTCAGTTGGCGAGGAAATTAAGACAATTACAAATCAGTGGTGAATAAAGTCCAAATCTATTTCACAAGAGAAGGCAAAAAAAACACATCTGTTTCCGATTACATGCCTTTCAAAAATCGGTCAGAAATTTTGTTTTTGGCCAATTTTTTTTATGCAGATTGATTGGGGTATTCAATTATATGCAAAGTTTTAGCCTGAACTATTTCCATTGCACTACAAAAGCTATACACAAAATGGCCACGAAAAGTGAATAAAACCTATCTTATTTATTATCAATATATTTACGTTCGATAATTATTTTAAAATAATGGAAAATTCAGGTCGTTCGCACCATATGCACAACGCTAGTCAAGACTGGAAGCTGGCCAAAACTCTGAAGTGTGTGATGCACTGTGCCATGTGTGGTGCACGGCCGACAGACCTCGTTTTTACGGTCGAAAATTTCGGGAAACACGCTGCATGTATCACTCCAAATACGAGTAGTGCGATTTCAAAATGAGCTCTTGAACTCTTTATTCAATAATTATTTTATTTTTATTTTGGAATTGCCGATAATTTTTTTAGGGTTGCAGCCTTAAATAGGGTCGTTCGGGTAACCGGAAGCAGAATTTTTTTTTTTTTTTGGCCTTAGACACATCATCCAGGGCAATGCATGACCTCCGCAGCGTATGACGTAACCACTTCTACGGCGTATGGCCATTCAATGGCAGTCTTTGCATGCATCTGCTGTAAACAATAAGCCGGATTTAACCTATTATGGGGTAATCCTATACAATAGCACTGCCCGGCTCTTTTTCACCAGCCAACAACCAGACTACGTCACAAGTGACAGTGAGTTACTCAATCAATAAGTGAGTGCGTTCAGAACATACAGGATTCTAGGCTGGCTCTCTGAGACCAGCAAAAACTACCAGAATACCATGATTACTTTTCTAGGCAACTAAAGTTTACCTACCTTCTAGTGTCAAATTCATGCCACCGAAATCGATCGGTCCTACGATCTGCGATTTCATGTCGCCCTCGAAGTACACAAACATGGTGGGGAGGTTCTTGTCTGGGTAGTTGGGGATGCAGGTGCTGGATATGCTCTTGAGGAACTTGGTGGCTGGAAACTTGGCGGCGAGTTGCGCGAGGTACTGGTTGATGAGGGAGCAGAGGGGAATGCTGGCCGAGGGAAATAGCGGACATTTTGGTTTTCGTCCAAAAAAGAAATTGACTGGAGCAGGGTTCGAACCAGCGACCTCCGGACGACTAATCCGGTGATCTACCAACTGAGCTATTCAGCCCTATGTTGGCGGCTTCTCATTTGCAATTTCGTGGGTTTGCAACATTGCTAATGCAACATTGCTAAATCCCTGCTTCATGGCATTTACAGGTTTATGGCTTCTGACTAGTGCCTCTTGAACAAAGACATGGACTAAATCGGGAGCCAGCAACATAGGGCTGGATAGCTCAGTTGGTAGAGCACTGGAACGGTCATCAGGAGGTCGCAGGTTCAAACCCAGCTCCAGTCAATATTTCCTTTAACCTTAACCGTAACTGAACTCAACCCATTAAAGGTCAACAGCAAGTTTTGTTTAAATCTGTTGGGATAGGTACAGTACCCCTAAACTGATGGTCTTTTACACTGGGGTTGGCATACTTAAGTCCAGAAATTAAGTCCAACAGTGTGTGTGTACAATTTCCCATGCGGGTGTTGGAATTTGCCAGAATGGGTATGGTTCCTAATAAATTAGGCTGGGGAGTTAGGGTTAAATAATTACAATTTACTTCCTCAGTTTCCCTTTGTGGTTTCTTTGAAAATATTTTTTGTGTGATTTTGTGGGCATTGCTTCTCGATTTGTAGTCAAGTGACAAGTTAATAAGCAGAAGTCAATCATAATTCAAATCACAAGTCAATCATAAGTTAAATCACAAGTCAATCATAGTCAAATCACAGGCCAATCACCAGCCAAATCACAAGTCATTTACACGTCAAATCACAAGTCAATCATAAGTCAAATCACAAGTCGATCATAAATCAAATCACAAGTCAATCATAAGTCAAATCATAGGCCAATCATCAGCCAAATCACAAGTCAATCACACGTCAAATCACAAGTCAATCACACGTCAAATCACAAGTCAATCATTAGTCAAATCACAAGTCAATCATAAGTCAAATCACAAGTTAATCACACGTCAAATCACAAGTCAATCATAAGTCAAATCACAAGTCAATCACACGTCAAATCACAAGTTAATCACAAGTCAAATCACAAGTCAATCACAAGTCAATCACAAGTCCAATCACAAGTCAATACACGCTGAGCAAAATGAATCAATTGAGTAGCCTACCATTCACAAGCAATGCACATCAAACATTTTGGCTGGTAACCTATTTGTATCGTTAAGCAAATGTTGTCCACGCTGAGCAGATTTCTATGCATAACACTCCACCTGTTTTGAATGACTTACCCCTGTTTGAAGAGATGAAGAACAACCCATACCCCTTCCCCGGCCTTGTTGACTTCTTGCACATAATCCTGGGCGGATATTTCTTTGACTTCGCCGTATTTCGCTTTCCCTTGTAACCTCTTGATTTCTTCTATCCTTTGTTGTCTAAAGTCAAAAGCACAAATACAGATATTAGCCTTACTAATAAATGGGACTTTTTCCAGGGCTTATGGGCTGTTGGCGATTTTTTTTTCCTAGGAGGGTTAGGGGCAATGTCATGAATAATGCAGTTTTTCCTTTGAATCATTGCAAGACTTAGGTTCTCGTTCTATTTTCCCCTTAATTTAAAATTATCTCAGCGATAAATTTGTAGAAGAAAAATAGCTGATGAAAATGAGCAGCGATGACGTGGATTCGAACCAGGGATCCACTAGGCTAATGTGGTAGCTCGACGACAACCGTTCTTTAACCCTTACTCTCTGAGGGTAGTTTACTGCATGTCAGTTGGTTATGCCAATGCCCTCCAGCTGCAGTTTATTGGAGGATACTTTGATGTAGCAGTGAAGGCTCCAATTGGCAGGAGTTGGAGGCCCTGGAGGGTGCCTGATACTGACCAGCTGGGGGCACTCACTTTGTTATCAGAGGACTCTCATTGTTCTCTGTGGCATGTATTGGAGTGCCTGTCCAGTTACCCTTGAAATGACATGGCAGATATTGGAGGGCCATGCAAAAAACATAGATTTTCTTGAGGCACAATTGGCATGCGTTGGAGGGTCTAGTAGGGTAAGGGGTTAAAATGCTTTAATGTATTGTAACTAGTTGAGTAACTAACAGCAATGCTGTTGATGTCATTGTCCGTTCTCATGGATAAACATGAATTATTCATGACATTGCCCCTAACCCTCCTAGGAATAAAAATTACGAGGGCTGTCGTCCCATTGTGTATGGCATATTTCCCATTGGCTTATGGGATGATTTCCAAGAGATTATGGGCTGGTTTGTCCCATGGCATATGGGATATTTTCCATTGGCTTATGTGATGTTTTCCGATAGCTTATGGGATGCTTTTGCATGGATTATGGATTATTTTCCCCACAGTCTATGTAATGTCTATGATTATGTAATGTTTTTTTTTGGTTTGTGGGATGTTTATGGATGTTTTCCTATGGGTTATGAGATTTTTCCCCCCATGGCTTATAGATGTTTCCGCATGGCTTATACATGTAGACATTTTCCCATGGCTAATACATGTAGATGTATTTCCATGGCTTATAGGGTGTTTTCTGAGGGATTCTCGCCATACCTGTATCTTAAGAGGACTTCTTCATCTTCATCATCTTCCAGTTCATCCAACTCATCTAAGGTCATGTCTTCCATTGCTTTTCCTGGTGAAAATGTCATAAAGGCAAATATGACTTCCATGTTTTTTTTTACTGGCACCTTAACCTGTGAAAACCATGGAACTTGCCTTGTGACAATAAGAACCCAATATCTTATCTACTGGCAATGATCAAATATGGCTGACCAAGGACTTTTCGACTGACGACCTTACCATGTGACAATGAGGACCCTAGTATATCAACCTGTTACAAAGAAGATCTTATCCCATTTTAAAACGACCAATGACTTTGTACTGTGACAATAAGGACCCAGGAACTAAACACTGTCACAGTGACTGATAAATAGGTCTCTCTCAAAGACAGCCATCTCTGTAGGAAAACTACAACTACTGCGTATTTTACGCAATCAAGCACGCATTGCGCAGTGTTGAAAATGTTCCAAACATGCCCGCTTGTTGTTCGAAATGTGTTCGAAATACGACGCAGCCGATGCGCGTTATGCAAGTTGATGCTCAAAATGCTGATGCACGTGGCTGGTCTGTAGGAAATGACGTCATTTGAGAGAGACCTATACTCTGGATTTATTTTTCGACTGAGGAACTTACCCTGTTCAATTGAGGACCTAGGACCTTATCACAAGACAATGAGGACCCAAAGACTCCTAGCGACATAATTGACGATGACCTAGGCATTATTGACAGAGGGCCTTACCTTGCGTCTTCTCTTGGAGCGTCTGCTCCATTAATCCGATGATGTCATCCTCCGTGACCTCTGGTTCCTCCTTGGGTGGGATGATGCCCTTTGCCCTCAGGATGTCGTTCCATTGTGTGTCTTCATTAGGGTCCTTTGATTGAAGAGATGTAGAAGAGGTTATTGAACAGTTACATTTAAAAACACCTTATTTTGGATAGTTTCAGGCTTTTACAAGGGAAATGTTCAACTGTTTTTTAATGGAAATAATGCGAGTCAACTGTTTGAAACTGTTCCTTAATCCTTAACTCCCTAGGCCCTTTTGCTAGGATGTAGCCTTAATCCTGCAAAATCCTCCAAGTGGCCTCATGGAAAAATAGCATGTAGCCTCAATCCTGCAAATTCCTCCAATATGGTCTGTGGAGGGGTGACCACTGCCTGAACCCTGCAAAGACCTGTGGCAGGAGAATTTCAAGCATAATCCAGGCCAATATTTATGCATGGCTGAGCAAAAACAACACAAGGTCCGGCCCAAGGCCTTGACAAAGTGCATCCTACAAAATCAGTAACGCACTTTTGCCATGTAACCTCAATCCTCCAAATTCCTCCACTTTGGCAAAGAGGATTTTGAAGGATTCAGGGCATTTAGGGTTAACCAATTTGCGTCAGATAACATATTTATACACACAAAGGTTTTGCGGAATTCGGAACGGATGCCGGGTAAACATGCAACGAGCGAGGCCGGAAAATATCTGTCAGCTACCTGCAGACAATGAACGAAGCCGGAAATAAGAGAGTGCTGCCCCAGGGTGATGTCTTCAACCCCCCTAGCATTGAGGTAGAGTGGAAAATAATCCCGTGCCTCGGTCCGGTCATATCAAAATAATCCCGGCAAATAAATTTTCCTTATCTTTGCCTTAACTCTAAATCCCGAGAGTGTATTGAAAAATCTGATTAAAATTTGAGGATTCAGGACTGTTTGAGGAATAAATACGAAAGGTCAAAGAACAAATAAATAAACAAAAAATATCAAACAATAAAGGCAGTGGATATTTAGCTGGATCCAGCTTTCTTTTATTAGAAAGTTTTTAAGACGATATTTTGCGGAATATGCACAGAACATGAGCAGTGACTGTTTTTTGGGGGACTTCAACATTTTTACCGTGACAAATCTTAGTCTGGTTCCGCGCCAACATTGTCGTTGTGAGTGACTTCGTATTCACGAGATAGGAATCAGATCATTTTACTAACAATTTCAGACTTTATTTCCCCTGAAAAAAATCCTCCAGAGTCACGAATCACAAAAAGAAATGTAATACTAAGTAATTAAACGCTGGACTTGGAGTACATTTAAAGTAATAAAAGAAATTTCTAAATTTTTCGGGATGAAAAAAATCAAAAATGTCGCTCGTCATCGGGAGTTGAACCAGGATCTCTCACTCATGAAATACATTGGCCATCCACTCGGCCACAGGTGCTGCAAATACGATGGTGGTAATTTGATGGTGGTAATTTGATGGTGGTAATTTGATGGTGGTAATTTAATAATACGTATAAGGCCAAAAAAAAAAAAGTCTCCGGTTTCTGGTATGGAGCTTGCCCAAAAAGTGGTGCGGCGACACAGCTTTTATATGCATAAACAGTCTTTGACGTATGACCGTACGGCCCCGCCGCACGCACGTCCAAATACACGAGGTCATACGTCACAGACTGTTTATGCATATTCATGAGTTTGCGCGGGCGCGCCTGCATATTACATACATTACAGCGCGGCCGCCATTTTGAAATCGCATGGGGGATTGCATGGGGGACGATATTTGTGGAATCTGATGACTGAAATTCGTCTTGTGGCCAGATGGATGAAAATATTGAGACCAAAGAACGTTTTTTCGAAAAGGTATGAGTTGCTCTACGACTACGAACCTTAACTTTGGAAATTTGTGTCCTGGATGAAAAGATAATCGCGATCGAAAGATGTAGCAAAATCGCTACATCGGCGGCCAACAAAATTCAGTCTCTGTAGCTGGAGTTACCCAGCCCTGAGTTTTATCATTGGGTTGTCTATTAGGGCTGGAGCGAATTTTTCTCGTAACTTGTAGTATAGGCAAACATTTTTGGAAAATGTTCAATTTTGTCCCCGTTACACACTAATTGCAACTGCAACTCACCCCAAACTTGCCTGGAATAACCATTACACAGGTCCTTGAAGTAAAAAACGATCCACGATGAAGATTCAGCCTACAATTGCAGTGAAAACAGGAGGAATAACCGCTAACTTGACAACCTTGCTGGATTGGCCAGGACCGCAATTGGTTTGTGCACAAAAAAAATTGTGTACAATGAATGGCGGTCGATTAACAGGCACAGAGAGCGATCGCTGTCAACTACTCGTTTTTGCCGGCTGCGCTGGCTGTTGGCGCATGACGTCACGCGGAAGCGTAACACCCGATGACTGTTTCATGCACTAATATAAGGTTTACCACTCGCATCACAGCTTTGGTACTGGAACCGCAACCAATGATAAAACTCAGGGCTGGGTAACTCCAGCTACAGTCTCTGTGGAAGCATCGGGCGTCTGGCCGTACTACAGAGCTTGCGATTGTACTGTACGGCCAGACGCAGTCGGGCTAGGCCTACGCATGTAAGCGTCAAAGAGGGCACTGTTCAATATATAGCAATTAGCAGGTTTAAACTTTAATATCCAGCTAAGTAAATATCCTTATCAAAATTAAATCCAATGTTTCTATTATAGTTCAATTAGTTGAGACGAAATCAATAAGGCCCTAGCACTTATTTGGTAGTACAGGGTAATGGCGAAATTTACACTTGGTGTCTGTCTTCATCACAGTCTTTATTTACATGGTAAAATGTTCATGACCAAATATGGACATAGCTCAATTCTGAATCATCACAATCACCGACGTGACGTCCGTGCATCAGAACGACAAAACTAATCCCGTAAATCATCTCCAAATTCACGTTATATCCTTTTCGAAATTGACACAGTATACTCCGAATTATATACCACACATACCTGCATCTTCTGGTCTTTGAAAGCTAATTACGGAGGAGGAAATTTCGTCCGAAATCTAAGATTTATCCCAAGTCAAGATCAAGAACTCAACATGCCAAACATTGGATATGTATTGTCGGGCTCCCTTCTTCGCTACTAATAAAAAAAGCTACGAGTAAATCTTTCAATACGGGTATCAGACTACTTTTCACTTCCGCGCATGCTTAACGCTTCCGCGTGTAAAGACTTGCGCCCTCTATTGACAACAAAAATACACTTTTATTCAAGTCGGGTTGGTGCCTTTTACGCGTGGCACTCCCAAAAATAACATTTTCAAATGTTCTAGCATCACATCGACTCCAGTCGAGTCATTTTAAAGAAGTGACTCGAGTCGAGTCGAGTCATTAGGCCAAGAAGGTTGAGTCGAGTCGAGTGACGGTGTGTAGTCGAGTCGAGTCGAGCAATTTTTTTCTCCTGTTTTTTTTTTTTTCTAATTTTTTTTTTTGTATCTCCAGACGGTAGGGTTTATATGTTTATTGCAAGTATTCGGTGCATGTTGAATTTCTCCCTTTTTAATACATGTTCCTCCCACATTGCCATTTTTATAGCTTTGTCCCCCTCCAGATGGTGGAACTTTCCCTTTTTACCTTGCCAGGCCCTTTCAGGGTTTCCCCCCTGTTCCTACGCCTGAGTCCTAGGTCCCCCCTTCTCCCTTTTTACTACTGCTACATTGGTGTATGTACATGTATGTGTGCTGAATTTGTCCATGTCTGACGTTTTCTGTGTGATAATGAACAAATGTAGATGTTTTTATTTATAAATAAATGTAATTTCGTAATGTTCTTATTGTATCATTGATGTGAATAACAATAAAGTTATTTCAATATATTTAGCTCCATCAATTCGAGTTACAAATATTTGAACTTTTTACAATAAATAAACACAAGAGAGAACTAGAAAGTCTTTTTTTTGGTGGCTTTTTAAATTTTACATTCGGGCTACTTTATGTGGTGACACAACATCTCTTAATGAAAATAAAAAGGGGGTGCCAGCTGATCGCCATTCAACTAATGGGGACACTGATCAAACCACGTATGTATTATGTATATACAATATTCACAAACATTCTAAGCACCGGCATAAGTCTAGTCATTGCAAATATTTTTCTGACCACTGAAACCATATTTGTTTTTTAGCAAAGGATCATCTTTCAAACATCATTTTAGTTTGGAGTCATTGAATCAGCTATTCTGAGCTATAGGCCTAGAATCGTTATAGTAGGCTACAATTTTTATTCGGAGACGAGAAAGTCCCCCCGTCCCCCACCGATTGACGCTTAAAAAGGTCGAGTCATTATGGTGCATGAGGGACTCGAATCGAGTCGAGTCATTTGCTTGCAGTGACTCGAGTCTAGTCGAGTTTATTTGCCCTTATGGACTCGAGTCGAGTCCAGTCGCCAAAAATCGAGTCGAGTCATTGACTCGAATCATTACAACTCTGGCCGCAAAAAAACAATTTGGCATTTTAAGGAATGGGGGCCGGATCGAGTTGTTGAACTCTTATCGTGCAAAGCCTGAATAGGCTGACAATGCCCGGCTTATTCACTTGACTGAGACCTTCAGAATTGTGTTGCAACGTTTTGGGAGAATAGTTTGGATGTTTCTCCACACTAAATTAATTAATGTTAAAGGGAAAATACAACATTTGCAAACATCAAAAAATAAAACTACCAAATCATTTTGAAATACCTTGCTGGACTGTTAGTGAATGACAGTGTAAAGCATCTTGTAAAATCATGGCACCTGGTATACTGTCATTTTCAAGAAAAGTGGTATTTTTGTATCAATTTCCAACGCTGGTCGGCCGACCAGCGTTGAAAAAAAACTGGCTTTTCTTCAAATACTGGCCCCAATTGACCATCGCACTTGTTTGCAATCGATTACACACCTATGAACGGGTACAAGCCAGCTAGACTGGTTCCCTGACCTTACAATTCCCCAATGTATATAACCTGCTCTGTTTCTTCTAATATGGAGTCAGGGAACCAGACTACAGGAAAATGATTGTTTTTCTTGGTTTTTATAGCATTTTCGAACCCAAAACCTCAAAAAAGTCAGTGTAACTATATTTGCTATATATTTCCAACCCCCCAATTCCATCCATTTCTGAAAATTACAGCAAAAGCAAATGATGTATATTCCCTGGCCTACATGTAGTTAACATTGGTCATATAGGGAAGGCGGGGGGGGGAGGCAAAACCAATTACAAGTCATATAAATTGCGCGGTGCTTTATGTCTGCAATACCTGCCCAAAAATACCCTAGGCCTGTTGTTGTTTTGCTTTGGTCCTGAAACCGAAACCAGTGATGGCACATTGAACAATATCCTGTTCAACATCGGGAAAAAACCCCAAACAACCAACCCACCCAACCAACAAACAAACAAAACAACGATCACATAAAAAAAACCAATTTTTCCTGTGTCATATAAAATTTGGACTCCTTTCAAATCTGGTCTCCTTTACCTTTAACCATTACCCATGACTTGTCACTGTCGTAGTAACTATGTTCACAAGACATGCTCAATACAGTCTAGTTGGTCGGCCATATAATGCGAGTCCAAATTTCATACCACATTCGGCGCTCTTCCTTCGCGGGCTTCTTTAGCCAGTGACATCCTGGAGCAGTAGGGAGGATTTCAAGTATAATCCAGGCCCAAATCTATGCACGGCTGAGCATAAACAACACAAGGTCCGGCCCATTATGTACACAAAAACTGTAAAAAAAAAAACCAAAAAAACTAACAACTGCGGTGCGAGAACGGAAATCCGGTCGGCCAGAGAAGATAATTGTTTTATATTTAGGCCTACATGCCTACACCATGTTTACACTCAAAGTTGATTTCCGATCCGGAAAACTTGACTTGACTGACACTTGACTGACACATAATAATGGCATGGTGATAATGTCTGGGATGATGTCATTTTGGGAAATGTATTAAAAGGTTCTCATTTAGAACACGGCCAAGCCTATGGCTATATTCGTATAAGTTGGGGCAGGATTTAGCCCATCGTAATCCCATACGAGAGCACTGCCCGAGTGCCCGGCTCTCATCAGCCAACCAGAATAAGATCTAGTTTTCATAAGGTTTAAATCGGCATTTTTAAGCACCTTTTATTAGCTTTTATTTTTTAAATTCCAGCAAGATTTGCGAAAATATAGGCCCACAGAAAACATCAGGTTTGCACGTCAGTCCAAAATAATTTACTGCATTACCAATAAGTTAAAGCAATAATTGTTTGCACCAGAGAGGGATCGGTTCTTTAACAATATTTTTGACTTCACGAATCAGGGTAATTTGTATTCAATATTTTTGTTTCGATCGTATCAAACCGTCGTTTCGTTCCACTGGCCTTCAAAAGATTGGTTTCTCGAGTTCACTCAAAGCTGACTCAGAACAGCACAAAAAAATGAAACCACTTGTGAAACTGTAAGTTTTGGCTTCAAAAAAATCAACATTTTATTGTCACTCTAACGCATTGCTGTTAAGGTTTTGTGACTAAAATCGAAACCTTCCAGATCCTCGTTCTCCATTGTTGAGTTTTCAGGTCGTTAATTTTCGCAAATATTTTCAACGGGGAAAATACAATCCGCTAGGCTTTATACTGGCCAAAATAGGGCGAGGGGAAACAAGACTACAAAATATCTAAGTTCAGGGTGTACCTAAGTAATCTAAACATCATTGCAGGCAATCAAGAATTGAAGGGGGTGCGGGCTGGGTGTAAGTTAGAAGTCGATGATTTTTTTTCATGAGGTGGACAGAAAGCTGATGCAATGAATCAAATTGTACGATATACAGGGTGAGTAAAAAAATATCCCCGAAACCCATGATGTTGGGACTATTGTTTTAGTGAAGTTCTGCATGTAGCACTTTCAAAATCTTTAAAACGATGGATGTGTTTAAAATTGAAAATTACATGAGTGATATGAATGATTCTTGTATCTAAAAGAAAGCTTAAGAATTGGGCTTTCATATCCTAGATTTTGAAAGTGCTACATGCAGAACGTCACTAAAACCATGGTCTCGACATTTGGGTTCCGTTTTTTTGTTACTCACCCTGAAGTGTACCGACGTTTAGAGAACCGTTCGGAAAATCAGAGATTGTTTCCAGTAATTTATAAGTGGTTTATAGCCCCCACCTCCCCCAGATACGACTTTGGAAAAATTGTAAAACTAATGGGTTTTCTGACAGTATTTTTAAGAAGTAAACTTTCGGGGTATAAGAAACAGTGCCGTAGCCAGGATTTTTTCAGTAGGAGCTAGGGGGGTGAGGAGGATGGACCAACAACATTTTCCCATAATTTCAGGCCACCGCAAGTGCTGAAAATTCGAAAAGCAGGGGAGGGGGGGGGGACACACTTCCTTGGCAAGCGGCAAATGTCAGAGTTTTGCCCCCCCCCCCCCTGCAGTTCCTCCAGGCACACCGCCCCCCCCCCCCCTTGGCTACGCCACTGATGATCATGTAAACAAATGGAAATATATATATATATATTTGGCTTGGGGTACTAAGTATACACTTCAATTAAATCATTGTCCAATCGAATCCAGATTAAATTTAAGCCTCGAGCGATATGTTTTAAAATTTGGTGCGGATTTTTTCAGTCCCGTCCTAATTTTCGCGCAAACCTAAAAAAAATTACTCATAAATGTAAAATTACTCATAAATGCATAAATAGACGCATTTCTCATGCCGTATATATATCTGCAAAGAAGCCATGAAAAGAAAACGAATACACTCTTTTCACGATTGAATGAGCTATTTGGCAAAAACACTCAACACAATGGTGTTTCCCGCTCACGCTGCACGTCCTGGAAAGTACCCGGCGGAGTACGAAATCAAACGGGAATTCCCTGACTAGTAAGCGTCATTGTATATTTTCAAGGGTGTGCTGTTTGCATAAATTGCGATATCCATTTGCAGGCTAGAAGCTGCGCCAAACAATGAAGTCACCAAACCGTCAGGGAAGTCTACTTAACGACTGACCTTCAAGCTTCAAGTGGGTCGGGTACGAAATAAAAAGCACTCACTGAGCACCACCGTCTGCAAACCTGAACCGCCTCACGTCAGAGAACAGGCTGTTGGTATACGCACAATATAAGTGTGGGCAGCGCCGCTTTGTCATAACTTTGCACCGAACTGAAATCGTGTTGCTCACTGGATCCCGGATATTCTGTTTTCCGCATATACACTCTTGGCAAAGGTTTTGCATCAACCAAACTGGTGAGTACACTGAACATAGAGCCTACAGCAGCTGCAGGTGCAATGCAAAGTAAAAATAGACATAGAGCAATGCTGCAACCGAACAAAGACAAAAAACCCAATATGGATAAATTTAAACAAAATATTCTGATTTCAGCAAATCCTGACATTATGTTTGTTTATAACTTCTACAGTTTTGCAGCTACATTATAAACACTTTAGACAGATTTTAAATGTGGAAATTGTAGGCCGGTTTTAGTATCAAACGTGTAATCAATCCTAACAATAGTTGTTTACGACGAAGTGGCGCGCAGAAGAGGTCCTATTGACAGCGTTGGAAAAACCCTGGCAGATTTCCAAGTACAAGTACCTGGGAAAACCCTTGGACACGCAACAACAGAATAGACTTTACACCAGTCCCGCGCGTCACGTGCTAAAAATAGGTATCTACAACAACTAAGGGTATTTCCCTTATGTGACCTGGCTGTACTTCTGGTTTCACTTTATTTGTAGGTCTGACTACTTAGAGCATGAATTCATTGTGAATTGAAGTTAGAAATGCTATAATAAACCTATATAAAAATGACAACTGCTTCACACACTTAATTGCTATTAATACTATACAAGCAGGAAAGAAAAATTATTTTCGTACCAAAGTCCAAAATAAGAATATATCAGTTAGATAACTTTTAAAACTGATAAGTACTCGCACGCAGTAAAGATGGAAAGACAGAGGGAAAACAATTACAGATTGTGACATGCGTTGCTATTTTATGTGTGAAAGTTTACTTATTGCAGTAACTTAAAATAGTTCTCAAAAAGTTCCCGCAAAACCACTGCACGCGTTTTTTCATACTTTTGTCTGAATTTAGACTTTTTGAATCTAACAGCAAAACGTGATCATTATCTAGAAAGAAATCCATCTTTCAGACCTTTCATACATTTTTTAGATTTTTGTTTGAAACTGGCAATCTCATCCCTGCGTAAGCCGTTATTTCGAAATTAAACATGTATGTGTGATGATGTAATTTCATATTTTAGAAAGTGAAGCCTACATGTACATCGATCCTTATATACGGATGTTTTAGTAAAGTTGCAAAACCACATAAGTGATCATATTTATTTGCCAATCGCGGTCATACAGAGTATAATATCAACTATCGTCATATCATAATTATGAGGAGTAGCTAAATATAATGTGTTGTGCTTATAATATGTAGCGCTTTATATACCACATGTCTCAAAGTGCTTCAAAATTATTACCCCTGTCTATTAGGCCAAAAAAAAGTCTCCGCTTTCTGGTATGCGCGCGCGTCGCCGTAGCCATGCGCGTCGGCAAAATGAAAAAGTTTTTTTTTCAATGAAAGATGATGTCTCAAAACCGCCAAACTCACTGGTTTGACTGGAATCCTGCTGCTGCACAATTTTAACGTGTTTTTAGATTGGGTTATGGTCGAGAATGAGCTTTATGTGGCCTCTTGGGCTCCCATATATTTGCACTAAGTTTAGTCGGGCACCATTTGCAGTCATCAGCCGACATTTGAAGCAAAACAATCAGGTAAAAAAAAAAAAAAAAAGCCGCGTCGCCGCACCACTTTTTGGGCAAGCTCCATACCAGAAACCGGAGACTTTTTTTGGCCTTAGGCCATGAGACCAGTTTCCTGCAGCAGCTCGAGATCAGCGCATTGTGGTCTCTACTTTTACAGCTGCTCAGTTATACTCCTGGGTGGAGAGAGGCAATTTAAAGTGTCGAACCCTCGTACCACGGCACACGAGTCGAGTATAAACACCGTCACCATTGGGCCACGGCGCTCCACAATTTCTCCAACCAAACTACTGTAATAATTGTTCTCTTTAAATTTCTCAACAGCGTAACCTTTAAATAGAACGGAAACACGTTTGGCACAATTCCCTCTAGTTCCGTTTAGTTTTACGAGAAACTTTCACTTTCCCCGCACGCATTAGGCCTATATTTACTTTCATTTCTCAATCATTGCCTTTAAAATAGTTAGTTTGCTCACTGCTATTTATACAAACATGTATCGTCCGATAAATAAATAGATTATTTATATTTCGTTTTATAGAAACAAGGTCTACAGAGAAAGCATTACTACATACAATAGGTGATGAGCTTTCACTCTGGTTAGTACTTAAATGCGCATGTACCCAATGTACGTGTTTCAGGATGAGTCGCTGTAGAACATAGGAAAACAATAACTGGCATACTTATCTTAGTATGCGAAAAATACCTGTCTGCATTTGGACTTTTGTGAACGATACTTTGATAGACTGCCTTTCCTCTTCGTCTAATGGCAGTTTTCTTTACACTTGATTTATAGGGTTCATCATCTAAACTTGCTGTTCGGGAGCCTCAAGGTGAAATTGTCTCATAACATCTTCTCGAATCAAACCAATCGTCGGGAACCATGCAGTCTAGACCGAGTTTCTTCAACATGGCGCGCGTTCACACTGTTGTGCTTCTCCTGCTGTGCCAAGCGTTCTTGATGTTTCATCCTGTGTTGGCGGTTTCAGAGCGCACTGATCCCAACAGTCCGCCGACGACCTACGGTGAATGTCTCCAGGAGTGCCAATCCGACACGGATGTGAGGTGCATCGCCTGTGGACTCGACACCATCCCGACTACTCCGGATTGTAAGAGAGCCACCACACTGGAACTGGCGTCGAACGACATCAGGGAGCTGCGACTGGGAGTCTTCGCCGGGTTTAATGAGTTATCAATCCTCGTGCTTACGGACAACGAGATTCGAGATATCCCTCGGGGTGTCTTGAGTGATCTGGGGACCCTGACGGCGTTGTACGTCGACTGGAACAATCTGACAAGTCTCCGGGAGGGGGCGTTCGAAGGCCTGGTGAGCCTGAGAGACCGCCTGATTCTCACTGGCAACCAGATCACAAGGATCACCACGGGGGTGTTCAATACCCTGACTCTCACTCCTATCCTAGCCGTAGACAGCAACCACATTGAGTCCATCCAGCCTGGTGCATTCCAAGGCATGGCCAAGCTGTCCACTCTGCTCCTGGGAAAGAATCGCATCTCCAGTATCGCCAGTGGGACTTTTTCCGAGCTGGGGAAGTTGAGAATGCTCGACCTGAGCTACAACCGCATTGAAACTCTTGAGGGTGGTGCTTTCGAGGGGTTGGTGAGCTTGCAGGAGCTCAAACTGAACTCCAATCGCATCATCAGCGTGGCAGCGATTGAAAGCCTTCCGCGGTTGAGCCACCTGACACTCGCAGACAATGAAATAGAGTCTCTTGGGGACAACCGTTTTCTCGAGAGTAAGTTGCAAGAAAAGGAGTTTACTGTTACTTTCCAGAAGAATCCACTGAGATGCAGCTGTTCTGTAGAATGGCTAAGGCTGTGGTACAGGAAACACGAGACCACAGATGAGGAAAAGGCGATGTGTGCGGCTCCCGCTGAATACGAAGGCAGATTACTCACAGATATCCACACACCTCTTCCGTGTAAACGGCCAGCCGTGGCTACCACCAGTAATCCTTTGATGGACGCCTTGAATCCAAACCAGGCTGAGCCTTTGCTTAACACCACAATGTCTATCATCGTCACCATAGTGGCTTTAGGCCTGATAATCCTTGCGATAGGTACTTACCTGGTGTTGAGAAGATACAGACGGAAGATGGGGGCTCATAGAGAAGCAGAGAAAGACGACGAGGCACCAGAACCGGGACCAGAAGACCCGAATTTGGCCAGCGGTTACAGTACTTTCGTGGAGCGCGACACAGACGCAGCAGGAGACTCCCTGATTGGTCAGACCACCGCGCCGCATCCTCCCCCGATGGCCAACGGACACGTCTTTCACGAAACGGAGCAGGAGGAGACGTCGTCTTTTTTGCCCTCGCACAATTACCTTCCCGTGAAGGAACTGAATTCTCCGAGGGAACCCTTGCAGCCTAGAGTACCGTCTACAATGGCGCCTCCCCCGCCGGTGAACTCGACGGTTTCGCCAGTAAATTCGCCGGTCTCCTCGTTGGAACCCGATGTCGTGTGCCGGATAGACTTCGACGAACGGGGTTCAATGGTCATCACCACCCCAGAGTCCGAGCTTGACGAGGGCAACATGGAACCCACTGACCAATTTATCTGCCCTGAGGAGGTCAAATACGCCAAACTGGACCACTTTAGGCCGACTCAGTCCAGCTCTCGGCCCTGCAACGGGGGCTACATAGCACCCCGAGATTTGGCGGGATACCCGACGTGAATAGACCGATTTACGCGAGCGCAGCCTCTTTCGGGTTGTACCGTGTTGCATATACTCAATGCATTTCGATTCGTGCAAATACTTTGCCATTAGTAAGAGCACGTCGGGCACACATACTCCCGGGCGTTTTACTGCGAAAGTTAGTTTGAAACATGTATAAGGTTATCTTTCAAATTTAAAAGTTCCGAAATACCTTAAGGAAATTAGATACTGCTGTCTGTAAAATTAAAGGAAAATAATCATGTAATACAATTTTGTACATTGTAAAAAGGATTAAGAAATGCTAATTAAAGGTGAACTAAAATGGACAATTGTATACAGATGCACTATATGGTGCGCTAACAGAGCAGAAAAGATGTTTTTTCCCCCTGGTACGAGTACTTTATCATGAGTGTACGAGTAATGAGTACAAGGGTCTGGTTTTTTTGTCTTTCGAGTAGTACATGACATTTGTACAGGGTGTTGCAAATAGAAGGAAACCCACTTTTGACAGCAATTTTCACCTACTTGTTGAGCATATTTCAAAAATTCAATTTAATGGTTTTAAAATATTGATCTTCAAACATAAGTGACGAAAAAAAATGATTGCAAATGCATATTTTGTCTCGGAGATATGGAAGTTTAAAATGGCATGTGCCAAACATGTTTATCCACGGACGGCTTTATCCATCCGCTTGACTGAGCTCCGGAGCTTCATTTGAATACAAAAAACCACTTATAGCCTTACACGTGGACAACAGTGATTTTGGTGAATTGTATTCAAATTAGCATAGTAACACTATTCTTGCGATTTTTGAGAGATTTTCTCCATGTATGGTTGAAGAGCTGTACTCCATCTTATAAAAACAAACAGTTCAAAGAAGTTAGGCCTAAGTAAGCCAGTTAAAGTTCATGTCAAAGTGGGTTTCCTTCTTTTTGTACCACCCTGCATAGTATTCAACACTGCCATGTAAATACGTGTATTGGATGGATTACGTTTGCTTTATAACATGCAATGATGCAACAAGGAAGTAGTTTGTTTTTTGATCTGCCAGATTTATGCAATACGTCAACTCTAGCTTCACCAGAATGGTTATTGTAAGCAAATGTACATGTACATAATATATATATTTAATTAATCTGTGATTGAGCATTACAATTAATCTTGTATAAACATTATATTTTGTTTGAAAAATTATACCATTTATATACTTTCATGTAAATTTAAATTCGTAGGAGAAGGATTTCTCAATCATCTGGTCATTGTTTATTATAGGCAACGACATTTCCCGATGTTTGGTCGCAAAACGTTCTCTGTTCTTTACCGGAATTTCCTCTCCGTTTCTCCCAATACCATTTCTCTGAAACTTTGAACGATATTCCTTTTCGTTTAGATATCTCTGATAACATTAAGGGGAAATGTGTACTAAACCTGATCATTTTTTAAAATAATGTTTAACACCCTTCCCCTAACAAAAGAGATTTGGGTTTAACAAATGGTTATGGTATAGCATGATGTAATTGCAACATTATACTCTTTCTTCTTTTTCTCAATGGTATACGATTGCAAGAAATCGATCCACATTATATAATGTACATAGTATATGTAAAACATTAATGCAGCTGTTTTTTTTTCATTATAAAAAAAATTATATGAAGGCGAATAAGAACTGTAAACAGCAATCGCGTTTTTAAAATCAGTTGTAGTAACACTAACTGGACTTAATAAAATTTCCATCGACTTTCAACATAAGTATTCCTTAAATTAGCTTCATTTCTGATAACAATTATAGATGGGGATATAGTTGAGATAGGACTCAGTAAACATAAAAGTGAGAAGTTATCTCTGGATTTAATTTGTATGTGAAAATCACAATACTTAAAGCTGTAAATAAAATTTGCAAAACTTGAAAGGGATAAAGGCAGTGGCCTACATCATTACTGAAACTAAGTCAGTATACAGGGTGAGTAAAAAAAACCTCGAAACCCAATGTCGGGATTATTGTTTTATTGAAGTTCTGTATTTAGCACTTTCAAAATGTAGGACATAAAAGCCCAATTCATAAGCTTTCCCTTAGTACAAGAATCATTCAAATCACTCATGTACTTTTTAAGTTACGGAATTCTACACACAACGACCGTTTTAAAGTTCTGTTCACGGATCACAGAAAAAGTGTGCTTTCTTTCAGCAAAACGAAAACAATTCACACACTGCTGAAAGAACACTAAACTTTTTTTTGTGTGGTCCGCGTGGACAGAACCTTAAAACAGTGGGTGTATTTAAAATTCTGTAAAAGTACATAAATGATTTGAATGATTCTTGTGCTAAAAGAAAGCTTATGAATTGGGCTTTCATATCTTAGATTTTGAAAGTGCTACATGCAGAACTTCACTAAAACAATGGTCCCAACATTTGGGTTTCGGTTTTTTTTACTCACCCTGTATGAAGTCGCTTTTTCTAACCTTTTCTTCTAAGTTCCTACTCAACTTCGCGGACCTTTCTTCACGAAATGGATAAATTTGCATCATTGACCCGTAAAATCGGAGGATGTCACACCACTCAAAATCTACAAATTTACAATAGATATTTTGAACAAGGCTACATTATCATATCCCATCATAATGTATGACATTAACTCTCACGAAACTTGAACGTAAGCAGCTTCCGGCGAACGAATGTTATATTTAGGCAATATCGAAAATGAAATTGTTAAAGGCAGGCGGATTTATTTTGTTTATTTATTTCGTGTTATTATACCGTACCAATTACACATTTGGACTTTAGTTGGCTAACCTTCTCAATAGATAACGAAAATGCAACGATTCGGAGTGCCGGACGTTTCGATCTTGAGTGTCAAAGCTTCATCAAAGCAACAATTTCAGCAACAAAATCTAAAGTTTTAGTTCTCAGTTCCCGCATGAACGCGAACGGACTATAAAGTTTCTCTCGACGGAAAAAGCTCAGTGCTTCCACTTCAGTCCCAAGTTGAATTTCCTTAAGTTTGTGATTTTTTTCCCTTGAGATTTCCTTAAATTTCCTTAGAATTTTCTTGGCATTTCCTGATTTGTTCCTTCAATAATTGGTACGTGTAAGTCAATTAAAGAAAGAAAGCTATTTCTGATGACAGGTTTGCATCTCAAGTTCAAAGAAAGTTCATTTGAAGCTCACTGCGTTGTCATCATCTGCACATGCGCGCGCATTTGGGGAAGGGGGGGGGGGGCTGCTCTGACACCAAAAATTAAGACATTAATAATTACCTATAATGTCCGCCTGTCCGCAACACTCGGACACAGAGGCGAAGCCAGCGGGGGAAAGGGGGGTATTTGCACACTATTGTGCGATAGTTGTGTGCATGATCGTCGGATTTGAACTGAACAGCGCCCTCATTGGAAGATGGTACTAGCCCCCCCCCCCCCCTCCCCCCCCCCCCCCCCCCCCCCCCCCCCCCCCCCCCCCCTCCACACCCGACCCCCTACCTCCCACTGTTTGATTTAACGGGAGGCCAAGTGTCCGGGGGAAATGTCTACACTTCAGCACTGATTTGCTGATTAAAACAATATGAAGGGCCTAACCCCCTTTTCAAAATCCCTGGATCCGCCCCTGCTAGTGCACTCCGTTTCTCAGACTTCAGCCACGGCTTTTTCGCGTGTGCTGGACTACGCTTGCTGGCCATGGGCATGGACAGCCCCCTCAGGCGGGTCGTACCCTCAACCCCGGTGGAGTGTTCCGTATAGATGTGGGATTCCCGATATAACAGGACACCGCCGTTGTATATGGTGTGTTTGTCGTGAGGGATTTTCCCCTATGACACCGCTATTGCGTGCGGAGGGACTTCCCTCAATGAGAAATAATTTTGCGCAGAGTGCATGAACGATGAGAAATTCGGACTCATGCATGAGAATACGCCAATGTCAGGGACTCGGGAGTGACAACCATGCATCCTAAAATGGGACGGAATAGTGGACATTTTGGCGCATAAAGTTCCAGGAAGAAGTGCAGTCACCACTCCATGTATAATCAATGAACATTTAGGCTTGACTGACCCCGGGCATCATAATAAACAATGAGAAGTGATATTGGTGTCAGACTCCAGCTTCATCCATGTTTAAAGAGAATATACAACATTTGCAAACATCGAAAAATAAAACTACCAAGTTTTTACGAAATACTTTACTAGGATGTTGGTATAAAAATGAAAGTCTAAAGCATCCTGTAAAATTAAGGCACCCGGTGTGAAGTCATTTTCAAGAAAATCGTATTTTTGTATATACATTCCCAACGGTGGTTAGCCGACCACCGTTGGAAAAACCTAACTATTTTTCAACTCCAAATTTACTCCTTTTTAGTCCAAATTTTGTTTGCTATATTTGTTGCATGTTCATTAAGGGGTGCAGAGCAGCTAGACTGGTTCCCTAACCTTACAATTTGCTGGCATCTATAATTTGATCCATTTTATCTTTAGTGGAGTCAGGGAACCACACTACTTGAACATTTTTGTTTTTCTTGGTTTTTCCAGCATTTTCGAACACAACATTTCAAACATATCAGTGTAACAATATTTGATCTATTATACGAACCCCTCAAATAGTTCATTTCTGAAAATTACAGCAAAAGCCAATGATGTACATTCCCCAACCCTAGAATAACAGTATAGGTAGACAGACCACCACATAAAGACCCCCAAAATGGCCCAAGTTTTCGTTTGGACATATATTTACTATCTTTATATTAAAACGTTTTCTTCATCAAAACATTTTTGAATTTTTTTTTATTGCATCATTCAGATTTCACATTTCCTTTAAAATTTGTCAATTCCCATAGACTAATATTTCCTTAGGTTGTTAAAATCCACCATAATTTCTATTAAAATAAGGAAATTCCGTAAAGGTGGAAACACTGAAAAAGCCATTTTTTCAATACCTCTGAAAATAGCCCACCTTTTGTTTTGGGTTGTTTTTGCGTTCACAACGCACAGAAAGATACGCCTGATGTATTATACAATAACATATCAAACAACGTGGGCGGATTTTTGTTTTGTTTTGATATCCAAAAGCAAATGACTTTTGTATTGCTAAAGAAAAAAATACTAGCAATTTAAAAACAACATTGTATCAGGGGAGTGGCTGGATGAGTGGCGCCAAAAAAGGAAGATTTTTTTTTGATTTACCGCACACCCGGCCTCCCTCCGTAAAATAAAGGGGGGGGGGGGGAGCCGGCTTGATGCCGGCACCGGGGCTGTTCAAACCGAAATCATGATGTCAGACAATAGGTTGCGCTATATTCTATTTCCATGGGATGGTAAAATAAACAGCAAATCGCGAAATAAGGGGAAACTAAACAGAAAAGGTGAAGAAAGTCATTTTCTGTAAAAACCAGCTGATCATGGTAACGTACACGTATAAATTATCATATGACTGTATTTTCTCCGGTTACCAGTTTCCAGTGAGTGGGCGACTGGGGGCGATGATTTTTCATGGATGGGGCGTTCTCCCCCCCCCCCCCCCCCCCTTTCCCGTAGCTAGCGCCGCTGACTCTGTGGGAAAAAAAACGGGCCATAACAGGTAGAGTCCATTGTATAAAACAAGATTTAATGGGAAAATAAATTGTATGTGACACCTTATTATTGGAGAAGGGCTTTTTGTCAGTGTTGGCCCCGTGGCCCGCCAAAAGTTTATTTCTGTTATGCGCGTGCGCATACTTGGATGACAGGTATCAATGTTATGAGTCAATAGCCCCTAATAAGACCGTGACTTCGTCTGGGTACCCGACTCAATCCGGCGCTGCGTGATTTTTATTGCAACCACGTTTTTGAGTGACGTTTCGCAAGCAGATTGCTCCTTTACCGTCGTCAAAGTCGGAAAAAAGATCTTCACATTGTCAGCTTCCGAAGTTTCATTGACTTCTTCGTCTGTGTTTTTCAGTCACTGAAGTTTCTGTCGGTGTGTCGAAGCTATGGCTTCGGCGTCGAAATTGGAAATGGTGTGCCGAACGCTGCGGGGCGTACTGCTGTCGGAAAAGGGCGGAGTTGCCATTCACAGACTGCAGGGTAGGGTACTTTAACTTGACTTAAATTAAGTTATTAAAACGTTGACAGACACGTGGTTTGCTAATGCTATTTATTATTTACGTAGTGGCTATCCTTACGGTAGCCGTAACGCACAGTATATACACGTAAAGCAATTTTGCGAAAACACCATTGCAAATCTAACGAGTAACGTTCATGACATAACTAGGCTAGCCCCGCCTCTTATCTTAGTCCCATAATGTGGGTCCTACTAAACTGCGTCAACAAGCCTCAACAAGTGTCAACGGTCGTCAACAAGCATCAACAAATTTTGTATATACAGATATATGCTATTGAACATTAAAAGTAGCTTTAGATATAGCTTGAGTAACTCCAGCTGACATGCTCCATATTCATTCACATAGTATGTAACGCTGGAGGCATAACCTGTTCGTTAGAATGTGGTAGCAAGAGACCCTAAAAAAGGGCCTCTCAAAAATTGTTCATTTTCACCTCTAATATCCCACCCCAGCACCCCAGAGTTCATTTACAAGAATAGTGCAATCCCATTTTTAACCAATCTTCTTAATGAACAACTAAGCTGTACGTCTCACACCCTGGTGTGATATTTATCTTCATTTATTTACTGTTTTTCGTAATCTGAGCAATCCATTTCTCCATGTTTGTTTTCCCAACTGTTTTTAATCAACTGTTTTTAGTCATTTCCTTTTTTTAATATTTTTTTGGAGCAACTATAGAATGCAGGGCCACGCCGAAGCAAGGTTTTTTATTTTGCCTGGAGGCGTGGATGGAATAGGAGTAATAGATATGCAAACCTGCAAAAAAGTGCTAAGTACAGCGAAGGAATGCACTGCACTTGTCTTCAAAGCTTCTCATGAAGGATCGGAAGGGAGGACGTGCTTGTAAATGTGTTGGGGGCACTGTCTGGAGCGGCGGAGGCGCGGAGTCTTGGAGTCGCAGAATCGCGGAGACGCGGGGCACTGGAGTGGCCGCAGTGGCGGAGGCGCGGAGTCGCGGAGTCGCAGAGACGCGCACCGATAGAGGGCGCAATTCTCGGCGGAATCTTTTTGAGAACGAAGCATCCATATCCATTTTAAATGGGCGGGCCAATTAGGAAGGGAGGAGGGCGACAGGGCACTGTCTGGAGTCGCGGAGGCGCGGAGTCGGGGAGTCGCAGAGTCACTTTAATTGGGCGGGCCAATTAGGAAGGGGGGGGGAGGGCGACGGGGCACTGTCTGGAGTCGCGGAGGCGCGGAGTCGGGGAGTCGCAGAGTCACTTTAATTGGGCGGGCCAATTAGGAAGGGGGGGGAGGGCGACGGGGCACTGTCTGGAGTCGCGGAGGCGCGGAGTCGGGGAGTCGCAGAGTCACTTTAATTGGGCGGGCCAATTAGGAAGGGGGGGGAGGGCGACGGGGCACTGTCTGGAGTCGCGGAGGCGCGGAGTCGGGGAGTCGCAGAGTCACTTTAATTGGGCGGGCCAATTAGGAAGGGGGGGGGAGGGCGACGGGGCACTGTCTCTCAGTGGTGGAGGCGCGGAGTCGCGGAGTCGCAGAGACGCGCACCGATAGAGGGCGCAATTCTCTGCGGCTCCACGACTCCACGATCGATTTTCAGAGGTAGGTCGACTGCGGTTCCACGCCTCCACGCAGCCGTACGGAGGCGCGGATGTAGAGTAAAGTGGCCCTGCATTCTATAGTTGTACCATTTTTTTTTTGTGTACTCACCATTCTTGTTGTTACATGCATTATTTTTTAAGTCTCATTATAATTTTTTTCCGGTCTTCTAATTATTTTTATTGTAATACATACAGTTTTTACCTCTGTCTATTTTTAGAATGTTTTCCAATGTAAACCTGCCCACAATTCAGCCTTCGGGCTGCGACGGGAGAGTAAAATAAACCATTTAATAAATAAATAAATAAATATTTATAACCTTTGCAGTTGAAATGCTTGAAAGTTGCTTCATGGAGCCACTGGTGATTTTGTGTACTTTTTGTGGTAAGACAAGCGTGAGTTTCTTGATAATCCTGAGTTCAATCACCGGTGCGGCGTCCATGCACAAAAGTTGAACAGCGATTAAAAAATAAACAATCGTAATGCACACGTGCAGTGGCGATCCAATCAAAGGCTTCAAGTGGGAGCTAGTCTGTTACCGATCCCCATACACTTATGCCCTTCGAGGGGCAGGCCCAATTGTGGCGCTCCCAAAGAAATCTCAATCTGGATCAAACAACAAATGAAAAAAAATCAAAAAGAATTTGCCAAGGAGAAAAATAAAACTTTGCAAAGGATAAAAATAGTAAGTAATACGATTTTAGGAGAATATTGAGAAAAACTAAGGTATCAAAAAAGAGGGGGAAAAATTGATAAACGGGGGAAAATAAAAACCCACAAAGCACTATTGGCAAATGACTCTAAAACAATTATTATTGCTGTAATTTTTAGAAATGAACTATTTGAGGGTTAGTATAATAGATCAAGTATTGTTACACTGAAATTTTTGAAGTTTTGCGTTCGAAAAGGTTGGAAAAACCAAGAAAAACAAAAATGTTCAAGTAGTCTGGTTTCCTGACTCCGCAAAAGTTGAAATGGATCAAATTATAGATGATGGAAAATTGTAAGCAATTTATAGATGATGGAAAATTGTAAGGCAAGGGAACCAGTCTAGCTGGCCTGCACCCGTTCATGAACATGTAACCAATAGCACTAACATTTGGACTAAAAAAATGGTAAATTTGGAGCAGTAGTAGAAAAATAGTTAGGTTTTTCCAACGCTGGTCGGCCGACCACCGTTGGAAATGTATACAAAAATACCATTTTCTTGAAAATGACTTCACACCAGGTGCCATAATTTTACAAGATGCTTGAGACTGTCATTTACCAACATCCTAGTAAGGTATTTCGTAAAAACTTGGTAGTTTTATTTTTCGATATTTGCAAATGTTGTATATTCCCTTTAACACTAAATAACAGCAAATTCCTAGGAAACTACGGTCCATGTACAAAAGTATACTGAAAGCCACAAAATGAGTCTACTTCAAGTTCCCAGCTGGGTGCAGAGGAGGATAAACACATCATAAACTACCAGAAACTGCACTGTCCTATGGGCCTCATTACATATGCAAATCCTCTGGCCTGTCTAGATAAACTATTACTTCTAGGAAAAAGGACCAAGGCATGTGTATTTACATTTTGGAAGCACACTGGCCTTCTAATATCAGCAAGGAAAACAAATTGGTAATTCCTCAGACGTCTACTTTTTATGTAATTTCCAGAGGAAAGTTTGAGGGTTGTTTGAACACATTTGAATGTAGCTAAATTCCAACATGGATGCTGATGCCCAATGCATGCTGGTAGTGTGACCTGCTGGCCAACATTTTTGCTGTCAGTCAAGTGGCGTGCGGCTAGTTCGGCGGCTGTTGCTGTGACTAGGCATGCAACTTTTTTTCTGCCAAAAATTGCTGTTCAAAATTTACAAAATTGGATCCTTAGAATGAAAAGACTGCTTACAATGTAAGGTTGCAGAAGTCATTGTAGAATGATAAAATATCTCAGGACTCAAATAAACACTAGTCAAAGAGGGGCCCGTAACTACAAAATCGCCAAATCCGGTCATGCGGTGGGGGGGGGGGGGGGGGGAGTGATTGAAACCCAAGTCAAAGACACAGGTGAATGGTGAGGAAAGCCATGAAAGTTTGCCTACCTGATTCCTGTTGGAAGACATCCACCAACGTTTGACGGCGCTGTTTTACTTATATTTTCCCACAATTCCAGGTGATTTCCGGGAATTGACGGGCACGCCGTTGCAGTTCAAGGAGTTTGGGTATCCTTCACTGGAAGCTTTTCTCCAGTCAATTCCCCATGTTGTTTCGCTGCAAAGGTAAGGGAGCTCATCCTAAACAATCAAAAAAATTTTTTCTACAATTCAGGCGATTCACAATGCAGTGCACCACCAAGAGTTTGCCATAGAGAGTCAACTTTTCAAGTTTACGTTGGACAAAATATGGCCCATTTGAATGAGTGTCAGTAGACACTTGAGCTAATTTGTTATAGAATGGGGCACAGCGTTCTGCCGTCCTACCAAAAATCACCATATTGATACAAAGACAAGAAAAGGGCAAACATATACTCAAATCATATGCTTACCAAACTACTGACCGGGAAAAACGAACAGTTTCAAATGTCCCGCACTGCGAATTTGTCGACCATCTCCCACAATGCACTGGGAAAAATGAGCTCTCTGTGGCAAACTCTTGGTGGCGCTCTGCATTGTGAATCGCCCGAATTGACCATTTGTGCTTGTAAATCAAACAGCTTTTTAAAAAAATTATTTTTAATCGCCTTTCAAAGGGGTCCCGACGGAGACGTACTTTGCAAATGTGTCACGGATGACACAACTCAACACATCGGCAGCTTGGTGAGCAGACAGAAAGGCAAGAAGAAAAGCAAAGGGGTAAGGATTTTTAACGATTTTGTGCCGACTCGCATCCCTAGCTCGTTTCACTGCTGATAAAATTAAAAAAATTCTGGATAACAAGAGTCTCTTGTATGTATCGATATGTATCTGGCTAGCGGAAAGGCTGATATTTGACAGAGTTTGAAGAAGACATTTGAGCTAATAGTCCTCACGTAAGCTTTACAATCATGCGTGTAAAGTGGATTTTGACAAAAGTGTGGTGTTCGATAAACACTAAAACCACACAACTTTTACAATTGACCCTAACTCCCCAGTATCTTTTACCAAGTACTGGACCAAGTCCGCCAAAATTCATCACTGACCCTGCTTCACTTAATGCTTTAGGACCAAATCAGCTGAAATCCACCACAAGACCACCACTACTATGGGGGGTAGGCGGATTTTGATGGACTTGATACTCGTGGCTTGCCTACCAAAATCCCAAAAATGGGGGATGGATTTTGATGGAGTTTGGAAGGTTAGGGTTAATATAACATCGTGGAAACCTTTCATCAACTCTCAAAACTGCCCACAATTTATTGAATATTTGAATCATCAAATTGCTATTTTGATATTGGGTAGATATTCCAATATTCCAATATTGGAAAGAATGTTGCATCCTGACGCAACTTTTACCACCATATATTATCTCAATGAAGGTGGGTCATCACAAAAATGTGCAAAAGACATGAATCTGGGACTGAGAAACCTTTCCAATTTGGTGAAGAAAATACCCTAAAAATGCATGCAACTCTCCATAGACATTGTCAAAACCAAAGAAGTGGTGTCTGGATACTACATGTACATTCTTGCCCAAATATTCTGTGTATTCGGCATAAGTCAGTGCATTGACTCTGGCACAATGCACTATGACATAATGACTTCAAACCACTGTTTAAGTCAATTTCTTTTTTTGATAAGTTTACTTTTAGGTTTTGAATTGTAAGTTAAGACGGAGAACCAAGACCATGTGGTCTGATATCTCAGGATTTGATTATTGGTTGATATTTGAGAATTTAGAAGATAAAAAGTAAGCTGAATTGTTTCAGTTTTTAACTGAGTACATCTGGTTTTTTTGGATGTTGGTCTGCAATTTCACGTTCTGATGTGTAGTTACATGTTAAACCCGATGATGGTTTCAGTAAACTTTGGTTTTAGTAAATATTCTAACTTAAGATTTTGTATTCACTTTGTTGTCTTCTTTCCAACCAGTCCGGAATGAAAACGCATCCAGGAAAACCAAGGGGCTCCCCATACAGACCCAAACCTTTTTATGGGAACTATAATCCAAGCAGGAAGCCCCAGCCGGTGACGCCAAAGTTCAGGACAAAAAAACCCAATCCAAAATTCTACAAACTGGCGACCCAGCAGCCAAGATTTCACATCCCTAGACCAGCTGTTCCCTCTCAGAGCGCACCTCCGAAACCAACTCCGCAGAAAACTGTGCCGGTGAACCATTACCAATCCAGGACAAAGACCGAGTCGACCAAAAGCCTTGCAAGCACATATAGGAGTTCAGCAAATGCGTCAGCGACAGCTGTGCAGCAACCCACTGGAACCTGGTCGAAAACTGCGCCGGTGAACAATCGCCAATCCACGACGCAGACGGAGACAACCAAAAGGCTTGGAAGTGCATCAACGAGTTCAGCAAATGCGTCAGCGACAGCTGTGCAGCAACCCACTCCAGGGCCCTGGTCGGGCAAACTTGGCTCCAGACGCAACCAGCAGTCTGCCAGTTCAAACCTTGTGGATGCCAAGCGGAATCAGCCCAAGCCAGACCCTCCCACAACTCAACCGACCACAAACAAACCAAAAGTGTACGAGAACATCTACATCACTGTGGAGAATGACGGTGCCACGAAGGGGAAGGCGAAATCTGCGAAACCGAACAAGGTGGAACGGTCTGCCAGCTTGGAATCCGCAAAAGCTAAGAAGCCGGAATGGTCCCCTAACTACGAAGTCCCCCCTCGCTTTAAGAAGCTGATGTCCCCTACTGGAACAAGTTTTCCTGACCACCAGGTTGCTGGACCAGACAGGACCCAAGACACGACTTCTGACCCTCCCGTCAAAGCAAGGCCACCGCAAGTCACCTCCAGTACTCCCCCGATCAGAGGAAAGACATCAGACTGGATACAGAAGGTACGCAATTATGGCGTTTTGTTGATTGAGACTAAGTCAGTATCCACCAGTGCTGCAGGTGCTGACTGATGAGATCTTTCATTTTTGCCAACAGGTTCTGGTAGAAAAGGCAAATGGCATCTGGGCTAGTGGCCTCTCTGACATGCACAAGAAGGAGTTTGGGAGCAGTCTAGACGCAACCATCATCGACCAGATGGCAGAACAAAATCTACTTCAGAAAGAAATGTAATATTAGATAACCTTTCATATTTTAGATTGACAACATTTTCAAAACTTTTTCTCTGGTCCTGTTTTGATTTGAAGTCTTTAACCCTGACCCTGTACAGCGTTTTGGTTAGAAACCCTGCTGAACACAGCAACATGCAACACTTGTCAAAATGACAAGCCTGCCCAGTGTAGCAAGATCCATCAGGTCAATAAATCTCAAGGCTGAACTGCCTCAGAGCCTTTGGTCACCATCTACAACAGGTTACAACTGTGGCATTGTTCAGTGAGCATAGCTCCCATTGGTCGTTTGTGCTCTGGTGTTGATGGCTCAATGCAGCAAATTCCCATCATGGAGCTCTTAGCCCAGCGGATATGTGAAAAAATTGTGCACTTTTGCATAAAAGCATGAAACTTGGCACAGATGTTTATATTCATGGGAGAAAATGTTTCAGATGTGGAGCCATCGCAAATTTACCCTTTTAGGGGCGTGGCATCAATTTAAAAAAAGGGGGGCGGGACTTGTCATGCCCGCAGTGAAAATGGTTTTTCCAACTTGTTTCAAAAGCAGGAAACTTCACAAAGACATAATTATATAGATTATTAGTGTTTTCCCGATTCGGAGCCACCAAAAAGTACTTTTTTGGGGGGCGTGGCAGTCATTAAAAGAAAAGGGGGGGGTTAATTATTATGCCCACTTTGGAAAACACTGTGCCCATATTTCATGAACGAATAAAACGTCCCACAGACGTTTATATTCATGAGAAAAAAAATTCCAGATGTGGAGCCATCTCGAACACACCCTTTTAGGGGCGTGGCAACCATATAAGAAAAAAAGGGGGGCGGGGTTTTCATTATGTCCACCCTGGAAATATTGTTCCCACACTCATAGAGAAATGGAACTTTCCACAAACATTGCCATTCACGAGAAAATTAATTCCAGACGTGGAGCCATCTCGAACACACCCTTTTAGGGGCGTGGCAACCATATCAGAAAAAAAGGGGGCGGGGTTTTCATTATGCCCACCCTGGAAATATTGTTCCCACACTCATAGAGAAATGGGACTTTCCACAGACATTGACATTCATGAGAAAAACAATTCCAGATGTGAAGCCATCGCGAACACACCCTTTTAGGGGCGTGGCAGCCATATTGAAAAAAAGGGGCGGGGTTCTCAGTATGCCCAACATGGGAAAAATGTGCCCACATCTCATAAACGAATGAAGCTATTCCCACAGACATTAATACTCACGAGAAAAAAATCAAACGTGGAACCATCGTAAACACACCCTTTTAGGGGTGTAGCAGCCATAATAAAATGAAGGGGGGTAGTCATGATGCCCCTATAAAAGAAAGTTGTGGCTACCTTTCATAAATGGATTAAATTCCACTAGGACAATATATTCATAAAAATCTTGTTTTTTTTAATGTGAAGCCATCACAAACCTACCCTTTTAGAGGTGCGGCGTCCATTTTTAAATGGGGGGGGGGGGTACTCTATATGTACAACGTGGATAATTTTGACCGCGTTTCATATAATAAAATCCACCCCATATAGCTGTTTAATGTGTTGGAGTAGGGCCGCCTTTATAGTTGGAAGTTACTGTTGGCAAACCCTTTGTTTTCTTTCACTATGCATTCTTGCCTCATCTATATCAACCCAGTTACTGTTAACCTTTCAACTGCAGCAATATCTGAATTGGGGTATAAACTAGGGTGCCTCTGTTAGTCCTGGAAAGACTAGTGTTACTTCTCCAAATACATTGTCCCCCTGCCTTTTTTTCTGACAGACCAAAAGGGGTTGTGTGGTGGGGGTACACAGATTCATTGAATGTGAAGTCATAGTGGACGTGTCCACCACTTTGTGAGGCGAGTACATCGTGTTGTTACCCAATCTGCTGTCAATGCGGCGCAACGGGTAGGGGGTAGGGGGATTTTACACCCCCCCCCCCCTAAAAAAAGAATATCCATGGCCCTTAAATGTTAAATGTTAGAGTTTAGGGCTGCCATTATGTGCTGTGTATTTGTAATTATGAAATCATTCTGGAATTTAGATGTGCATGATAATATAGGTGCAAGTACACACATTGAACCCTTTAACATGGGTTAGCCTACCGGTACTTACCCATGCTCTTTGGTGTAAGTCATTGTATTACCAAATAATATAGTTTATGGGCCAGTCAACATTATAAGAAATCAACAACAAAATTTAAAAATTGCAATTGTGGGCACAGTGAGTAGGCCCCTCACACCTCTAAAAGGATGAGTTTGCTGTGGCTCTACATGTGAATTTATTATCTTGCACCAAGTTTGTGTGAAGTTTAGTCATTTATGAAAGTTCGATGGTGAAAAAATTATTAGTAGCACCCCCCCCCCCCCCATTTAAAAAAAAATAGATGCCATGCATCTAAAAGGATAAGTTTGTGATGGCTTCAAATTACAAAAAAAAGGAAAGATTTTAATGAATATATTGTCCGTGTGGAGTTTAATCCATTAATGAAAGGTAGGCATGACTTTCTTTTATAGGGGCATCATGACTAACCCCCTCCCCCCCCCCCATTTTACTATGGCTGCCACGCCCCTAAAACGGTGTGTTTACGATGGCTTCATGTGTGACTTTTTTTTTCTTGTGAATATTAATGTCTGTGGGAATTAGCTTCATTCGTTTATGAGATGTGGGCACATTTTTTTCCATGTTGGGCATAATGAAAACCCCGCCCCCTTTTTTCAATATGGCTGCCACGCCCATAAAAGGGTGTGTTCACGATGGCTCCACATCTGGAATTGTTTTTCTCATGAATGTCAATGTCTGTGGAAAGTTCCATTTCTCTATGAGTGTGGGAACAATATTTCCAGGGTGGGGATAAAGAAAACCCCGCCTCTTTTTTTCTTATATGGTTGCCACACCCCTAAAAGGGTGTGTTCGAGATGGCTCCACATCTGGAATTTTTTTTCTTATGAATGTCAATGTTTGTGGAAAGTTCCATTTCTCTATGAGTGTGGGAACAATATTTCCAGGGTGGACATAATGAAAACCCCGCCCCCTTTATTTTCTTATATGGTTGCCACGCCCCTAAAAGGGTGTGTTCGAGATGGCTCCATATCTGGAATTTTTTTTCTCATGAATATAAACGTCTGTGGGACGTTATATTCGTTCATGAAATATGGGCACAATGTTTTCCAAAGTGGGCATAATAATTACCCCCCCCTTTTCTTTTAATGGCTGCCACGCCCCCAAAAAAGTACTTTTGTGGTGGCTCCGAATCGGGAAAACACTAATAATCTATATAATTATGTCTTTGTGAAGTTTCCTGCTTTTGTAACAAGTGGGAAAAACCATTTTCACTGCGGGGAGGCCAAGTCCCGCCCCCCTTTTTTTAAATGGATGCCACGCCCCTAAAAGGGTAAATTTGCGATGGCTCCCCATCTAAAACATTTTCTCGCATGAATATAAACATCTGTGCCAAGTTTCACGCTTTTATGCAAAAGTGCACAATTCATCGATATTTTGTCACATATCTACTGGACTATCTGTGGTCCCACAGACTTTTACACCTGATACGTTGTGTTGCGACTGGCAGAGTTAGGGTTTATGACCAAAATCCGAATTGACAAAATTTAGACTTAGTTTGGCCTACATATAGGTGGGATTTGATGTTGCCCAAGCTAACATGAACACACACTGAGCTGGAGTCTTCCAAATTTGTGCCGTGAAATCATCTGAAGGCAATGCTGAAGACAAAACCAAGGTTTCAAGGACCCCTAGGATTTTGATATGGCTCTTTGGTAAAATGACCAAGTATTGGCTATTGTACAGATTCCATAAGAAGGACTGGCAGATGTCCAAAATGTTAATGAGTTATTGCCCTCTGTGTTGTGAATAGACAAACATCACCCTCTATGGGTGATGCACAGATCAAATATGGATTGGTCAGTGTCTGTAATAAACCACTGTTCTCTCTCTTGGTTTTTGTAGGGTCTTAAATAACATCATCCTGTATCCCAAGCTGACGGTTAGTATAAAGAACTCGTCTGAATCCAAAGTGTCAAAACGGACAGTAAACCTTGGTGCCGGAGATCAGAAGGAGGTAGGAACAGCTGCGGAGAAGACGGGAAACCAGACTGCACAAAGGTTTGTGGGAAACAAGCGCTTGTTCAGAAAATCATGTACATAAATATAATTAATTGTACATTACGCAAGCCATTTTCCCTGCATGTGGAAATTGCTCATGTATAATTGTGCAGACATCGTGGTAGCTTTTGTAGCATCTGCCCATTTATATTCCATCCTAGTTGCCCAGAAGCAAAGCCCAACATAACCCCTGCGCTTACCAAGCTCACACCCCCGAAGAATCTTTTCCAAGACCCTGCTCTGGCTGACCCCAGCTTGGCAGACATTTTACAGGCCGTCTGCCAAAGACAGAACTTACCGCTGATGTACAAAACTGAACCCGAGACCCTCCTTGGGAAGCCCTATTTGGCCGTGAACTGCACAGCAGGTTTGCAAGTTAGCATGGCACATGGGATCACCCAGAAGGCTGCCGTTGAGGCGGCATCCGCTAATATTCTCTACCAGTGGAACATCATGCCCGGCGATGTAAGTCAAGTTAGTCAGCCCACTGCAGGGAGGGAGGAGCTGTACTTGAGAGTCGAGCATCAAGCTGGGTTCTGTGACTGCTCTGCTGCAGAACGTCACGACGACTGTAAGGTCCCAAGATGCATGGCCAGCTTGTTAAAGAGAATAAGATGGAAGTCTTCAGATGACCAGTTCATCCAGCAAAATCGTAGAGTCACTCCCACAGCAGGCGTGCCTCGGAGGATTACAAACCTCTCCCAAGTGGACAGGTTGGAAGCAAGAGCTGCCCGGTTTGGTCTTAATCCCAAAGCAGCTCTGGAGGAAGTGGATTCTCAGCAACCCAAACCTCTCATGAACTTATCCTTCTCTCAGGGCAGAGCTGAAAGGTTCTGTGTTGTAAACTCAAAAACTTTGTTGCAACCTCGGGAAACAATTCAAGGTGCACAGGTACTGGAAGCTGAGGACAACTCCAACAAGGCTTCTTCAACTGGAGAGTTTCATGTTCAACCAAATGCTGCTGCTCAAAAGGATGCTGGAATCTTCCCAGACTTGCAAGAGGTAAAGCCACTCTCACAAGAGGAGATTCTAAACAAGAGGGCAGAGAGGTTTGGCCTCACATTAAATGAATATACTCATCCACAACCTGTTGTCGGCAAGACAGATAACAACCCACAGTCACTGGCAGGCATCACAAGCAACTCTGTGACAACTTTACGGAGAGCTCCAGACCTGGAGATTCGGAGAGTTCTACGGGAGACATTTGGCAGAACTGCCATCTATGAGACAGTCAAGGAGACCATCTCAATGGAACGTCCGCTTGTTAGTGTGTGCTTCATTGCTGGGTCTGTTGTTGGCATTGGGAAAGGACCAACTAAATCTGAGGCCAGGAAGGCAGCACTGAAGGAGTTGCTGTTGAATCAGAGACAGTTGAAAAGCAAGCTGAAATCAGCGAGCCACAAAAAGCTGAATCAAGAGGAGCTTCCAAACACCCAAGATCAAGACTCAGAGCCAGTGGCAAGAAGTCACAGATATCCAGAGGTACCTCAAGACGAGAACTTGAATAACTCTGGAATCCAGAATTATGAAAGCTCATCGAGCAGGAATGAAGCAAACGACCAACAGCAAGGAAAAGGTTCCCCCAAGGAGCTGCCACCTTGTCCAGGATCTGAAGAAGTTTGTCGAGAGAGGAAGGGTTGGCCGATGAAGCCAGACCTAGATCTACAATTTCGGAACATTGACAACAACAAAATGCTGAATGTAGAGAAACGGAGAACGAGTCCTAGAGGAGAGTACCAACTTCTACAAGATGCATCAAGCGGCACTGCCTTCCCTGATAAAATGGGGAAGGACTCTTGCAGCCTTGGCATCTCAAGATGGCAGCAGAGCCCAGACTCTTGGACAGGCTCCCTCAGGTTGGCTGCATGCATCTGCACTAACCAAAGTTGCAATCGTCATCTCTTTGTTTTGTTTTTTCTTCAGTTTGTTATAAATTTTTCAGCACCAGTCACACCTAGAACGATGACAAAATGGTACACTGTACATGTCTCTTGTGCTATCAAAGCACATGAAATCCATTACCATAGTAGTTGTCCACCACTGCATTAGGCACAGTGCTATAGTGTGCTTTTGTAGTCTATCCATTGCCCATACTGAACAGGTACAAGTACACTTAGTTTGGTTCTGAACATTGCGAACAGTTCTTAGTATGACTCGGGCTTGTCTGAGCTGGTATGTTTTGTAAAGTGTCGCCACAAGCTTTGTACCTGGGATGCATTCCAAAAACCTTAACCCTTGCCTCTTATATGTATTTCCATTTGGATAGGAACCATCCTCAATCCTGCAAAATCCACCAATTGCCACCATGTAAAACTTGCATTTAGCCTCAATCCTTCAAAATCCTCCAACAATCACTGTAATGGGTTGAGGCAGTGCTGATGACATTCAGAAGCAGTGCGGGTGATATCCAGCGTAATACAGGGCTCAATTATTTATGACCAAACATAAACAATGCTGGTTACAGCCTACAAACTCGACAAAATTGCATCCTCCAAAATCAACCAACACTTTTTAGCAATTCAGCCTCAATCCTCCAAAATCCTCCAAAACTGCCTGGTGGATTGAGGGTAAACCTTAATGCTGAAAGCCATCCTCAGGGAAATTGGCTTCTTTGAAATTAGACCACAGCCGTTTTGTCATCATTCTGGTGTGACCAGCTTTGAACATTCGTTGAGCACTGTTGATTTCCATGGCTATTTGCATTGTTCAATTTTTCACATCATCGTTGTCACTGAAATGTCATCATTCTGGGTGTGTTCACACTGGGTGCATGTTGGCAAAACGTACAATTGACGTGCCTCCTTGTTAATTTTGCAGCCGAAGGAATAAAGTTAACGAATAAACGAAGTTTGCAGAGTGTCTCTGGATACAATTTAACAAGTGGACTTTTTTGGTTGCAGGATAGAATATATTTTTCACAGACCTCTTTAAGTTACATGTACAGTAGGCATTTTACTGACAACTTTATCATTGTTGTTCAGTGTGTACATGTGTTGCCAAAATTTTTCAAGACTCATAATGAAGGGCTTCTGAACTTCGAATGCTTCCACTGTGAACATACCTCTCATTGTGTGATTCAGCCTCCAACCCTTGAATTTACATTCGATTTTAACCAGTTCGTGCCAGAGGCAAAAGTTTTGCAGTATTCGGAAACACAGATAAACGCGTAGGGAGCGTGGCCGGAAATGTGAGTGTGCTGCCTGAGGGTCATTGCTTTAACCCACCTGGTTTGAGGTTGAGTGAAACTGCGCCTTGTTCCGTTCTTATTAAAAATAATCCCGACATGAACTGGTTAATACATTACAGTTACTTGTTTTTGTTTTCAGCTGTTGTTGGGCACCCTTTTTCTTTACATAGTGTCATAAGATTAACCCTAACCAACCATTGCATGTTGTTATCTTGGATTTTGAAGGATTAAGTATATTGTTTATCTTTTTGAAGAAAATGTTATTTGAATAATTTAATTCCCACAGTAACCTGTTTTCTTGTTTCTAGTGCATTTTTGAGAATTTTGTCGAAGAATCCCATGAAATAAGGAGTTATTAATCCTAAACTCTCCTGAAAAAAAGTCTATCTGTTTTTTTTTTCTTTACACGAAACAAATAAACCAGTGCATGTGGGTTTTATTGCACAATGTTGGGATTGTGGTGAACTTTCAAACATTTATGAAATACACCAAGGAGTTGATGTTGAATTTTATTTGTCATAACATGACATTCCCACAGCTACTCGCAAATAACTTCCAACCGGGTTCAAATTCATTAACCTTCCTACTGTTTTAATTGTCACAGACAGTCAAAAATTCCATTGACATCCCCTGCTATGTTTTTTACATACATGTACATGTAGTCACAAACTGTAAGATCATATTTTGATCAAGTCAAATTCAGTCAGCAGACAAAAGCAGGAAACTGGCGGCACAGCTGTCTTATCAATCACCTACTGGTCAAAGCATAGCCAGGTTAAGTTACATAAACAGTCACAGCCAGTCAATCCTGCTTTATGTAGGCTGGGAGCTCTTAACTGTTACAAACAGTCACTTGATTGATTTTGGCTTGGACAGCTTGGCACAGAACGTATGTTTGCATAGGAGGGTTAACGTTTTAACCTGAAAGAATCCCAACTAATTTGTTTTGTATTTTACATGTTTTACTTACCTTTGTTTCCCATCAGATATATGCACCAAGACCAGCATTAACAACGTTTGTTTGCTTCGGATTTTGTTCTCCAGAAATGGCACCCCTACAGGACCATCCACTTCAGTTGTTCAGCCCATCAACAATGCCAGATGGAAACCTTCAGATGACTGGGTCGTCCAGCAAAATCCCAGACTCACTCCCACAGCAGACGCGCCACCTACCAACAACGGCACTCCTGCCACCAGTCCGACAAACATTGTCCCTAGCAACCTGTCCTCACCCAGAACTGTTTCCCCAGGTGCCCAGTTGCTAGGCAACCCAACGCTAGGCAACGCATCCTCACCTGGCGACCCGTTGCCAAGGAACGGTTCACCCCAAGACCCTGCACAGGCCGAAAGCGATGCCTCAAATATCAATGAGATTACCAACAGCCTTGCCAACGCCCAGCTTAGTGGCACCCACTCGCCCCCATGTGTACCCGTTGAGGAGACCTGTAGTGAACCCAGTGAGCCTAGTGAGGGGGGCGGTTCACCCACTATGGAAGTGTCAGGCGTGCCCAACCTGCAGTTGCCAGAAGAAGATGAATGGGATGTTTACGTGGCATACATCAAGAGTTTGTCCGACTTCTTTGTTATTCTGATTGGAGATGACTATTCGGTAAGAAATTGTTTGTCCCCTTATTTAATAATAATGGAGTCTTATATAGCGCACGTATCTACCAACTATTAGGTACTCAAGGCGCTGGAGTTATGTCTATTATTAAAGAAAGGTAAATAAAGTTTATGAGAGATATGAGACCCATTATGTAGCACCTTATAAGGGTGTACAAGGTGCTGCAGCGCATATTGCAGCCACTGCCAGAAACACCGGGGCAAGCCCCTTCTCTTAGCGATAAGTGTTACTGGGTTCTTTAACGTGCATTTACACAACACACGGGACCTACGGCTTTACGTCCCATCCGAAGGACGAAGCAATAATGGTAAAGTGCCTTGCTCAAGAGCACAAGCACCATGTTCCCACAGTCAGGATTCGAACCCATGTACCACGGCACACGAGTCGAACACCGTAACCATTGGACCACAGCACCCCACAACCCTAACCCTCCAGGGTATTTTGGTGAGAAACCTGCCAAACGCAGCAACATGCAACACTTGTCTAAATGACAAGCCTGCTCAGTGTAGCAAGATCCACAAGTTCATTCACTAGTCAATCACAAGTTCATTCACTAGTCAATCACAAGTCATATTGCATGTCAATTACAAGTCAATCGCAAGTCAAATGACCAGTCGGATGACGATTAACTGGAGCTCAACAATGACAACGGATTGCCTTTCCACAGTTCAATTAAATTGGTTGTGGCGAGAGATCGTTCGACTTAGGCCAAGTTCGCGCAAGGACTATAGTTGACCAATGGTTAACTTACGTTTGCCCGAACTCTGTCTAGTCGACGGTGGTTGACTACGCTAGTCAACTATTTGGAACCAGCCTACTGGGGTTGGTTGCTTCGCTGGTAACCAATAGCCACGCGCATTCATAACGATAGCAGAGAGCCAGGATCCAGAAGTTTTGCGATGACATTTTGACCAGCGTTTGACTAGAGACGTTCGCACATTGCTATCAGTGCGCAGGCGTAAGGTACGTCACAAATCAACCACTAGTCGACTAATGGTCCTTGCCCGAACTTGGCCTTAATGTTTATGTCTTGTTGTCGTTTTACAGGAGCAGTTGATGGTTCTGGAGGAGGAGATGCGGCTCTTCTACCAATGCAGCACCTGGACCCTGACTGACCCGCCGGAGGAAGGTGACTGCTGTGCGGCACAGTTCAACAGGGAGTGGCTTAGGGTCATGGTCAAATCGGTCCAAGGGGACCAGGTAATGAAACCTCCCAGAAATTCATCCATGCTAATCTTAAATGATTTACTGATTGTGCTCTGCAACAAAGTCATTTTTTTGGGGGTCAATTTCTTATTCAAAAGTGAATAACTTCTGTATTTCAATATTAGGTTTTGGCCCTTCACTGACATGTAAACACTTTATACCCGTGTGAAAGTTGGAAAAAATCACTCAGGTGAGACTCGAACCCACGACCTGCTTTTCTATTTTAAAAAGTTGCTAGAAATACATTTTAATCGATTTTAAATCTAATTGAGGGAGAAAAACTGGAGCATGGCATAGACAAAACATCTTGAACACTTTAAACCCCTTTAAGTTCTGCCTCCATGATTTTACACAAATCCAAAGTTTTCCTTTAGTACACAAATCCAAAGTTTTCCTTTAGTACACAAATCCAAAGTTTTCCTTTAGTACATAAATCCAAAGTTTTCCTTTAGTACACAAATCCAAAGTTTTCCTTTAGTACACAAATCCAAAGTTTTCCTTTAGTACACAAATCCAAAGTTTTCCTTTAGTACACAAATCCAAAGTTTTCCTTTGTCAAAATCGTATTTTAGGTGCAAGCAGATAAGCCCTCTGCACTCCACATGTATAAAACTTGTCTCTTATATTATTGCCAACCTTTCACAGAGGGCATTTCATTACGATTCAAAATCAAGGTGTTTGGAGTTTATAGCGTTTTATACTGAATTTTGATTCTACAGGAGGAGGGTTATAGCCCTTTCTGGATATGTGTATGCAGAGGCCCCCCAGTTGTGGCACAAGCATTTCGACAGTTGTCCATTAACCCTACTCCCTAGGCATTTTTTTGCTAGGATGCAACCTCAATCCTGCAAAATCCTCCAATTGCCTCCATGTGAAAATTGCATACCGCCTCAGTCCTGCAAAATCCTCCATTATTTCTTGAATGTGGTCATTGCAGGGGTGACCACTGCCTCAATCATTCAAAATGCTCTAGCCATCATTGTCCATATATTGAAGCAGAGACAGTGACATCCTGGAGCAGTGCGGAGGATTTCAAGTATAATATAGGCTGAGCATAAACAACACAAGGTCCGGCCCAAGATCTTGACACAGTGCATTTTTGCCATATAGTCTGAATCCTGCAAAATCCTCCATTTTGCAAAGAGGATTTTGGAGGATTCAGGAAGGTTAGGGTTAAAGTAACAGTCTGGAAGCAGTTGCATTGTGCAAAAGCTTGTCCTATTTTGGCTCAATACAAGACTCACCTTCTAATACTGAATACAATAAAAGCATGCAATTTATTATTTTCTTACTTTTTACATCACAGGTCGAGTGCTTTCTGCTTGATCATGGCGACATTGAGACGGTAGATATCAGTTTTCTCAAACCGTTGTCCGACACTTTCCTACAACTTCCCTTTCAGGTAAGGTCCCAAGTCATTCTGTTTTTGCTTTAGGTTTTTTTTTTTTTTCGAGGGGGAGAGTTTGGTCAGAACAAAATATCTTCTGATTCTGATTTGATGAATCCATAAAATAAACCCGGACAGTGCAGAGTGGTTTGAGACTAAAGAATGTAATAGGTTGCTCGCACTGTTCGGATACCTCAACTTTTGCTGCGACAATTTGCAAGAAAAAAATAGAGACCAGGCGCGGTTCTAGAGCCTATATTTTTTTGGGGGGGGGGTGGGGGAGGGGCTAGCAGGGGTGGATCCAGAAATTATTGCTGGGAGGCATGCTGAAAAGTAGACGTTTTTTTTCTCTGGACACTTTGGTCTAAGAAAATCAATAGGGGGGGGGGGTGCTTGTACCACATTTTCAATGGGGAGCGCTGATAAAATCCTACAATCGTGCACACTGTAGTACCTTTTAGTGTACAAATGCCCCCTTCTCACGACTATTTTTTTGGGGGTGAGATGATTCGCACGTCAACTTCAAAAATTGGGTACTGCCTTTTTTTTTGTGGACTTTTTTTTCGGGGGGGGGGGGGGGGCTACACAATTTTGGGGGCTACAGCCCCCCCCCCCCCCAGTAGGTCCACGCCTGGAAGAGACAGGATGATTCGTTGAGCTGCTTTCCCGCAGCTAAAAATGAAAACCTGTTAGGGGAGGGGGGATAGTCCCTATTCGCCGCCTGGATTCGCCTATGCCTACCTTTTTCTCCCATAAAAGAAAAGACGTGGTGGCGGCCGGGCAGGTTTGTTAATAACACTGATCAAACCATTGACGTCCCACAGGTGGTTCGCTGCAAGTTGGCTGGAAGCGAGCAGGTGGCAAAGGACGACGACACGGCACTACAGATGTTCTGCCAGCTGGCCTTGGGCAAAAACCTGCTGGCGGAAATCACATCAAGGTTGGTGGTTTTTCCTTAAAAGGCATATTGGATCAGTATTTTTTTCCTTAAAGGCATATAGGATCAGGCATAGCAGTGGGTACCACAATTAATCTTTTCATGAGATGGAATTTGCCCTTAAAGGGAATATACATCATTTGCTTTTGCTGTAATTTTCAGAAATGGATGGAATTGGGGGGTTGGAAATATATAGCAAATATAGTTACACTGACTTTTTTGAGGTTTTGGGTTCAAAAATGCTATAAAAACCAAGAAAAACAATCATTTTCCTGTAGTCTGGTTCCCTGACTCCATATAAGAAGAAACAGAGCAGTTTACATACATTGGGGAATTGTAAGGTCAGGGAACCAGTCTAGCTGGCTTGTACCCGTTCATAGGTGTGTAATCCATTGCAAACAAGTGCAATGGTCAATTGGGGCCAGTGTTTGAAAAACAGCCAGTTTTTTCCAATGCTGGTTGGCCGACTAGCGTTGGAAATTGATACAAAAATACCACTTTTCTTGAAAATGAAAGTATACCAGGTGCCATGATTTTACAGGATGCTTTACACTGTCATTCACTAGCAGTCCAGCAAGGTATTTCAAAATGATTTGGTAGTTTTATTTTTTGATGTTTGCAAATGTTGTATTTTCCCTTTAACCGACGTATTAACACTGTGTACTCAATGTGTTACCTCCCAATACACGTAATCAGTGCGAGCTTGTTGCATTCATGCAAGCAAAGGTAGCATTCTTTTCATCAAATTTTACTTCCTCTGTTTACAGGGATGGCGACCAAGTCACGATGGAGCTTTTCGATGAGTCTGACGTCTCTATTCTGGAGCAGAGTATGGCGGCTGGCATTTAACCTCTGAAAATCAGAGCATTGCAAGAACTACCACTTCCAATTCTGAAATAAAAAAATGTTTTTGTTATCCAATCTGTTTAGTCAGATCCTAATCAAATATGTCCAAAAAAGGTGTCCAGTTTCAGCTAATCTTAAAATAAAAGCGTTTCGTCTGAAAGATAATTTCTCTTTTGACTGTCTGTGAACGTGGAAAATGTTTGCACAAATATCTTTCCCTGGTAATTCTAGTTGCATAAAATCTGAGGCAAAGAAATAGTAGTATTAATTTGATATTCTTGGAAATCTTTCTTCCACTGGCAAGTTACGGACACTGAATCTCCCTCTTGCGTACATTTCCAAACTTTGCAACTGGGCTTAACCTACAAGCAAATGATTTTTTTTAAGTGTCTTCTAATATTGTGTGTGAAAATACATTGTTACCTTGTGCCTTCCCAGTTTTTGAAATTTGTTTTTAAAAATTACACGGCAAGTCCTTTGAAGTAAGTGTTCGTTCTTTACAGTACTGCAAATAACGCTCACGTCTTAAACATGCAATATGTGAGGCGCACATGTTGGAGAGGCACACATGTATCCCACATTGAACAGTGACAGGGCGATACCTTTACCATACTTTTGTCTGGATGCGGCAAAGTCCATCAATTCATGCCTACAATGTACTCATAATTCGGGCAATTCACAATGCAGTGCGCCACCAAGAGTTTGCCATGGAGTAATGTTTTGCAAGGAACAATTTCAAATGTCCCGCGCTATCGAAGATCTCCCACAATGCACTGGGAAAACTGAACTCTCCATGGCAAACTCTTGGTGGCGCACTGCATTGTGAATCACCCAAATTGCCAATGGAATCCTGTTACATATAGTTTCGGAATGTCAAGTTACATGCACTATCCATGGTTGTTTACTCAAAGACTCGGTTATGTTAAATTGGTACCTGTAGTTATCAGGCATGCAACTTTTTCTCAGATCAGCTGATTTCCTCGTTTTTCAATTCTCATGACTGCCATTACAAATCGAAAAACACTGTACAAAGTCTTGATTGGTTTGGAATTTCCTCTTTTTTTTTTTACATTCCCAGTTGCTTGCCCGAGTTATCTTTGAGACATGGTAACATTATAATGCATAGGCCTAATAGCCAGTACTCAAAATGTACATTTGTACTAGCTACAGCATCAGTGTACAGTACTCAAGTTACACAGGTGGCAATCAAGAGATACTCGCATGCTATAGTGTAAGATTTTAAAATTGTTATAAGTGGTTGTACTAAACAAAACTATTACAGAAATGTTAAGTGGTAAACTTTGCAAGATGCGATTACAAATATAGGTACTGGAGTTATTGTGTGGTATCAATGTTTTGAAGTGTACAATGCACCCAACAGAGGTATCGAGTAGAAATGGGTATTACTGGGTGACATTTGGGTTAAACGTCGCCCAGTAATGGGCACCCATTTTGGGTACCCAACAGAAATGGGTATTACCGGGTGACATTTGGGTACAGACGTCACCCAGTAATGGGCACCCATTTTGGTTACCCAACAGAAATGGGCATTACTGGGTGACATTTGGGTTAAACGTCGCACACTAATGGGCACCCATTTTGGGTACCAAACAGAAATGGGTATTACTGGGTGACATTTGGGTACAGACATCACCCAGTAACAGGCACCCATTTTGGTCACCCAACAGAAATGGACATTACTGGGTGACATTTGGGTACAAACCACCCACAGTAATGGGCACCTGTTTTGGGTACCCAACAGAAATGGGCATTAGTGGGTGACATTGGGTATTTTGTACTATTATGGGTAACGGAGGAAGCACGGCCCGCATATGAATTCTGTTGATTTGACAGAAATCATATTTGCCTAGGTCCGAATTTAGTTTAGATAAAACGGTGTGCTAGAGGTACAAGGTTTTTTTTTTTCATCGTTATGTAAATGTGTATAAATGTAAATAATTTTGGTGACATTACGAAAACTCTTTCTTTCCTTTAATGTAAAGTTCATGTAAGATACATTTGTAAATTGGAAATTACGATGAAAAGTACTCAAGCTCTGAGGTTGTTTGAAGCATTCCTGAAGTGCAGAAAATTGTGTGTTCAAATAATTATGCAAGTGATCGAGAAATACCAAACATTAAAAAAAAAAATCACCCAGATTTTTGATTGGAGTTTTTTGCAACTTTGTTGAATTGCTTGAAAATTATCGCTCAGCAATCTCAAGTAATGAGCAGATATATGCCGAGAACCAGTCATGGGCAATACAAATTTCATTATATTTTGGCTGGTAACCCAACAAAGCCATTATTATGGTCATGATGGTAGACAAATTGTGTATTTGCAATTAACAGCATTCTGAGCTGGGTGCAAAATGAGACGAGTTAAATCATGCCAAAGTTGTGCCATTGAGTGTTTTCTTCCATATGATGAAACCCAATTTTAATATTGATTTCTTAATTATTTTTTTAAATAAAAACCATCAAAGTTCATATAAAGAAATTCTTTTTATTTTTATGTTAAAATGGTTAGGTTCTTGAAGTTGAATAAAAAAGAAAGAAAACGAAAAAAAATATATTAACCAGCTTTGAGTTTGTGTGGTTTATTAAAATATGCGAAATAATAAACATAATTCTTGTTCTTTTCTAAATCTGTACAAATTTGTACAAAAATATACACAAATATACAAAGGTGCTGAGTAATGTACACAGGTCAAGTAATTCAGAGGGCTGAAGTTGGGGTTCAACAATAGAAAAGTAATGCCGACTCACAAGTCTTGACCAGAATTTTGGATAGGGTCGATAATTGTAAGTGCATGTAAAAACATGTAAAAATAAAAAAAAAAAAACATGCGAAGTTTTTTTATTGGGAATGTTCACACTCTTCAATAGGCATGCCCAATAGCACCAATGAGTATGTATTTCTTGAGACGTAAATTCACACTACTACCGGCATCGCCGCATACTCAAAACTCTTACAGGTGTTCAGGCTGCACAGAAAACTGATGATCAACGTGTCGTCTTTCATTATTTCTTTTAAATTTTGGTGGGTTGACTGATGACTTTTTGAGAAATTCGCAGCCAAAGAAGACCACCCCTGAAACGAATGATATTTTCCAAACTGGAAAAGTTGCCATTTTGAAAAAGGATCCCTCCACAACATGGCTATATAGCACCACTTTCGGACCCAACCGCATCTCAGAATTAGAAGCCGCAAGTCCAGGCCAGAGGTGTAGTGCCATGTGTCTTCAATTCCCCAATTCCATGGCTCTCAAAACTCTCTAATATAGAATAATTTGAGTGTATAACTTTAATTCATGAGCTCGGCAAACAGATTTTGGGCCGATTTACTGGGTTGCACCCTCAAGGGTCATGAAAAGCGCCCTCTGTAGTGTCATGTGGTTTGCAGCCCCTCTTCGGGTCTCGAGCTTGACGACTCCTCGTGTGATTGGGTGAGGGACAAAGCAAGGGCTTCCACTAGGAAAAAAGAACAACCCAGAAAAAAAGAAAAAAACAAAAAACAAATAAGCAACAGAAAACCAAACAAACCCCCCAACACAAACCAAAAAACAACAACCCCCCAAAAAAATTGCAAACTGTGTGCATAAGCTAATGGGGACACTTTTACTTTTTGTAAAATCTAACCATTTTGGGAATACCCAAACTAGAAATATCACTTGTACTGCAACAAATTTTAATGTTTATTTATTTATTTCGAGCTAACCATTAAAAATTGTAAACAGTTATTATTTTCGAATTATTTTTTCTATCATTCATTATCAAGACTGTGGGGTCGGTCTGTTTGTCAGTCAGTCCATCTTTTCGTGTGACCATTCACATTTAGCTGGTCCCAGAGGGCCAGCCGAGTGTAAAACCCCATGGTCCAGTGGTTACGGTGTTTGACTCATGTACGAAGGTGTGTGGGTTCGACCCGTACCAGGCGCATGGTGATTGTGCCCTTGGGCAAGACACTTAACTACAATTGCCTCTCTCCACCCAGGAGTATAAATGGGTACCTGTGAGGGTCGAGGACCAATTGAGCGCTTATATTGGCTGCCGTGTGGTCCCATGGCCTGATGAACGGGGTAATAATTCTAAAGCGCTTTCAGATCGTTGATTCGATGGAAAGCGCTATATAAGCACAATTATTATTAATTATTATATTGTGCTCCAAGTACCTACCTCACTGACAGACAGTCAACTATGATCTGAGCAGTGCTATTGTATAGGATAACCCTATATTGCCAAAAAATGGGCTAAATCCTGCCCATTGTGTAGACCAGATGCATGGAAAGCCTATTCCAATAAATAGCCACTTTGAATCAATGGAATATAATCTTGTGCACCCTGGGACTCGCTTCATTAGACTTGCGTGATCTTTGTTTACTTACAGTGGGGGAAGGCTCCCCGTTTGTTGATGTTGTTCAGCATGGTCAGGAGGAACGTGCTGCATTTGTTGAATTCGCTCAGCATCTGCTCGATTCTCTCGGCGCTGGACAAGCAGACACGCACAGAAACAACAAAATAACACACATCAAAGACGAACACATTAGACAGTAGATAATTTGCACTTTTCAGTGCCAGTGAATTTAAATAAAATGAGCCTATTGACGCCATGCAATAAACAGTAGATTGCTGTTTGTGACCACTGTGCGCATTGCATGGGCGTGCTGGTTTGCGCATATTTCCCAAACTCAACCTCATCCCCCATGGCTACGATCTTGCTACGCCATGTTGGCTCCCATCATGCCCTGCGCAATCTGAACCCCTGGAATTGTGTAACTTTAAATGTGCCACTCTTTGGCACATTTGAATTAGGACTGCAGTCAATGTGTGAGTTTTTTTTGGGTAGAATCAATCCTTTCGAACAATTTTTTTTTGTAGCAGCAGGTTGTGGGTTCGAGTCCCACCCTAGTACTTTGTCAAATTTTTATCGCAATCACTCTGAACAACACTGAGTATACAGTGTTTAAAATATATGTCAGTGAAGGGCAAAACCCAAATACTGAACCCCATATAGTGGCTTCACATCAGCAACAGGCATGGAGTACCATGCGCACGAAATGTGTGTGAAAGACATTGAACCAACACGCGCGCATACTTCATTCATTTGCACTACGCTTTCTGGTTCTAATGACGTCACACTTCGGTACTCCATACAGCTGCAATGTGTTCAGGGGTCCCTCCCAGTGGTCTTCCCAAACTCTTTGTAACCTTAGCGGGCATATCTGTGTACCATAGGTTATTGTCTTACCTGAAAGCTGTCAGTCCAGCATCCCAGCGTCTCTGGAAGACTAGGGCAAGATTTAGGGCCTTGATGACAGCCTCCCGCACCAGGCCCACCTTCTTGTGCAGCAGGCAGCGTTCCCAGACCTTGTCTAGGTAGTTGGCGTGGACGTCTAAGATGGCTTCCAGATCGGGCGCCTTGTCGATATCAGACTGGAACTCCAAACCAGTACTGTGAAGGATCTGCTCGACGACGGTTAAAGACAGAAGTACAACAGTGGTCAGTTTGGCATATGACAGGGACTAATTTCAGAAATTTGCAAATAGGAATTTGCTTAGCATAGAAAATATTAGCTTTGCGAAATTGGGTCATGCAATACTTTCTTGTTAAGTCTAGAACTCCAAACCCGTACTACGCAGAATCTGCTCAAAGATGGTATTTCAAAAAGGACAGTAAAACGTGGTCATCAGTACACTTAATACTAGGGTCCGATTTCAGAAAGATGCTTACAGGGATTTGGCTAAGCAGAAATAATGGCATAGCAAAATTGGGTTAACGGCTACAATTTCATGTGATGTAGTAATGCTTGTAATGGGTTTCCTGCTTATCCCTTTCCTTACCATGGGCGACTTTTGTCGACAAGAAGTACCCCCCTGCTGGTTCCCATGGGCGACTTTAGTCGACCAGGAAACCACACACAAACCACACTCAACACAGATATATTCACTACTTTTCAGAAAGGCGGCATGTTGATATGTTTGGCCGCCCATACATCAACTATATACCAGCTGAAAGAGTGTTTTCGGATTTTTCTATTGGTGTGGTTTATTTATAGTGTTACCATACAAAAAAATGAGAAAAGTGCTTCAGAAGTATCCACGCACAATTTGAGGTATGGAGTGCCATTTGGTCATGTGGTGAAATGGCTTGCAGTTTGATAATTGTGACCAGATAAACAAAAAGGCATAACTTCCTTATATTTGCACGTATGGACTTAATTTTTACATCACATAAAAGAGTAGGGTTCAAGGAACAAACTTTACACACAACATTTATGATTTTAAACACTTCTTGGCAATGAAAATCTGGGTTGAATAAAGTTAGTTTTTGACTCGTGCTCATTTGGTTCACGCTCTAGTGATTTCCGCATGACTGAGCAAACAATTTGGTCCTGGGGGGCCCTAGTCAATAAACAATGTGGGCATGAAAGGGTTATACTTGCTTACCACTGAAATTAGCTGAGCTGCGCCATGAAATTGGGCCCTGTTCACAATCTACTAGACGATCTCCAGAAGGGCCATGGATACAATGACAGTTAAGTTTTCAATTTTACAAAGCTTCTGCGCACCAAAATATGCTTAGCACAGAATAGCACAAACTGTTTACCAACTAAATGTCATATGATCTATACAGCTTGTGCCTGGTTCCCTGCTTATTTTGGCTTAGAATATTAATTTGCTGAACTACACTTCCTGCAAAACAGCTCAGCACAAAATACCGCTTAGCAAATTTTTGTGCTGAGCAAAAACTGGCCGAGTACCAGTCAATAGCAATAACATGACGTGAGGTTTTCGTCTGGTAACCCTTTTCTGCAAAGCAATTTTCTTTTGTAATGAGCAGAATTCCGTGCTCAATGAAATTGGCCCTTATTTTGGCTCAGCCAATATTTTCTGCGCTTAGCAAATTCTAAGCGGTTCTGTGAGATCGGGCCTTTATCAGGACTCACTCTGGACATCAGGTAGCTATGGACGGCGTTCACAAAGTGGATCAGCTTGTAGCGCAGCAGATAGACTCTGTGCAGTAGCTGTGCCTTGGGGAGTGGGGGCTGCCTGGGGGTCAGGGTAGAGTCACCTTTGACCCCTGCTCTTTGACCCTCTGGCTCAGCTGGCAATGTTGGGGATGAAGAACGGCTGATGGCTGTGTGAAAAATAAAAAGTACATCAACTGTGACTAGACTGAATGGCAGGTATCAGACTGTACAGTTATCTCCAGTTTCCTTGGTATGAAACAACCAAGAATGTTTCTATTCCCCTGGATGGGATGCCAGTCCATTGCAGGTTACTCCCCACCTATACCCATTTAAACTCCTGGGTGGCGAGAAGCAAGTTTAGGTGAAGTGGCTTGCCCAAGGACATGACATTGGCCAGCAGACTGAGAATATTTCTACTTCCCCTGGATGGAAAGCCAGTCCATTGCAGGTTACTCCCAGCTAATGCCGGTGCACATTTATCACTCCTGAGTGTAGAGAGGCAAGTGGGATTAAGTGGCTTGCCTAAGGAAACAACATGGCCTGCAGCTGGATTCGAACCCCTGACCCTCTGATCATGAGGCACACACCATAACCACTAGACCACTCTTCCACAGAATGCCTATACCTTTCGTAGCAATCCTAGTTCCATTTCCATTCCACACAATACTCACAGCTGAATCGGAGTTGGTCCAGACAGTACTTGGCCCTCTTGACCTGAAGTAGGAACCTGAAGACTTGATTGTAGCTTGCAATGGTCTCAGAATTGATGATGATATCAAGCGGCCACGGGACCTGTAAGGAATTGGGACACGGGCCAAAGTCTGTATCAGGTCTAGAAGTTGAGGTTCTTCTTAACTATCTGGTGTCAACTTGCAATGAGGTAAACTTTACTAGTTCAATAGTGCTGAATCTGAATGTTCACATTGGCCCTAATTGCACATTAACCTTATGACGACATTTTTTTTATCTCAAAATGTACCTTATAGTGAAGTGTTAGTCCGTCCAAAGCGTGGATTGGTTGCATTGAGACAGCAGAGGGCACACTCACTGGCTCAAAGCTTACGGTCAGTCTGAATCAAGGACAAATAGGTGCCGTTACAAAAAATAGCAGCAAAATCGCAGAATTAGACAGTAAATAACAAAATGCTTTATTACTTTAAAAGTCATTAAAACTTCATTACTTTAACTTGCTGTGGGCAATTTGTATTTGTACTTAAAGAGAGTAACTGTAATGTGTTATTTGGCTTTGGAATTACATTGTATTAAATTGCATTTCTCTCGTTTCCTTCCCTTACAAAACCATTTCACCAGACAGTGCTGGGATGTTTTGGCAATTTGGGGAGTTACAGGCTGGGCGGTTCGGGGCGATACAGGGAATTATGGGTTACTGAGTTTATGTAAGGATTCCAAAAAGGCCGACCTTTTGAATTCCAAAAATGACCACCCTTTACCTGTCTGCGTCGGCAGGATATCTGGTGCTGACAGCCGTCTGCAGCTGGTAGTTGAGGTAGAGCGTGTCCTGCCATTGGCTCTCATGTTGGCATGACCTCAGCTTGTCAAACAGGTCCGACAGGAAGTCGAACATGGTGTCGCCGGCCTCACACAAATAAAATTTCTGCAGAATGAGGAGAGTTTTGTTGTTATGAGAATTTTGTGGACTGAAATGAGAGCGTTGTGGCGCGCTGTGGTCAAATTGTTGCCTGATTCATGTGCAATGGTGGGTCCCAACCTTGATTGGAACATGGAGATTGTGTTCTTGGGCAAGACACTTTACTAGAATTGCCTCTCTCCAAACATGAGTATAAATGGAACCTGTGATGATATAGGGACCAGATTGCACTGATCTCCAGCTGCTGCAGAAAATGGTCTCATGGCCTGATGAACAGGGGTATTAATCGTGAAGCACTTTGAGAGTTTAGTACAAAGAGCTATAAGCTCCATGTTATTATTATTCAGGGAATAAATGTGTGCTTGGCTGGTTTTAAATACCATGTTTAAGGCTGGTTTGGAGTCTGGACGCTGATAATGACCCAAGCCGAACACAATTTATTCCCCCCATTTATAAATAACTTTTCGGTCAAACAGTCAAAACAAGTCAAAAATTAAAAATTTGCAACATTTTTGTTCAACAAGTTTACTTCCTGATGTTTGAAACACCCAACTTGCTATGTTACGTGCCTCTCACGAGTAGTCGTAAATAACTCCTTATATGGAGAATGGCGCGGGCGTTGCGTGTACTGTGCAAGTGGCACAGAATGCTGCTGTGCCGGTGTAGTGCGAATTTAGGACTATGAAATACAGACTCATGCCTAACCTAGGATTGTGAATGTTAAACCAATAAAAGGGGCCAGATTTCATAGGAGTCCGTCACTCACCCTCATGGAGGCAAACATCTCCATCAGGTGGTAGTCTTTCTTCAAGGCTACCACTATTTCCTCGCAGATGGTTTGGCACTTGGCCATCAGCAGCGGGTAGAGACATCTGTGCAGTAACAGTTTCAGGGGCTTCATGGGGCTTGGGTGACCGAGACTGAAGTCTGGAAGCGAAGACCAGCTACAAGAAGGTGAACAGATTTAATTGTCAAAGAAAGGGCACATTTTTGAGCGACAGAGAAGTTTGTAATTCTGTCAATTATGGGAAGTTTCCAAAAATGCTGCAGATATTACAACAGTAAGGTAGGGGAGTCAGTTAGGGGAGACAGGTTGGCATAGCGGTACTTTCCTCGCCTTCCACCGCTGTGACCTGGGTTTGAATCCCGCCTGGGCAAACACATGGATTGGGCTACCTGATTCTGTGGGTTTCCCCAGAAATTCTTCTGGGGTTTTCATCCCGCCTCTAAAACTGTCATTTCTTCTCTAAAGTGCCTAGGGCGCTTTTGAGGAATACTTGGTTTCATTACCAGAAATAAATAATAATCATAATACCAATAACAGTAAAGATATCAATTTTTGGCCGAACAAAGTAATTGACTGGAGCTGTCGCGAAACACAAGGATTTATTTTTCCGGCCTGCTAAGCAATGGAATGCCAGAGTTTTATTCCCAAAAATATGAAAAAGTATGAATTCCTATAAAACAGGAATGTCTAAAAAAAAAAGCTTACTGACATCTGCGTACCTTGTGTCTTCAGTTTCAGTCTCCGAATTGAAATACTCCAGCTCGGTGAACAGGTCTCGAAAGTTGTGCGCCATCAGAGGGTCCCGGACTCCGAGCTTCTGCAGCTCATTCAGGGGGACAAGGGCTGGCGACTGGTCGCTCTCTGGCTGAGAATTTGACGCTGCGACTTTTCCGTCAGTCACCTCCGCTGATGAGCTGTGGAGACGATTCTTGACCGACGTGGAAAATTTGTCGTAGACGGAACTTTTCTCTAAAAAGTAAATTACAAAATTACAACCAACCTAAATGCAAATATTGACAGAGAAATTGGTTACGTGGTCCAGACATCTGCACTAACAAGCAGGAGGTTATGGGTTCGAGTCCCACGTGAGTAAGTTTGTGAATTTTTCTACCAAGCTCTTGGAAGCACTGATGTGACAACAATTCTTTGATAGTTTACAATCCTAGAACTGAAAATTATACTTAAATATACTTTGTCTTGATGTGGTCAATATAACTTTGAAAAAAAAACAGCGTGGGAATGTTTTGAACATTTTCTGCAGAAATTGTACGCCGACTTTCACAGATTCTTCAAAATCTACCAGGTTTCATGGCAAACTTTGTAATGATATAGGAAGATAGAGACAACCCACTATCAGCGTTGTCATTATAGTTCATCACAAGTCCTTTCATTAAAGTCAGGTCACAAGTCGCTATCAAAAGTCCGGTCACAAACAATGGAGTACTGAAGTGTGACGTCATTTAGAACCAGAATGTGCAGTGCAAACGAATGGAGTACGCGCGCGTGGTGGTTCACGGGCTGAATCACGCGCTAATGTGTTTCACGCACATTTTGTGTGCGTGACATTTGAAAAGTTTGTGAGTTGACTTGGGACTGGAGGACTTGTGATAGACTTGAATAAAACACAAGCCACTTTTTCTTAAAAGGAATGAGGAGGACATTAAGAAGACGAGAAGGAACGTTAGAGGATGGAGGAAGATTTCTAGCAAATACAAAATTTTGTTTTTGAGATGTTGACACTCACCTGGGTGATATTTTCTCCAGACTAGAGGAAGCTGACCCATGCTCTCGAGAAGTTCCATGCATTTACCGGCGAGAAGTATCTGCTTCAAGACCGGCTGAAGGAATGAGGGCACAGCCACCTTCTCTCCTCCCTCCTTCCGTCTTTGGTCTGGTCCTGACTGCTGCGCGCCGGAATGATGGGGCTGGGCGGCACCAAGTTTATTCGGGGGTGTGAAACGGTGGAGGGTGAAAGCCTTCTCCCAAAAATCGTGTGATTTGATGATTATTTCTGGATTTCTGAAACCCAAAAAGGAACCATTAAGTGTATTCGCTGGCTGAACGAAATGAGACTTTTTTTTAAAAAACAGTGTAAATTACATTACAATACGAAAATTTACTGAGACATTTTAAAGTGATTAAGACATCTGCACCAGTAAGCAAGCGGTTGTGGGTTCAAGTCCCATCTGAGTATGTTAAATGTTCTCCTAAACTCTAGAAAGCACTGGGCATTAGTTCTTAAAATGTTATTTCTGAAGAGGGTAACACTAAGTACTCAATTCAAATTTAGTTTCAATACACACATTGACAAATTTGATAACTATCGATAATATGTTAGGGGCTTCTGTTGGTTGAGCTCTGGTTTGGCATTCCAGAGGTCGCAGGCTCGAATCCTGCATTTGTCAACCCACCTTTGAATTACAAACTCCTGCGCTGGGTCATATAGTGGGTGGCCAGACAACCAGTTGTCAAGGAACTGAATGTAAGGGCGGATCGTGACCAACCACACTCTTAACAGCATCAGTACCTGTGTGGAACAGAAATTGTAAAAGCAATACAATATCAATAACATTTTCAGCTATAAAGAGACAAATGTGTCCCTCTCAAAGAGGAATTCTGTGGCTACAGCTTCTGCTTTTGCCATTGAAAATACCACAGTGGATAGCCACAGCCATATCTTTTACATCTTTAAATGAAAATGAAAATAATGGTTATGACTATTGTAGACTGCTAGTTTAGTGTTTTTATCAAGTTTGACAGGATCACAGGGGAGAAGCTACACTTGAACTACGGTTGTACTGAGACACAGTCAATCACAATTCAATCATAAGTCAATTTACAAGTAAATTACAAGCCAATCACAAGCCAATCACAAGTCAAATCCCAATAGTCACAAGTCAATCACAAGTCAATTCACAAGTCAAATCACAAGTCAATAATAAATCAAATCACAAGTCAGTCTCAAGTCAATCAAAAGTCAGTTACGAGTCTATCACAAGTCAATCACATGTCAATCACATGTCAATCACAAGTCAATCACAAGTCAATCACAAGTCAATCAAAAGTCAATCACAAGTATATCACAAGTCAATCACATGTCAATCACAAGTCAATCACATGTCAAATCACAAGCCTGTCACAAGTCAATCACATGTCAATCACATGTCAATCACAAGTCAATCACATGTCAATCACAAGTCAATCACAAGTCAATCACATGTCAAATCACAAGCCTGTCACAAGTCAAATCACAAGCCTGTCACAAGTCAAATTACAAGTCAAATTACAAGTCAATCACAAGTCAATTCACGAGCAACAGGGGATCAACATGACAAAAGAATGTCTCTGTCAGAGCTCATTTTAATAGCTAGTGACTTGACTGGAGACTGTGATTGACTTGTGATGACTTGTGATGACTTGTGATGACTTATGACTTGTGATGACTTGTGATGACTTGTGATGACTTGTGATGACTTGTGACGACTTGTGACGACTTGCGATTGACTTGCGATTGACTTGTGATACTTTGTGGCGACTCGGCCAGTACTAAAATATTCAGCCATTTCACCCCATATTTCACAAAGTACAGTTTCTTTCGACAAATTGATGAATGCTTTGATCTGCTGTCACAAACTACTAACACGATCTTACATTCTCTTCCCGGTGCATCCCCTGTTGGTACTCGGCCTCAATGGTCCCCTGCAGCGCCGTCAGCAGGAGCCAGGTGCTCTGAGCACAGCTTCCTGTCTGGCCCATGGCAATTCCTGCTTCGTAGACATGGGTCAGCAGGGAAAGCTTACCAGCCCAGGGTTCCAGTTCGGCGGCAAACTGGGACAATGTCAAGCTTGATTCTGGAAATATATTTATGACAATTATGACTTATTCTGCTGTTTGGCACAGAAATTTGTAGTCGGTTGGCAGTGTTAATATTTTCACATGAGTAACTTTGAGTGGACAGTAATTCTGTTTTATAATGATTACAGTTCTCAGTAAGCCTCACTTCTCACTATACCTTGCTTTGAGATTTCTCTCTCCCATGCGGTGAGTTTCCTCCGGAACTCCCACAGTATGACGGACAGGGCTTCGGCAAAGCTCTCAAAAGTCTGGCCCCTCATTTTGCTTTGTCCTTCTGATGATGATTCTGAAGAGGTCAATCACAATCAGTTGTTGCTATCAATTCAGTCATGAGTCAATCATTAGTCAACCACAAGTTTATCGCGAGTAAATTATTAGACAATCAAAACTCAATCGCGACTAAAATCATTTATAGTCAATCACAAGTCAATCGTGACTAAATCATTAGTCAATCACAAGTCAATAACGAATAAATAATTAGACAATCACAAGTCAATAACAAGTAACTTTTAAGTAAATCATGAATAAATCTAAAGCCAATCACGAGTCAATCACAAGTTAATTGCGAGCAAATCATTAGTCAATCACAACGAGTAAATCATTAGCCAATCACACATCAATCATGACTAACTCATGAGTCACTATAATATAAACATCGCAAACCATTCACAAGTCAATCAAACGTTACTGATAAGTCAATCACAAGTCAATCACAAGTCCATCACAAGTCAGTCGCAGGTCCATCACAAGTCCAACACAAACACATCCCAAGCCCATCAATAGTCAATCAGGGTATTTTAAACCCTACTTTTGTTTGATCAGTCACAGACAGGCAAAAAATCAGGCCTGTTTCCCCTGCCATGCCTTTTACACAGGCTAGTCACGAACAGTCAGATCACATTTCTTGTAGGCACTGCGACAGTCAAATTCCATCAACAGACAAAAGCAGGTGACTGGTAGGCACAGCTGGCTTATCAATCACCTACAGTCAAAGCATAGCTATACCAGGTTTCATAACAATCACAGCCAGTCGATCCTGCTTTATGAAGGCAGGGAGCACTCAACTGTTAAAAACAGTCGCCTGATTTATTTTGACTGCTGGGCTGGCCTTGTTGAAATTGCCAGCCAGAGAGGGAGGGCCAAAAGGCAATTAATGGGGTATTTACCTTTGGCGTTTATGTACCCCATTGGTGTCGTTCTGATGGAATCCACAAACGATTGTAAGACACAGGTGTTTGTGCATATCTCAGCAAGTCTGGATGTAAATCTGTGCAGTGCTTGCTGTTAGATACAGAGGACAATTTTAGTCACATTTCAGGGGCCAGGACAAAAATGTTGCTGAGATAAATTTGAAGGTCAGAAAAAAATGAAAATAATAGTCAAAAAATTTCTACCTTCTCATAAACCTTTATTGCACTGTACACATGTTTGAAAAACTGACTCAAGTTTATAATTATATGCAAATCTTTCACTTCCTCTCATGAATATTCAGTCAGCTATCAATCAAATTGTTGTTATTTCATAACACATGTTTGGAATAAGAATGTCATTCAAGCTCAATATAGTGCACAGAAGAGCTCAACGTATGGCCTCATAAACTGTAAGTGAAAAATCAGCTTTTTGGCTGAAGGGGCCTTCAGAAATATCTGTGTTAACTTACTGGGGTTAGATGTGAAACCTGTATATCTTGCCTGGATGTGAATTTGCCGTCTTGTAGTTGATACACAAAGGAGTTCTCAGCACCCATCAACACCCTATAGCAAAAAAAAAGTCAATGCAGATGGCATTACATGTCATATGGCATGTCATATGACACGTCATATGACATGTCATGACAAAATATTTAAACTTGCATAAGATTGGAACATAAAGTGTGCAAAATGACATATTTCTTTCAATGGTTCCTCATCAGTTGGGTTGTACATGACACAGCACATGGCCTTACCAAATGGTTTCCCGTATGATGTGCATCTCTGTCAGCGTGTATTTTTCTTCGACGGAAGGGAACGGGTCACGATGCTGCTCGTAGGCTCTCCTGTGGAAACCAAGAATAATAAAGAGTGTCCTAATTTGACCGCAATATTTTTTTTTGCTATTTGCAACTCAAAGGAACCAATTTGCCAATTTACCATGTGCTGGCCATTGAAGCTGCGCTGTGTGCACCCTGGGCAGCACTGTCTCTTTCCCCTTCCCAATATTGCACAACGACGTTTCTCCGGAGCCAGCTCCTCCCATGATGCTCCTCTCCGAGATCGTGGCTTCTGATTGGACGCCCTGAAACGGCCCGTCCAATCGGATGCCGCGCAGGTGCAGGGCTGGTTTCTGATTGGTCTGCTTGAATAGCGGAGTCATCCAGGACTTCTTCATCTGACCATTCCTGGGGGAACACAATGTAAGAAAAATCCATGCCATGCAATTAGCGAAATTATCCTCGATCTTGCTGAATCCAACAAGATCTAACAGTACACATTTTCTACTTTTTTGTTTTTTTTACCCTAAGCAATGAACAAAAGGTATTTGGATCTAGCTGACAAATCCTGTTGGATCCAGCAGGCTTCACTCTCCAATAGTTGTTAGATATCAACAGGGTCTTTGTAAAATACCTGGATCAAGGTTTGTGGTACTTAATCTTTGTAGGTTATCTTTGTACCGCCCCAAACTGCCCCGATTGTTACTTCCTAAACTGCCCGAGCAGTCTGTGGTTTGTAGAATGCATCCGGGAATAAATACAATGTAATACAATGTAGTACATGTTCTCATGGGTTAGACCACTCATGTTAAGATTTCAGCTGAAACTTTGACTGACATGTAGATCGTTCCATTAATTTGGGGTCCACTTGTTTTTCCTGTCCCTGTTACATCTGACATCTATGATTTCATAATTCTGATGCACTTCTTAATGCAGTCATTCTTCAAGAGTGATTAAGAATAGCAAACCACCTACCCAACAAATACATCCTTTGAAGTCATTCTTAGTGACATTTGAATGGCAAATTACAAAGTACCAAGTAACAGGGTCAGGAAAGAAAGTCAAACTTTGGACCTTAAATTTAAAGAATGACCCATCTGTATAACTGAACACTTACGTCCGATGAAGAATCACCAAAATTTGGGATAGGAGCCAAGCCCTCCTGAAGGAACGCTCCCCAGTCAAAACCATCCCCTGCTTCTGTAAAACAGATAAAATGGATAAATTAACCCTAACTCCCTAAGCATTTTTGCTAGGATGCAACCTCAATCCTGCAAAATCCTCCAATTGCCTCCATGTAAAAATTGCATGCAGACTCAATCCTGCAAAATCCTCCGAATTTCTTGAATGTGGTCCTTGGAGGGGTGACCACTGCCTCAATCCTGCAAAATCCTCCAGCAATCACTGTCAGTATGTTGAGGCAGAGCCAGCGACATCCTGAAGCAATGCGGAGGATTTCAAGTATAATCTAGGCCTAAATTTACTCACGGCTAAGCACAAACAACGCAAGGTCCGGCCCAAGACCTTAACACAGTGCATTCTCCAAAATCAGCCACCAGTTTTTGCCATATATAGCTTTAATCCTGCAAAATACTCCATTTGGCAAAGAGGATTTTGGAGGATTTGGGAAGGTTAGGGTTAATTAATAATCAAAGAGGTCACTAGGTAGGCCCTCTGAGACCTGCAGAAAGTGGATAACAGCGATGGAAATGAATTTAACACCTACCACGTTTGGGCACACGCAGTGTTTCGGTATAAGCCACATTCACTGGCCTGTCGGACAGACTCAACAGGACTGACAAGATGGAATAATGGATATCTGTCTGAAAATAAAATCACATTAAAGTATTACAATTTGAAGATAGGAAATGTTAAGAAAATATTCATGAGTACCAGAGTTTTTTAGTCAAGTTGGACACAAGTCATTCTGTCTGAGGTTAAATGAACTGTGATAAGCTCAAGGTACTAACAATTGCCACTGGTGCAAATTAGTACAAAAACACCATAAAAGATCAAGAAACACAAAATTTACCTTTGCATCTTGGTTTTTCGGGGACAGAGGAAGTTGAAGAAAGTTGTCGGTCAACTTCCGAAGGGACTCTGCCTTCTCAAGCTGGGAGTGAATCTCAAACTTCTGGAGGAGGCTGGACGATACAAAACAAAGCAATTTCAAAGTGGTTTCTCTACTGAAATATTGATGGAAGGGTTCAATAGCTGTTGTAAAATTTCAAAGAGATTTAAACATTTCAAAAGTTTGGAGAAAAGGAGTTAAATACTTTAATTTTGCATACCCTTGCAGCTTGCTGTTAATTTTGTGACTGTCAACGTCCAAATACCGATGGAACTTGAAGTTTGACAGAACAAACTGCAATGACCGACGGAAATTCTCATCACTGGAATCCTGCAAGACAATGAACAACAAACATGTCATGACAAATGATGTTTATTGAAAAATGAGCTGAATATCATGCATCACGCAGAAACACACACAAAAATATGTCGGTGTAAAATTTAAGAGGGACGGTCAAAAGAGATACTGAAAAAAGTGTTGACTTAAAATTTACTTCAACAACAACATAGGCCTAGGCCTACATCAAATTCAAGTCCAACAAGCACCTGACAAGCTACAACTTACAAATACAAGGCTATTTCTTGATTTAAAAACTGGTACTGAAAGGGTTACATTTAATAAATTTGAACGGAATATTCTATATGAAATTAATATGAAGAAAAGTATAACAGTTATTGCTCTCTTACTTTGAAACCCATCAATTTCTGGATTAATTTCTTGGCCTCTTCTTCGACTAAACTTGAAGTCTGCGCCATTTCTGTATCGTCTGCTTTTTCACTGGTCCCGTTACGGTGCTTCTCGCATTCGCAATGATTAAAGGTGCAACGGGTACCCGCGGCGTGAGGAAGACAGGCGCCCTCTGTTGTTACGATAGTCGCCCTCTTGATTATCGTCCACCATCATGGGTATGAGCAGTCTACAGTCGCTTTTCTAAATCCATCATAATCGGGATGTGAAAATAAAAATTTTGCCATATGAATGAAATTATTTACATTTCATACGTTTAAAGAACATTGCTATGTTATTTTTATGTAGTAAAACGGTGTAGATTTGTTGTAAATTAGTGTCGAATTATCGTTCATCCCAACATGTACAAATGCATACACACAACACAAGCAGTTACAAATCTTCTTGCAAATTTATCTTAATCTCATCGAGGGAGGTGGCGAATTAACCACATTTTATCACTCAAGTTGGAAAGAATGTAGTATCCAGACGCCACAGTGGCTGTGTACAAAGTGATCATTATGTAGAGTCAAGAAAATTATTTCCTAATAATATCGGAAATGTTTCTCACTCCCACCATGCCCACCCCTCCGGACCCAGTCCCACATTACTCTTTCCCTAAACATTCTAAAATTGTCTTATTAAACGTAATTTAGTTTAAGATATTTTACACCTACATTGTGTTTTGGTACTTTTGTAGGTATCTCACGGGACAGGTGGCACAAAAGACGAAAGACCGGTGGCCGTCGCAAGCCCCTGCGTAAGAAGAGAAAGTTTGAGTTGGGTCGCCCAGCTGCCAATACCAAGGTATTTATAGAATGAGAGACAGAATTGTATTTTTTTTGCTGAAAGTGAAATCATCAGTCATTATAATGCAAAACAAGGTGTATTCGAAAACATTGTCACTTTTTTCCAAGTCAAATTAGCTATTGAAGGCCAAGTAAAAAAAAAAAAAAAGTTTAGTATCCAGTCTTTTTGTAAAAAAATGAAAAAGAAAAGAAGGTGGCACACCTTTTCCCCCCAGGGGTGTGAAATCTCAGCTTTTTAGCTGATTTCAGCTTTTTTTTGTTTTTTAGTTTTTCAGCTTTTTCCCCTCACTTGCTGTGTACAAAAGTATAGGAGATTTCCAAAATTCAGCTTTTTTACACTTTTTTTCAGCTGTTTCCAGCTATTTTTATCAGTGGTCACTCAAACCCTGCCCCCCCCCCCCCCAAAAGGCAGATGGATTCGTCCATTTTCTCTACTCTTTTACCGAAATTGTGTCCACAAGAAGCCGTCATCCTTTTCTACATTTGTCGTTTATCCACAAGTTTGTTGGAAACAAAAAAATACACCTTATTCACAAAAAAAGCAAAATATATTGCAAATGTATGAATTTAAAAAAAACCGAGGTGGGCGAGACACAGGAAGTGGGCGGGGACACGAAAATGATTTTTTTTACTTGGCCTAGTGAAACTTGGAGGAGCATTCTATTTATACTCTCTTTGAGAATTGGCTTGCGGAATGATGCTAAGATTAGTCTTTTTGAGGAGGCACTGGTAATCTGGCGCACTCCCATGATGCACTTGTCATAGTTACACTGACCGCTGGCCAGAATCAGGGAGGCTCATGGGATACATGGCGCCAGACTTGGCGCTCAGTCTGTATGTGATCATTCCATGAAACATCACTCTGATAAACTGGAAATAGCTTTAACCCTAACCCACCTCACTCCTCCAAAATCCTCCTGGCGGTTTTGGAGGATTCTAGAGGATTGAGGATGAATGGTGATTGAATCAAATGAGGATTCTGTAGGATTGAGGATGAATGGTGATTGAAGCACATGAGGATTTTGGAGGATTGAGGATGAATGGTGATTGAAGCACAAGAGGATTTTGGAGGATTGAGGATGAATGGTGTTTGAAAAGGAGGATTTTGGAGGATTGAGGATGAATGCATTCTGAGGCAGGACTGTCTGATGATTTTGAAGGATTTGGCGTTGGTTATCCTTCATTTAAACACGAGTGCAAAGTTTTGGGATGAGGAGGATTTTGGAGGATTGAGGATGAATGCATTTTGAGCCAGGACTGTCTGACAATTTTGAAAAATTTAGGCGGAGTTGCAAAATTTTGGAGGATTTTGGAGGATTGAGGATGGTTGTAAGCAACAAGGGCCTAGGGGGTTAGGGTTAACTCAAAAAGAAAGATATTGACATAATGTGTAAGTTTTCTTACTTAAATTCTATGATTTTAAAGCTACGAACTATGTCACTAATCATTTGGTTATCATTTATAAACGTCGAGTTAGTCTCTAATTGCAATATATATATGTTTTGGTATTGACTTTTTTTTGCAGAATTTTGTAAAAATCCATTGATAAATATATTGAGCAAGATTGAAATTGCTTTTTGACTTGTTTTATATTTTCAGCTTGGCGCCAGGCGTATCCATCTGGTGCGATGCATGGGTGGTAACATAAAGTACAGGGCACTGCGTCTGGAGCAAGGCAACTACGCCTGGGGTTCAGAGAGTAAGAAATCTCAACTTCAGATCTTATCCTTGAACTTCCTTGACCCAAATTCTGTCAAATCCAACAATATCCCACAGTGGTCAATTTCTGTGGCGTGTAACTACTGACCAGAAATTGCAAACTCCATTTCCCTGGTACCGGGCTGGCAGAATGATGCTAAGATTAGTCTTTCAGAGGGGAACCAGGCCACCTGGTATGCCCCCATGATGCTCTTGTCATAGTTACACTGACTGCTGGCCCAATTGATGTTGTCGGCCCTAGTAGGGAAATTTCCCAGGCTTTGACAATCTACACGTCAAACGTGAAAAGAAGTTGGGGCAAATTCTCATTCAGGCAGACACTTGGCTGGGAAAAAAATGTTGCAACCTGATGCCACTTTTTCTTCATATATCATCTCAATGAAGGTCATTCATTGCAAAAATGATGATAAGACATGAATCTGGGACCGAGAAACATTTCCAATTTTGTTAAGAAATTTTCTTGACTCTCCATAGACTTTGTACACAACCGCTGAAGTGGCGTCAGGTTGCAACATTTTTTCCCTTGGTTGCATAGTAATACCGATTGGTGAAACCACTTCTTGTTACTCCTTGATGAATTCATAAATCCATATAGAGTGTTAGGGCGGTTTGGGGCGGTATAAGGAACAACTGGCAGGGGGCTTTGGGGCGGTATAGGGACTAACAGGTTAATGTGTTTGTTTCTGTTTTGATACATCACTACAGATGTCGCTCGCAAGACCCGTATCCTGGACGTTGTCTACAACGCCAGTAACAACGAGCTGGTGCGTACCAAGACCCTGGTCAAGAACGCCGTGGTGCAGGTGGACTCCACCCCCTTCAGGCAGTGGTACGAGGCCCACTACGCCCTCCCCTTGGCTCGCAAGAAGGGAGCGAAGCTGGTTAGTATCTTTCCTTCTCTACATCTGGGCCCAATTCATGGCTCTGCTCACTGTAGCTTACTATAGCAAAAAGTTCCGTGCTGATGGTAAACGTATTTCATAGAACAGCAAGGACTTTTTGGCGAATGCAGGTGTGTACATCCCGTAACTAAGGATTCTGTGCTTACAGGGTAAGCGCAGAAATGTTTCTACTAGAGCGCTGAATGGTGGTCGTTAGCGCGGAATGCTGTGGTTAGTAGAGCTATGAAATTGTGCCCTGGTTCTGTAGGAGCTCTGGACCCAATTTAAGGCTCTGCTAAGCGGGGGATTCTGTAACTACTATCATTGGTCTGTGCTAGAGGGCAAGCAAAGAAATTCTGCAATAACCCTGTAAGCAGGAATCCGTAAGCGACGTATGCATGTCAAAATTCATTGCTAACCTGTCGGCACAGAATTTTTGATATAATAAGCAGATTCTTCACTTGTTGTAAGGAAAGCCACGAAATTAGGCTCTGGGCTTAATTCATGCTGCAGGAAAAAGTATCAGTCACATTGGTAAAATAAACTCCACACGACATCCATATGGTTCGTCAGCATTATCAGTCCTCTGAAATTCGTCGTGTGCCCGGCAGAAGGGCATATGTGCATATGCCCTGATGAAATAGCGCGTAATCACCAAAATGTTCCCAGCAAAAGGGCATATGCAGAAAACTGCATCCATTTTAAAGAAATTTAAACATTTGATTCAAAATGCACGCAGGGGGACAATGGAACCTTTCAATGCAATTTTCAGGAAAATGATTTTTGTGTTAGAACGCTCATATGCCCTTCTGCCGGGCACCCGACGAATTGGTCTTTGTCCTTTTGAGATTTGGATGAAACTTTCACCATTTCACATCTAGTGCATCAAGACTGAACTACACTACAGTCGACTCTCGCTATAAAGAGCACTTTTATAAAGAGGTTCTGCTTATAAAGAGCAAATTCTGAGGTCCCAAATCTCAAGTTCTCTTTGTGTTTCTTCGTTTTGCTGTCCTTTCATAACAACATTCCTGTTATAAAGAGGTAATTTAGCTGGTCCCATCGACCTTGTTATAACGAGAGTCGACTGTATATAAAACTGTTTTGGTTTTGATTTTTCAACTTGTAGACGGAGGCCGAGGAGGAAGTGCTGAACAGGAAGCGCTCCAAGAAAGCCACCAAGAAGTACGAGGAGCGCAAGAAGACGGCCAAGCTGAGCCAGATGCTGGAGGATCAGTTCAGCACAGGAAGACTGCTCGGTAAGAAATCGAAACCCCTCCCGGATCCTTCAAAATCTATCAGGAGGTTATTGTGGACTTTGTAGGGTTTAGGAAAGGTAGATCCCAGCCCCTTGCTTGTAATAAGGAAGATGTCTTCACCATCTGCGAAGTTGTTGCATAACTCTCCAAGATCATACAAAATCCACAAGGATCTAGGACATTGTAGGCTTGATGAAGGTTGATTTCACCTCCAAGGTGTCATATATTGAAGGCGCTCACTACACCACCAGAGAGTATATCATCGTGTTCGTGCAACAAAGTCGTATCTACTAAAATGGCGTGTGACCTCATGTTCGGGAAACAAAAGTTTTCAATGTCAAAAGGTCGTATCTCGCTTAAAATAGCCCGGATGTACACTCAAAGTCAATGGACGTCGCGATACGCGAGATACGACCTTGTTGCACGGAGCATATTCGCGCGAGATACGACTTTGTTGCAGAATCGAGTTACGACCTTGTTGCGCTGATGCGACGATATGTGCATGTGCTTTTTATGATTAACTGAGGTTTTCAAGTATCATGTCGCAAATAAGAAATAACATTGGTCTTCAAGTAAAATACATTAAAAAAAAAAAGCACGGAGCACTAGGGATAAAAAAACGAGAACATGTCTTTTTTTTTTCAAAAATGGAATTTGTTGAATCTCTTTTTGGCAGAATGATGCAAAAGATTAGTCTTTCGTAGGGACCGCCTGCCGTTCTGGCATACAAGGCGGTCCCAATGAAGACACGTCATAGTTACACTGACTGCCAATGCTTCAACTAATGACAAACACAAAGTTTAGATCGGGTAAAATACATGTAGATATATTTTGTGACCAATCATGAGAACGCCATGTTCAGAACAGTCTTACTGTGAGCTCTATCTAGTTCCTGTTGTTAACTCTAGTTTGTCGGTGTTGAATTGGAGCTTGTACACAGAAGTGTGTATATCTAGCAGTGTTTTAGTCAAGTTACTTGTAATGGATCACAAGTACATCACAAGTCCGGTCACATCCAAATCACAAGTTAATTCACTAGTCCAGTCACCATGGGATTCACAATATTACTAAGAAATGCCTTTATCATGGCTCATTTCGTCACTGACACCTCGAACTGACACGCGGTGGTCTCTGTGTACACGCGTAGTTTTGATTTTCGCACGGAACGCGTAATTTTAATTTTCACGAACTGACACACAAGTCTGGAGTCGTTATTTTTGTTTTCATGAACTGAAACCCGTCTTAATCATTGAATTGTTAATTAGCTAAGCATCTGTGTAAATCAAGACTGCGTTTCACCAGTTAACAGGTTTTTACGTTAAATGATTCTTTAAGCCCACAAGTGGAGTGTCATGGCCTAGCGGTTAAGAACACCGGACTCATGCTCTGGTGTTTCAGAGGCAACAGTGGCGTGGGTTCGAGCCCGGGCCCGGACACTTGTGCCCTTGAGCAAGGCACTTAACCATTATTGCTTCGTCCTTCGGATGGGACGTAAAGCCGTAGGTCCCGTGTGTTGTGTAATGCATGTTAAAGACCCCAGTAACACTTATCGCTAAGAGAAGGGGTTTGCCCCGGTGTTTCTGGCAGTGGCCGCAATATGCGCCGCACGGCCGCAGCACCTTGTAACCCTTAAAGGTGCTACATAATGGGTCTCATATTTCTCATATTGAGGGCCTCCATGGAAAGCAGTGCCCTGCACTGATCGGAGCTACCCTCACTAAAGATGACGTAAATGAAGTACAACTGACTCTCGTTAATACAAACACTGTTAATACAAAGTCTGGTTATAGTGAATATAAAAACTTGATCCCGAGTGTGCATTTATGTGCGCAATGAACGGGACTGCTCCTCTTAGTAAATATTTTGGCTAGTTCTTGCAGAGTTTGTATTAATGAGAGTTGAATGTGCACAATTGGGGTAAACTCTTGTCAAACCTGAATTGTATTACCGCCACAGTACTTGCGTGTCAGTTCGTGAAAACCAAAATAATCATACACGTTACTTTGCGAAGTGAGCGCACATAGTGCCTGCTTGTCAGTTTGTGAAAACTGACGATTTGGATAGCTTGTGAGTTGACTTGGGTCCAAATGACTTGTGATTTGTCATTGGCGATGATTTGTGTCTGTTGCAAGTACCTCAACTACAACGCTTATACCTTTCCAACTTGGGTTAAAAGTGAAACGTTACCGATTGATTTGGATTTTCTTGCTTGTGTTCTCGCCAGCTTGCATCACATCCAGGCCAGGGCAGTGCGGTCGAGCCGACGGCTACATCCTAGAAGGCAAAGAGCTTGAGTTCTACCTCCGAAAGATCAAGTCCAAGAAGGGAAAGTAAACAAGTAAACGACAACATCAGCATCATCATCAACAACAACAAAATGGTTTTAGATACATACTAATGAGGCCACCTTAACAGTGTTAAATTCTGGATACCCGTTTCACATCCGTTGCTCTCTATAATGGATAGCATCACTTTGTGAAGAAATAAAAACATAAAGACTTCTATACCAATAGTGTGAAATTTTGTCTGGTCCTTTATTGTTTTACGTATTTGTCTTTAAGAAATTATTACAATACATGTAGTCATAAAAACGATATGGCATAATGACGTCACAATTTGTTTACGTGTGTACTAAGGCCCCCCCCCCACAAGTTCTGCTTCCGGTTACCCCACCTACCCTATTTTGACAGCCCCTACCCTAATTTTTTGGGGGAAAATGAGGAAAAAAACCTGAAAACCATCAATTACATGTACAATGTACTACCTTTTACCCTTTACTACAACCAGACACCTCCATATGGTCGTACACAAAAAATCCCTGCATACCTACCATACATTGTACATGTATTTTGAAATCCCACCATATTTTCAAATGCCTTGAAGCAGAACAGTCTTTTGGCCTTATCTGTGGGAGCTAGGTGGGGGTGACCTCATTTACATGTGTGGAGAGATGGGCAGTTGTTACATGGTATGTACTTCTACATCTTGCTGCATGGCAGTTTCGCCATCAAATCTGATGTAATTGGAGTGGTCAACTTCCAACTTTCACAACATGCAGGATTTTACTCGGCTTACATAAAACAACACTGAAATTTATTAAGGCCCGCATGGAACTTGGTCACAATGTCCAAAAATGTTGTGATCAATTGACAATTTGTGCATTGATGCGTTACTGAAAATAAACGAAACTCGTAGGGGTAGAGGCCAAGGCTTAAGAGTCTCTTCTCGACCAAATTTTTTCAAATTGACCTCATGCATGGTTTTGTAGTCGTTTTAAAAAGCAGTTGCACACTTTTCTGGACATAAATGTATTTATGCACACTTTATTTTTTGGAATTTGCACCCTCAGTTGTGATACGTAAGAGATGCTGATTTGTACTGGAAGTCTGGACGAAGATATGCAGTCGGTCCTGTCCGACATGCAGTTATCAACTTTAATAGTAAGGGCGCACTGCTCGACACCAAGTTCGTTTTTAAAACGGCCAAGTTGCAGCAATACACTCGGTCACAACGGTACATGTACAATGTACAATGTACTTGCACATTACCTGACGCTATATACATTTACATGTATACCAGGCCTTCAAGCGGCTTTGTTATAGAAGCCAAGGTCATGTTGCTGACTAAAATGCGCAATTCTAAGGCCAAGCGGAAAAATAAACACGTTTCTCATCCCCGACCGCTTCCTGCTTTTCTCGCCCGCCTCCATTTTAAAATTTGTGTGACATTATCGGTCGGTGATACATTATCCGTTGGTTACTACATTAGGCCAAAAAAAAAGTCTCCGGTTTCTGGTATGCGCGCGCGTCGCCGTAGCCATGCGCGTCGGTAAAATGAATTTTTTTTTTTTAAATACAAGATGATGTTTCAAAACCGCCAAACTAACTGGTTTGACTGGAATTCTGCTGCTGCACAATTTTAACGTGTTTTTAGAAGGAGTTATGATCGAGATTAAGATTTATGTGGCCTCTCTGGACTCCCATATATTTGCACTAAGTTTAGTCGGGCACCATTTGCAGTCATCAGCCGACATTTGAAGCCAAAAAAAAAAAAAAACCAGGTAAAAAAAAAAAAAAGCCGCGTCGCCGCACCACTTTTGGGGCAAGCTCCATACCGGAGACTTTTTTTTGTTGGCCTTATCAGTTGTAACACCCTTTTATATGTTGTCACTTTCCGGCAAAATGGTAGCTAGCTATGCATGCAAGCTCAAAATCTGATAGAAAGGTGGCTCCTTTGGACACAAAACTAGCAAAAGAGTCGAGAAACTAATCTTTTCTGAAAAATCCGCCATCTTGAAAAGAAAACACCACACCGGGCCGCCTCCTCCCATTTTCCGAAAAAATTAGGAGAAACATTTTTTTTTACCTCACCTAACGCACTACATGTATTTGTATGGCATAAAACCGCGGCACGTTTACCCCTAGCTCAGTGCGGACAAATCGTCGAGTGGGCCTATAATTTAGGTAGGTATCATTGCTCATAATGACAAATGTTTCTGCCCGTAATTAGTGAATACAATGTTATATTGGGTACGGGCCTACGTAGGTTGTTCAATGTACATGTACAATGAAAATGCATGCAGTCACCGTATAAAACTACAAATGCAAGTTATTTGTTGTGTACGTGACCAGAAATCCTATGCTACTTCCGTGAGATCATAACGCTGGCACTACTCACTAGCGCAATTGGCCACAGAACGTGAGTTCAGTGGCAACATAAAATATCAGCATGTAGGCGTGGTTTTTTTTGTATGTGTTCGGAAAGCCATGAGGCAACTACTAGCTGCCTTGGCCTGGTAGCCTAGCCGGGCATATTGCATATCTAATTAGTCTATATGGGTTCAGTTGGGATAAAAAGTCAGTTCCTGATGGATACATTTTTTTCACACAACAGTCTGGGGCAACCCATGTTTAGGCGCCATGAATACAGACTAAAAAATTCAGGATGAAGTACTTTTTTTAAATTAAAGTAAAACAAATCTTTCTGAGGCATCTTATCTTAGGCCAAAAAAAAACAAGTCTCCGGTTTCTGGTATGGAGCTTGCCCAAAAAGTGGTGCGGCGACGCGGCTTTTTTTTTTTTTTACCTGATTTTTTTGCTTCGAATGTCGGCTGATGACTGCAAATGGCATGAATGATGCCCGACTAAACTTAGTGCAAATATATATGGGAGTCCAGAGAGGCCACATAAAGCTTATTGTGGACCATAACCCAATCTAAAAACACGTTAAAATTGTGCAGCAGCAGGATTCCATTTAAACCAGTGAGTTTGGCGGTTTTGAGACATCATCTTTCATTGAAAAAAAAACTTTTTCATTTTGCCGACGCGCATGGCTACGGCGACGCGCGCGCATACCAGAAACCGGAGACTTTGTTTTTTTGGCCTCACAGCTTCAATTTAAGTCAAGTTAATTGATACTTGAATCGATTCCTGACTGTATTTAGTTAGGCTCGGTTTCGAATCGGTTTTCGATACCAGAATCGATTTTTATGATCTTGGCCCAGTTGATGTTACAGTCGAACCCTGACAATAAGAAGAGCACTGTTAATACAACATCCTGCTTATAACAAGGAAAAGTTTAGGTCCCATGTCTTTGTTTGTCTTTGTTTTCCATTACTGATAATACAAGGTACCTGTTATAACACGGTAATTTGTAAAGTCCCACAATTAAAGGACCTTGCTTTTGTTTCACTGTCTGTACTTGAAAAGTACTTGGTGTTTTCTTTGTTTCCTGCGTTCTGTGAAATGATTACAAAGAGTCATTCTGACACTAGAAATAGTTTTATCGAAATTATTACAGTGGGACGCCGCTAAACCGAACACCGCTATACCGAACATTCGGTTATACCGAACATCATCCTTGGCTCCCGGTTTAAATGAATAAGACGTACCGAACATTGTTGTTGAAAAAAGGCAACAGATTAACAAAAAAATTACCGGTTGTACATGACTTGTATTAAATACTATTTGGGCCACTTTTAATTCCCGAACATCAAACGACCCATAGTTACATCGTGTTTGAATGTTGAAGAGCGAAAGATGGCTATTATTTCTCCAAGGAATAAAAGGGAAAACCACTCGTGAGAAATGCCAGTTCACTATTGGTCAAAAGAGGGTACCGTCGGTTCAAAATCGCTATACCGAACGATCGTTATTACGAACACTTTCTGTGGATCCAACGATGTTCGTTATAGCGGCGTTCCACTGTATAGGGCAATATGATAGTTGTCTGCTTGGATATGTATGAGTGAACCTTGTGTACACTAATCAGTTACTGAATAAAAATAACTAAAGATGCCCTCTCAGATGGTCGCTACGGGTGCAACCCTGCAAAAAAAATTCCCATAGACACTAGTGCTAAAATGCGCATACTTCAAAATTCTTTTAAAAATACTCAGAACTCTCACAGGTATTCAAGCTGCACAGAAAAATGATTATCAATGTGTCATCTTTCATTTTCTTTTCATTTTTTGGTGGGTTGACCATTGACTTTTCGAGATATTCTCACCCAAAGAAGACGACCCCTATTTTCCCCAAAGCGGAAAAGTAGCCATCTTGAAAAACGATCCCTCCACAACATGGCAAAATAGCGCCACTTTCGAGCCCAATAGCATCCAAAATGCTCAGAATTGAAAGCCCCAAGTCCGGGTCAGAGGTTCATTGCCATATCTCTTTAATTCCCCAATTTTATGGCTCTCAGAAGTCTCTAATATAGAATATTTTGAGGGCATAACTTTTATTCATGAGCTTGGCGGACGGGTTTTTGGCCTATTTACAGGCATGCACCCCGCATTAAGTCTATTCACTTCCTAGTCAGATTTTGAAAGTAGCGGGGTTGTGTTGTGTAGGCCTGTGACAATCAAAATGGCATCGGAACCAGTTTGTGTCGAGGACTTCGAGTCATACCTCGAGGCGAGAGTGTCGGACTGGCTCTGGTCGTTCTACAGAAGCGGAGCAGACCGTGAGCAGACGCTGCGAGACAACCCGCTGGCCTTTCAGAGGTATGCATGTAATCCCATCAATACATCATATCATTTTGTGTCTTTTCAAATTGAAAGGATATCCCGGTACCAATTTCACAGAATTTGTAAGGCGGACTTAAATTTGATGCCATTGGTGCCAGTCTATGGAGGATTTTTTTATTTTAGGATTTAAGTCAAATTATTATTCAAATTAAGTGTTGAAAAACGGGGGTTTCTTTGTTTCTGTATGTACCCAGCCTATCGCCGTTGTATACAGCAACCTCGATCATTGGCGAAACAATTGCCTATATATTTACCCTTTGGTGCCAGTTTCCCTTCAAATATTAAGACATTATGAGGGTCGAGAGAACTCATGATTTACTCTTAGTTAATTGGATAATTCAAGATTGTATTAATAATACCATCAGCTTTCTTTACTATCCAACATGTTAAAAAAGGTGTATACCATCGCCAACCTGCCACCAAGAAATGCATTGCTTTTATAATAGTCCAAGCAGAAGTAACACTAGATTAATACATATTTTTCAATGATTTCTCCCAAAAGGTATCGTCTTCGACCGCGCTGTTTGAGGGACGTGTCTCAACGAGACATCGGCACCTCTATACTCGGTCATCGCTTGTCATTTCCCGTGGGTGTGTCTCCCACGGCCTGTCATGGCTTTGTGCACGAGGATGGAGAAGTTGCAACTGCAAAGGGTAAAACTGATCACGATGCCTTACAACAGAATTGTAAATACGGTAAATTGTATTGTAGACTGCCATAATAGACGCCAATTATAAATATCAGATGTTGCAACTGCTGAGGGTAATTATTTATCTATTGTTTATATCTTTCTGTAATGAAACCAAGGATTCCACAAAGTGCCCTATAGGCACTGCATGTAGCTCGAAAGCCAGAAGATACCTGTAAGAAGAAGACAATGAGAAGAAATTTATAGAGGTGGGAGGAAAACCTCAGAAGAATTTTCTGGTAAACACCCACGGAACCAGAAAACCCAATCCACGTGGTCCGGGCGGGAATCGAACCCGGGCCATAGCGGTGGAAGGCGAGGAAAGTAACCACTGCGCCAACCTGACTCCCCGACTCTTACGACATAATATTGTTAGACTGTCTGCGATACGTTACGACAGAATTGTAAAAACGGTAAATTCAGACTGCCATCAAGATACCAATGATAATACCCTCACTTTTCAGAACTCTCCAGTTAAGGTGTTCAAGTTTTTTGGTCAAGTTTGGGGCCACAAAACTGTATTAAGAGAAATAGCTGCATGAGGGCATGCAAATCGTATAGATCTTTATAATCTTTCTAAATATGCACGTCATAAATGCGTGGTATATTTTCTACAGGGGTATCCAATGCTGGATCTGCCATGATTCTGAGCATGTGGTCCAACAAGAGTCTGGAGGACGTGGCTGCATCTGTGAAACCTGACACGCCACTGTTGCTGCAGCTTAACCTCATACGCGACGAAAGCGGCAGACTAGAGGCGGTGATCAGACGGGCCGAGGCAGCAGGCTTCAAAGCTCTGGTGGTGACGGTAGACCAACCAGTTACGGGAAAAAGAATTCACACTAGACGAAAGAAAATAGATTTTGACCCGACTGCGTACAGGTAAGTTATTCGGGAGAGGTCACAAAGGTCGCAACTTTAAATGAATGCGTAAAGAAGTTGGACTGATATTTTAAAATGGGATACTTAATGTGTGTACCACTAATTGATTTGATTTGTACTACGTCAATCTTTTTTTTCCGATATGTGGTATGGGCGGGAAATATGACTTGGCTCAAATTTTGTTTTGTCGTATCTAGTATTCTTGTTTTCCCCCATGTGTCGCGCACATTTCTACGAGATTTATGACGTACAGGGTGAGTAAAAAAAAGTATCCCAAATTGCAGGACCAATTTGTGAATGAAGTTTTGCCTGTAGCACTTTAAAAATCTAGGATATGAAATCCCAATCAATGAATTTTCTTTTAGTACAAGAATCATTCAAATCTGTTAAAGTTTTGTCCACAGATCACAAAGAGGTACGTGTTCTTTCAGCAAAACGAAAATAATTCATGTGCAACCCTATGAGAATTCTTTTCGTTTTGCTGAAAGAGGACTTACTTTTTTGTGATCCGTGGACAGAACTTCAAAACGGTGCTTGTGTTCGAAATTCCGTAACTTGAAAAATACATGAGTGATCTGAATGATTCTTGTATACTAAAAGAAAGCTTAATGATGGGCTGTCATATCCTAGATTTTGAAAGTGCTACAGGCAAAACTTCACTCAAAGATTGGTCTTGCCATTTAGGATGCGGTTAGTTTAAAGGTCCGGAAAACCCCAAACGAACATTTGTTTTTATTTCCTGTGTGAAGCTTTCCGCAGGTTCTACTGCCTGAAGAGAAAATGACGGCAGAGAAAGCTGGAGAATTACTTGACGGGACGCAGGTTCTGACGTGGAAGGACATATTGTGGCTTAAAGAAATTACGTCACTTCCGGTCGTGCTGAAAGGTATTCTCACAGGTAAGCAAAGTTTTGAGATATAAGAATCATGAAACAGCCGTCGAAATTATAAAGCGTAAACTTGCGGACCTAGTCGTGACGTCACTCAGAGGTTAACTCGGTGCAACGATGATGATTACTGGTTCACACGCACTGCAACGGCCCAGTCTGGTGAACACCGCGGTTTCGCTATGGCTGTTGTGAATCCGTTTCATATTCTCTGCTTCATGAACTTTGTTGGCTAAAGAGCGAGTCAAGTTGGCCTGATTTTTCCCCCTGTTTTTCTGCCTCGACTCCATGGGCGCGTGCGCGTTCCTTCACGATCGCACAAGGCATGATGGGAAAAACATGGCGCAGCAAGATCTCGTACCCATGGGAACAAGGTTGATCCAGTCTGCAATGCCCCTATTTTGCAAACAACATCTTGGCTGGTAACCAGGTCATTTCATCATAGCTGTTATACACACAGTGTACTGAACGCAATTAAATTCCACGTAAAAACAGGCTACCAGCCAACACTGTTGTGGACAGAAAATAAATCACGTTGAAACCTTTTTAACTAAAACTTTTATTCTCACTGTTTAAGCTGAAGATGCAAAAATAGCTGTGAAGCATGGTGCCGCTGGTATCCTGGTGTCTAACCACGGTGGCCGGCAGCTGGATGGGGTACCAGCTACCGTAAGTATAGTACACTCCTTATACAAGAGTGCAAGTGGTAGTTTCATATTGGTGCTTTTTTGCAAGTTGGTGCAGTTTCAGATGACTGCTGAGAAACAAGAAGCGTATATACCTCATCTGTAAATTTGTGGTAGGCCTAATAAGGGAAATTAGCACACATACAGAAGGTTTAGTACGAAATCAGAGCTTGTAATTACATGTACTACACGAACAAGGTGCTGTGTAGGCAAACTTGTTCGAATTTTTTCAAGTGCACTTTACATATCGCTGATAAACGTCCAATGTACATCGCTTTACGTTTCTAAGCAAGTGTACCGAAGGCGAGGTTTTGTCTTGATATACGAGGGCGAAACAGTCCAGCTGCTCTGTAAGTTCATAAGTGGCGGAAGCCAGTCTATAAAGGGGGAAAGTGTCTCTCACTGGTTCGTGATGTGCTCCATGCATGTATTAAAGAATCATGCTTACCAGCGAAGGGTGTTTTTGCTGCTTTCTTTGTGACTACCCGAAAGCACCGCCAACTTGTTCAGACTAGACATCCGAGTGCTATCAACACAATAGCTGCCTCAATGATTTCCAAATTTAATCATCACCAGATCGACGTCTTGGCTGAGATAGTCGACGCCGTACGTGGCTCCAATGTTGAGGTGTATCTTGACGGCGGAGTACGTAAGGGCACCGATGTCCTCAAGGCCCTTGCTCTGGGAGCACGAGCCGTCTTCGTCGGCCGACCTGCACTCTGGGGGCTCGCCTATGACGTACGTAGCATTTCAAACAATATATACACGTATTTTCTTAATACCATTATTTCTGTTTGTTGGTATAATGACGATTTGACTGTATTATGTTGTGAATTCACAGGCTGAAAAAGGAGTTCAAAAGGTTCTTGAGATCCTGAAAGACGAATTCAGCCGGGCGATGGCCTTATGTGGTAAATTCTAATTGTTAAAGGCTGGACTATATATCATAAATTTATTTAATGATTTAAAAGTATTTGTTTTGAATTTTTAAATTCTTGACAAAAAAATAGGGTTTGGTTCATAGACCAATAGCAAAATCGGAAGCAAAATAGATATACACAAGGTATGTGATGGCCGAGTGTTAATAGAAAACGATAGGGGGCCTATAGTAAGTTATATCTCCAATCACACTAGATATAGTGTAGTCCACTTCAGAAGGTTAACTGCTGCTTAGAAATGTACTAAGATAAATGATATCATCTCAATAATTCATTTCCCCTGTCTTATCACCATAGGTTGTTCATCAGTAGCGGATATCACATCCGATTATATCACAACACCGCCATACGGCAAGGTGTAGAACTACACTTTGAGCCTGTACCTACTGGAATGGGAACGGCAAAGACCAGGACTTTTTTTGGCGTCAAAGTTCCTGCGCTCCATGGCAACACTGACAGGGTCCCTCTTACGCCTCAGGTGGTCCTGAGGACAAACAGAGCCTCCTTTCGAGGAAATAATCCAGATTAGGCCAACAAAAAAAATATTCGGTCTCTGGTTAGACCAAAGTTCCGGAATTGACGCGGCCACGCGGCTTTTTTTTTTTTTTGGCTTTTTTTTTGGGGGGGCTTTTTTTTTGGGGGGGGGCTTTTTTTTTTTCTTCAAGCTTGGATTTTACAGACAAGGTGGGTACTATTTTGCTTTTTTGGTGTCCTCATGTACATTGGTGTCCTCCATAATTTGCCTTGGTGCTTTCGATCATTTACCTTGGTGCAATTTCCCATTCCTTGGTGCTCTTTGGTAAAAAAAAAAATTGAGGAGGTGCGGAAATAGAGGGCGCTTTGGGAGCTACCGCGGAACATTTTGGAAATAAAAAGATCGACGTGCATGATTAAAATCGACGCGCGCGCTGACCAGAGACCGGATCATTTCAGAGCATAGAACTATGAACAATCATTGATCACGACAAACTATTTTAACTACATAATCATATACAATAACTGTACAAATAAGATGTAATTTTACTGTCTTTTTAAAAAGTGATCGGGAGCGCATACTTTATGTCTTTCATGATGAATATATACTCTTTAATCTGTAAGATGGTTAAGGCAACACTTTATAGTTCATGTATTTTGATTCTTTTCAGTCATTTGTATTAGATGACTGGCTCTAGACAAAAAGTTATGTGTTCTCGACGCAACTGAGAATGTGAATTTTGTGGAAGTATGCAAATGTATAATGGGTTGAGGTCATAATGATACATGGGTAAATTCCTCTAAAGTGAGGAGCTCTAAACATCAGCTGGTGAGATCAACATGACGAACATGAAGTTAAACCATTGCTATATGACGTCACACTCTTGTTAAAAGTGTGGATTCGGAACTACGAATCCACACTTTGGACAATAAGTAGACAAGAAGAGTATTTTAGTCCCCTCTATATTTTTTTATGTTTTAATTGTTTGTTGTTTTTTACCGTTCATTCGCATGAATCATTTTGTTTGATGGTTTTCATTCCCCATCCACTGATTTATTCATGAGCTATCGTTGTATTAATGGACCGATCCAGTAAGCACCGCCCCATGGTGTTCTGACCAATCACAGCCGTGATTTATGTCCGACATGCGCGCACAAAAGTCCGACATGCGTGCACGCGCGTATGATGTGCGCGGCAGAAAAATGCTGTGTGGCATTGGAGAGGAGCACGTGTTAATTTACCACGTGCGCAGTGGGAGGGGCTTACTGGATCGGTCCATTGGCAGACTGAATCGGTCCATTGGCAGACTGAACCTTTTGGTGATAGGAACATTATTTTTCTCCTCGGTCTTGCCTTCTCCACATTTCACCTCACCTCCTGGTCTAGCTGTATTTTATATGCATGTTATATTTTTTTAAGCATTTTATTGTAGAGAAAATTTAAAAAATAACTAAAAAATAATACATATTATTATTACGGGAAATGGGTCATTTGGGAGACATGGACTTGTGCACAAAAATTGTCTATCTTAAATGTCACCTAACCCCAATTTTACCTTATCATACTCCCACAAATGTTGGTGTATTTATGTTTGCGACCAGAAGCAGTCGATCTAGCCTATTTGCGACGGTACAAATTTTGACTCTAAATAGGAGCTGTGACAATAGGGAGACATTGATGTGTCTCCCTAATGTCCGGTGTCTCCCTAAGGTATAAGTAATGACGACAAAAATGTACCCCAAAGGTAACATTAACATGTATTAAACAATTTACATCATGTTTGACCACGGACAAATTACCATGCATGGACCAACGTTTCTAATTAACAACATCAGAAAATTTCCAGTGCATGTATTCACTGTATACCCTTTTCCAAACACAGACATGACACTGTAGACAATTTAGTCATTTTGAAATATCATTTTTTTTTAATGCAATATTAAAAGCAAACTCTTCAACATTATTTTTAGTATTTGATTTTTTTTACCCCTTTTTTTGTTTGACTTAGAGAAATTGAAACGAATAGGGAAGTTTTGATGTAGTGATTAACGCACACTCATTCAAGAATGAAAAAGTCCAGACAAGGGGCAAGACAATGCATCCTAGTCTGGAAATGAAAAAGTCCAGATTTTACCGAACGATAATATTTCCCCCCCCCCCCCATTTTACGATTTAAAGCCACTCAATATTTGTTTTATATAACTGAAATATAGATCCTGGTCATTTAATTCACAGTTAAAATGAACGTCTCTTTCAATACAAAATTGGTAGAAAATGAAGTTCTCTCTTCCAAACTACCCCTTCACGAAATTTCAAAAGGCTATTGCTCTTTGCTAATACTACGTGGCATATAGTTGTTGTCTCTGTGATTCTACATCCTGCTGAATGGCGGTTTTGCGATCAAGTCTGATGTGATATCCGCCACTGACGAACAACCTGGGGAAAAAAGAAAGATTTTTTTTCCTTGAATTGTAACTAGCAAAACTGTTACCTTCAATCAAGCGGCGCAGGCCTACATTCATCCTACACGAAAAATGTGAACCACAAATCTGGGCTCAGAGCAGGGGTGACAGCACAGTTTAATATGAGAAAAAACAAATGTATGATTTTCACAATTTTATATCTCAGTGAAAAGGCCAGATACTATTTACCTTGATATTATTGTTTGGGTCGAGCCCTGAACCAGACTGTGGTATGGTAAGCGTTTAGCATCAAATTCTTCTAAGCCAAAATAAGTAATTATGTTTACTTTGGGTGGAGCACTAGCTGTAAAAGATCGAATTCGACCAAAACATGATATTTTTTTGGCAACCGCTAAAAATAGACTTCTGTATATAAGACAGTAAATCTGAACAGTTCTGTGCGGGCCAATTTATAATTCAAGACTGAGACGATCACACGTTACCACTTAGGGCCATCGCCAGAGTGAATTCATCTTTCAGAATCCCAAGAACTTTTTCAACTCCTTTCTCCCCCTGCAAAATGTTGAGAGAATAACAAATACGAGTTAAAACAATATTTTGTCAAAACAAAACAATCCACTTAATTCAGTTTTACCAACTGAATTTGGCAGCCAATTTTCTTTGAGAAATAAAAGCGCTATACGTACGTCGTAAGCGAGCCCCCAGATTGCCGGTCGGCCGACGAAGACGGCTCGTGCTCCCAGAGCAAGGGCCTTGAGGACATCGGTGCCTTTGCGTACTCCTCCGTCAAGATACACCTCAACATTGGAGCCTTGGACGGCGTTGACTATATCGGCCAAAACGTCGATCTGGTGGTGATCAAGTTTGGAATTCAGACCCCTTGCACGGTGCGCCCTCTCTGTGCGACATCAGGTTTTGGGAGTTAAAATAGCGGCAATGAAAGTACATGGGTCTGCTCATGCGTCCCAAAGAGGAACGAACACCTGCCCTCAGATATGTGACGTCAGACGCAACCGGATTATTCAGCAGCGATTACAATGCGTAACACACTTTCATGGTAAACATTAGTCTTGTTTTTAGTACATAATTATGCCAAAGGTGATTATACCAGCGAGGGAAGAGCTTTAAGACTGATTTCCGCCTCTCCTTCCGAAGCCTGGAATACATAAATCAGATGACGCGTCGCTCTCGTTCTCGAGCAAATTGTGCCATTTGGTAAACGGATGAATACTACATTATGATTGAAGAGCCTTAAGTCCCAAATCCCATCAGCCGAGGTGATCTTTTAGTGAAGGAGTGAACCAGCCTACTTACGGTAGCTGGTACCCCGTCCAGCTGCCGACCACCGTGGTTGGACACCAGGATACCAGCGGCACCGTGCCTCACTGCTTCTCTTGCATCTGCAGCTTGAGGATAAATAAACAAAGCTTAACTTTGCAAAGGAGGCGAAACTATTTGGCACAAAAAATCTCAAGGGAACTTCAAGTTATGAATAGGGTCTTATACCGACCTCTTTCCAGTCTTCCTGCCGAGTGCTTAGAAGGAGAATTGTTCAGCACATAACATCACTTAAAAACAGTCAAATTTAAATTGAAATTTTTTTGTGCTTATCGAATAAGTTCATTCTTAACATGTGCCCCAGGTTTCTCAAGTTTCATTATGAAAGCTATTTTCCGTGAAAGCACAATCCTGCGGCTGTTTTGTGATTCTAGAATCAGCTCCTTCATTTACCTGTAAGAATTCCTTTCAGCACGACCGGAAGTGACGTAATTCTCCTCAACCACAATATGTCATGCCAAGTCATAGGCGCATCTTTAATGATTTCGTCTGACATCTTATGAGTGTAACGTTCGCCAGGCAGTAGAACTTGTGGAAATCTTTGCACGGAAGATGAAAAAAATATATAATATACATGTATCTGTTTTGTTGATGGACCCACAGGGCCAGCCTAGTGGGTCTTTGTATACCTATCTCACCCACACTTGTGACTTAATGACTCTTTAAGCCCACCTTGGCCCTACAGTTCCCCTATGACCTTTATGACCACCACAGCCTAGACCCCCGGACCAAGACCCTCATACCAAATTGGTCTGGAAGCTTTACCGGGATCGCATTATAGTCTTGTTTTATAGCAAATGTGACTCGTCAATAGAAAGTGTAACATCAAATTCAGCTTTATTAGACCAACTGAATAACAATTCATTATGATGTTCCAAACGATTCGAGTCATAACCTTGCAAGCAATTTACCAACGCTGCTTGCAACCTACGTCATATCCGGATCCAGGTCCACCTTCTTGCTTGAGTAGGCAATCCTGTTCCCCATCATCGGTTGATCAGACGTTATCACTAGTGCTTTGAAGCCTGCTTTCTCGGCCCGTTTGATCACCGCCTCCACTCTGCTTCTGTCGCGCAGCATGTTAAGCTGAAGCAGCAGTGGCGTGTCGGGGTGCACTGATGCAGCCACGTCTTCCAGACTCCTGTTGGACCACATACTGAGAATCATGGCAGACCCAACGCTGGATACACCTATAAAACCAGACAAGCTTGGTGATCTCACAATTCCATTCAATTGATTCAGAATGGCTACTCACTGCAGTCTTGTCATGCATCTGGTCGACACAATTAGCAACATTTATGCACAGGCGATACGGGGTAATCCTATACGATAGCACTGCTCTGTTCACAACAGACATGCTGTCAGTGGGCCGAATACATAAAAACTAACAATTGCTTTTTCTAGGATTTTGCTTATAATATGTATACATAAAAAATAAGCAATTGCTAACAAGCAAAAGCAAAAGTTTGTTTCTTGCAAGCAAAATGCTTAATTCCCACATTAGCAATTGCTTACAAACGTAAACAAAAAAAACAAGCTTTTGCCTTTGTCATTAAGCAATTGCTTGTAGTGTTTCAAGTTCCCCACCTGGAAGCTTGAGCTCTTGCTTATCAGACAAGGTCAACCGTTATCTTCATTTTTTTTTTGCATATGTTTTTTTCTTGACCTTTGCTTTCATGTTGGCTACCTTCTTCAAAAGTTGTTTGTCATCAGTGTTTTTTTCTCAGTATTTGTAACAATTGATGTTTTGACATCCTGAAGAGCCCTCTCTTTCTTTTCCTGGCTAGGGCCTACTTGGTGTACATCTGGATGAAGAGCGAGTCTAAGCACTTGCTAGGCAAGCTTAAATAAGAAAATGCTGCTAGTCAAAGCAAAAGGTTATGTATATATTTTTAACCAATTGCTTTTCCTTACGCTTCTGGCTTGATGAGCTCTTGCTTTTGCTCGGTGCTTCTGCTTATAAGCAATTGCTAGATTTGTTTGTATGTGTTCGGCCCAGCGAGTCAGTCGAGTTTAGTACAAACGGCACTATAGGCTGGCCGACTTGGACCAGCGTTAATCTTTTTATTATTATTAATTAGTTCTGGAAATGAAACGAAGAATTCCTCAAAAACACCCCAGCCACTGTAGCTCGCAAGCCTGAGGAAACCTGCAGTTTATGTAGAGAGAAGACAATGAGAAGTGTTACAGTTTTAGGGGTGGGATCGAGGAAAACCCCAAACGAATATTCTGGGGAAAACCCACGAAATCAGGCTGAGACTGAAAACTCAATCCACATGTCCAGGTGGGATTCGAACCCGGGTCACAGCGGTGGAAGGCGAGGAAAGTACGCCAATCTGACGATTACGATTACTATGCGATTACTTTACAGTCATCAACACGCAGTCATCTTACCCTTTGCAGTTGCAACTTCTGCATCACGATGCGCAAAGACATGACAGCACGTGGGAGACACACCAACGGGAAATGACAAGCGGTGACCGAGTATAGAGGTGCTGGTGTCTCGTTGAGACACGTCCCTCAAACATCGCGGTCGAAGACGATACCTTTGGGATATCCCACAAAAGAAACATCAAAATACAAAATGTAGTACTCATGGACAAACCTAGTCCGAAAATTTAGGACTCTCAATAATGTGTATGAGAGTCCCAAAACGTAAGGTATTGAAAACATGCAATACAAGAAAATAGACTGGCAACTTCTGCATACTGCCTGCAGAACGTGTAGAGGAATAATGATATCGTAGACCCTATTCCTGTGGCAAATTTAGGCCTTCTGGACTATATCCTTTTCTCCGAAAACGAACCTAATTCATTTTGAATAGAGAGCTAGGAAGGGTGTATTTGAAGTCTTAACTCAAGCCGCGCGCCCTAGGACAACTGTTTCAAACAGGCAGGATTTCATTAATTAGGCAGAGGGCTCTATTTTTTCAGCAAACAGTTTGTGTGTGTGTGTGCTGAGAACTCGACTGAGGATTACCTCTGAAAGGCAAGTGGATTGTCTCGCAGCGTCTGCTCACCGTCTGCCCCGCATCTGTAGAATTCCCAGAAAAAGTCCGCCACACTTGCCTTAAGGAACGACTCGAAATCCTCGACACAGACTGGTTCCGACGCCATGTTGATTGTGCACCAACCTCCACTTCCAAATCTGACGAAATGTACGTGACTACATTCTCCAAATCCTACAGTATGGCATCCCACAGACCGACAATTCGATACATAAAGCATGTGACCTTTCGGGAGTTTGACCTACAAGGTCCAATGTACAACTGAGGGCGCACTGAACCAATTCAAGCCCCATTGAAAACAGTGTAGAATCAAATTCAAATCAAATTCGTCAAATTCAAAACAGTACATGACTGGCAGCAAAAAGTTCGCCCCTCGTATACGATCCGAGTGCGGAGTTGATGCACAGAATCGGCGTTGAATTTCATGTTTTCTATAAATGCAAGCAATGAATTTTAAATATCAAATAATTTTAAAAGTTTTTAGCAAAGCAATTAGGCAGATAATAAAACCTATATTATACTCGGAAATACCCGGGCCCTATCCGGTTGTCGACGAAATATTCGGCAAACTTCGGACATTTTCGGAAAAAAGGAGACATTCCCCCCGTATTAGTCACGTGACGTATATAGTTTTTATATACTAGCGGCTACCTGACCTAAGATTTATCAGAAATAGTCAGAATCGTTTTATCCGGCGGCCGCCAGATAATAAGTGGCGGCCGCTGTACAAAAAAAAATATTTTCACACGCACCAAAAATATATTCACACTCATTGAGTGACACTATCCGTCTTCCGTAAAAAAAACGATGAACTTGAAAAAATGAATGCAGATATCGCACATTGGAATTGTGAATGGGTTTACTGACGCGGCCTACAAAGGCTTGAGACAAGTCTACCAGGTACACGCGCTTAGGGTCACGGTTCAGAAAGTTCGCCTAAACACGTACACGACACGACACGATCGACAGATGACGAAAACAAACAGTGAAGTTCAATGCATGCTGTTCAACGGTCAGACATGTTTGTTCATTCTTGGGGTAGTAGGTGGAATTCGTGTACAAGGCCATACACTTATTACAATGTATGGCGTTGTCGTGTCGTAAAAGAGCAGATCCTAGGTAAGTCATTTTTGGAACAAAGTCGGAACAATTCTACCTGATGGATCCAACGTAACTCTAATGTGCATTTGGACGTACCTACACTTGCCTGTACATTTTATAGGCCTGTAGTGTATAACTATAGATGGGAGTGGCGAATTGTTACGCACTCTTATAAACTCCCGGCCTTTAGATTTGATTTGGAATCTGTGTCATTATTGGACCTGATAGTTTCAGGGTCAAAATGACAGTTTTGACTGGTCATTTAGACTCGCAAATCTTGCCAAAAGAGTTTACCCACAAAAGTATGGGCATACATTTTTCGATCCTGAATACGGAAAATATGTTGCAACCTGACGCCACTTCCGCAATTGTATACAAAGTCTATGGAGAGTCCAGTTTTATTTTAAAGTATTTCCTAACAAAATTGGAAATGTTTCTCAATCCCAGATTCATGTCTTATCATCATTTTTGCAATGAATGACCTTCATTGAGATGATATATGAAGAAAAAAGTGGCGTCAGGTTGTAACATTTTTTCCTTGAATACTTTTGGCCTGAGCCATCAATTATTGTGGATTAATTTACCTGATCAAGTTCAATTCGCTCTCAGACTCGGAAAGTATAGGGTTGTGTACAATATCAACATGGCATCGGAACCAGTCTGTGTGGAGGACTTTGAGCCGTACCTCAAGGCGAGCGTTCCGGACACAGTTTGGCAATACTTTAGAAGCGGGGCAGACGGTGAGCAGACGCTGAGAGACAATCCACTGGCCTTTCAGAGGTAATACCATTCATAGTCATGGGGTGATCCCAGTTAATCATCAAACAATTTACGCCTTACATGTAGCAGAAACTCAAAGGTGCCAAGGACTATAGGGCCTAGACGTCAATATATAGAAGAAGAAAAACCCTTAGTTGATGCTGATGGAATAGCCAGCATAGTTGTTTTGAACGGACTAAGAACGAGATGTTTCCTGCCTTTCTCAGATCTTCTCGTGGCAGAGTTACCCAAATTCATCCCTTTTCAATCCCACAATTACCAGAACCAGCTTTCCTAGAAACAAAGGCCTATATATGAGGTCAATTGTAATTGAAGTTACACGAGCCTAAGCCTACACTGTAAAAACTGCGGTGTTAAATATACACCATTGGTATCTATACAGGACCATCTGGTGTTAAATTTTACTGGCAAAAAATATCCTGATGAGTACAGATATTGTTGCAATGTATCTTTGCTGGACCCGCAGAACAAGCTTGTTGTCCTCTGATTGCCGACTGAGTCAGAGACTGACTGCAGGACTGACTGACAGTGAGCGAGTCAGTCAGTGGTATGTCCTATAGCTTGGTTCTTAACTGCCTACAGTGTCTGAACTGATTGGCTGCCCGAATAGTAAGCCTAATCTTGAAAAAAAAGAGTAGAGTCTGTCATGGGCCAATGTGGCTCATCATCAGGCAAGAGTTTATCTCCAGTGTCCTTGGCATAGGCCTAATAAAACGACTTAGAATATTTCCATTCCCCCTGGATAGGATGCCAGTCTATGACAGGGGATATCAGTACCCATTAATACTCCTGTTTTGAGAGGTGAGTAGGGATGAAGTCATTGAAGTGGCTTGCCCAAGGAAACAACGCATGGCATTTGTACCCCAGACTCTCTGATCATGAGTCACGACCGCCCTAACCACTCTGACACTAACCCATAACAGTATTGATAACCTTAACCATGCCAGAAGCAGCCAAAATGCAAAGCAGCCGGCAGGACAATGCAAAAATAAACTTGAATGATACATTTAACCTCTAGTGTCACTGTTTGAATTATTTTCGGACTAAAGGTATCGTCTTCGACCGCGATGTTTGAGGGACGTGTCTCAACGAGACACCAGCACCTCTATACTCGGTCATCGCTTGTCATTTCCCGTTGGTGTGTCTCCCACAGCCTGTCATGCCTCCGTGCATCGTGATGGAGAAGTTGCAACTGCAAAAGGTATACTGATCACATTATCGTAGAAGTCATAACGCCAGCTACGAATGTGTCGGTTTTGTAGTTGAGACCATCATAATTATTAGGTCTAACAAACATCCGGGTTGCAAATCAGTCTTAAGTTAATGACAACTCGGTCCACAAAATTTAGTCAGAAGTAGGCTAACAGGTGCTAGGGATGAACAGTAACAAAAAAAAAAACTTGTCACAGTTCATAAGAGGAAAGCCCGCAGCACACGAGAGCTATGAGCAAAGAGTTATTCGAGGCTGTTTGCTCAGCACGTAGCTCACAAAATATCCCCATGTGCGGTGAATCTGCTGAGTTTTCTGCCTCGCGAGGCCGTGAAGAAAATATCTACCCTGTTGGATTTCTTTCGCCTCGCGTGGCGAAAAAAATTACCGTGTGCTTTCAACCTGAGCTAAAAAGATTAACTAGCAATGAAATCACGTACTCACGCCCGGTACACGTGATTATAAGATATTTTTGTGCAAATCTTCTAAAGCCTGCTGGCGTGTGTCCTCATGTTTTAAATCACGCGACCGACAAACAAGAATAACTTGCTTTCATTGGTATTGGTTAGTTAATCTTTTTAGCTCAGCATGTAGCTCCCCTTGACCGCACAGGGTGAGTTTTTCGCGTCGCGAGGCCATATAAATCAAACAGGGTAGATATTTGACTCAGTTACATCTCTATGTTCCAACACCCATATGTTCCGACTGCACATATTCTTATCCTTATTATCCCTACCCCTAACCGTAACCCTAAACCTAACCCTCAGTGGGAGTAACACAATACTATGTGCAGGTTGTGGGAACACCGCGGTGTCGGAACATAGGTTGAGTAGTTGGAACATAGGGGTGTCGGAACATAATTTATATAGGGGTGTCAAAACATATATAGGGGTGTCGGAACATATATAGGGGTGTCGGAACATAGGGGTGTCGGAACATAGAGCAGTTACCATTTGCTTCACGGCCTCGCGAGGCAGAAAACTCATCAAAACTTCACCGAACACTGTATGAGCTACGTGCTGAGCAAACGGCCTCGAACGACTTTTTGCTAAGCACATAGCTCTCGTGTGCTGTCATGTCTCAACAGACTTATGACTACTGACTGACTGTGATTGACTCGACTACAAAACTGAAATCATAGGACAGCGCCTGACTGATTGGATATCTTGATTATATATCATCAATCTTGATCATATACACAATGATTCGAATGGGACGTATCATTTTTCAGGAGTGTCCAATGCTGGTTCTGCCATGATTCTGAGCATGTGGTCCAACAGGAGTCTGGAGGACGTGGCTGCATCAGTGCACCCTGACACGCCACTGTTGCTTCAGATTAACCTCATACGCAACGAAGGCAGACTAAAGGCGGTGATCAGACGGGCCGAGGCAGCAGGCTTCAAAGCTTTGGTGGTAACGGTAGACCAACCAGTGGTAGGAAACAAACTTCACCTTAAAGGAGGGAAAAGAGATTTGGACCCGACGTGAGTGTATGCTCGGGAAAGGTTTCAAAGTTCCAAATTTAAAAAGAACGTGAATCAATACCGAGATGCTTTTGATCTACCACCAATCAGATTCGTCAAACTGATAAATATTAAGTAAGTAAAGTGATTTACACCATATCCGTGGGTTTTTTTTATTTGTGAAATGAGTGGAACACACGACTCGGCTTAAATTAAAATCTGCCTCCCTTTCCCCAAAACTGGTTGTGTCCGGATATGTCACGCACTTTTCTCTACGAGATTCATGACAAAGAAGCGAACGTACAGGCATTCGTAGGTACCAAAACCAAAAAGATTGAATTTTTTTTTAATTTTCCGTGCACAGCTATCCGCAACTTCTATTGCCTGGAGAGGGTACTTTTACACTAGAGAAAGCTCTTGCATTAGTTAAAGAGACAGAGTCACTGACCTGGAAAGACATCTTGAGGTTGAGGGGAATTACGTCACTTCCACTCGTGCTGAAAGGTATTCTCACAGGTAAGCAGAGTTTGAGGTCCGAATTATGAAATATTAGTAGAACTTTTCTGCGTCCGGGAAGAACAGAAAAAGGAACCGTTGCAAAAAAAAGGAATTTCGTCCCTCTGGCAGTCAACATCTTGGCTGGTAACAAAGCCAAATATCATACTAGCTCATAATACACAATGTGCTCAGTACAACGAAAGGTTTCCGAGTAAAAACAGCCTACCAGCCAAAAGGTTGTGAGCATTAAGTGCATTCAATTGTACAGCTACTTCACCTGATAGTTGCTGAACATATTTTCAGCTCAGCAGATCCATGTACTTGAAAGACACGAACACAGGATTTTCAGATCAGTTTTGGTAATGTGATCTCTCCAGCTGATGTTGAGCACAGCTCTCAGCATACGAGTGTAGGTGCCATTGAGTGTCTACTCCAGGACAGGTGTTAAATTATCTCTCACCCATAGGGCAATATCGATTCAAATGTGGCTAGGCAAAAGCTGAGATTCACCTGTCCTGTTATGTTGGATTCCCCAACCGCCTTCGGGAGCTACCCATACAGATCAGTGTTGGTAATGTGATCTCTCCAACTCATGATGTTGAGTACAGCTCTCAGCATACGAGTGAAGGTGCCATTGAGTGACTTCTCCAGGACAGGTGTTAAAGTCCATGTTTCGCACCCATAGAGCAATACCGATTAAACTGTGGTCATACATAGGAAAAAGCTTCACCTGTACTGGTCGTGTTGGAGTGTCATACTCTTTACATTTCGTTGAGAAGTGTTCAAGCTAGGGACTTCCTGATGTTGATGTCACCCTCTGTTCTCAGATTCCCAGAGTCTGAGGAGGATGACCAAACATCGCTGCTAAGCATCCACGTCCATCGCTTGCCAAGTATAGAGACAGTTTTTCCGCTACGTTCGGTTTTCCACAACAGCTCTTTTAGTATCAACTAAAAGTTTTTGTTTACTCTCACCCTTTAAGCTGAAGATGCAAGAGAAGCTGTGAAGCATGGTGCCGCTGGTATCCTGGTGTCTAACCACGGTGGCCGGCAGCTAGACGGGGTACCAGCTACCGTAAGTCTATTGATTTACTTCATACGAACGTGCATATGAAACACGACTGAAGTGGATATTATAATAATTACCTCAAATTATTGCAATAATTTTTATGGACAGTGTGCGAAAAGGTTGAGCTATGGTCACACAATTACTGTGTGGGTCTAATGAAATTTTTATCTGAAAATCAGAAATAAACAGAAGCCAACTCACTTAAGGTACTTGACCGTGTATGTTTTCTACAAAGTCTGAGCTTGATCAGCAAACAGGGCAACGTGGACAAAAGTAAAACATGTAATTTTGTCGGATAAGTTAACTTACCCAATCTCTGTTAACGTGCGATGTTAATCCAAATATAAGAATGCGCACCATTTATAAGTGAGCAATTAAGGCAGTGTGGATCCCTATCTCCATATTATACTCCACGGGCGGAAACCAGTCTAGAATGGGAAGCTTGGCCCACGCTGGTTCGCGTGCCCCATTTAAAATAAATAATTGGTATAAGATGCACGCTCACCAGGGAAGTGTGTTTCGTGTTGTTACCGTTGTTAATGAATGTTAAACTTGATCTCTATCAGATCGACGTTTTGGCTGAGATAGTTGACGCCGTTCGTGGCTCCAATGTTGAGGTGTATCTTGACAGCGGAGTACGTAAAGGCACCGATGTCCTCAAGGCCCTTGCTCTGGGAGCACGAGCCGTCTTCGTCGGCCGACCGGCAATCTGGGGTCTCGCTTACGACGTACGTAGCATTTCTTCCACACCTAACATTCATTTACGCTTTTTCTACCAACTATTTCTGCTCGGTATAAACATTCTCAGCTGTGTTCCTATCAATATTATTATTTCTCTGTCATCAATCTCTCTCAATTCACAGGGGGAGAAAGGAGTTGAAAAAGTCCTTGGGATTCTCAAAGAAGAATTTAGCCGGGCTATGGCACTATGTGGTAACTTGCGATTACATTCTTCCATTATTTTATTCAAATCTAAATTCCACAGGTAGCCTAGTATAAGCTACGTATTTTAATATTCATTCGCTTCCCCAATATCGATATTTAATGTGTTTGCTTAAGCAGGATTCTAAATATTACAACTTTTAATAAATATTTTTCATAAAATTCATAAATTTTATTACATATTTTGACTGAATATTTTTGATCAATTCTTTTATTTTGCAAACCAAAACCTAAATAATTAGTTTCAGACGACTATATTACAATGACAGCTCTGAATAGAAGGTATTTTGCATATTACTGCTTGCAGTTATATCAGATGACAGGGGTATCATCTGGAGAGTTCATTTTTCATTTCTTTCACCAGGTTGTTCTTCGCTATCGGATATTAAACCAGACTTGATTGCAAGGATGCCTTACAACAATTCAGATGTGGAACTATAGAAACCGCATGGGACTCTCATCCATTCGAATCGGAAAAACGTAGACCTAGCTGTGCTAAGCGTAAAGAAAGAAGCTTGCAGACTCCATGACCGTACACTCTAAAAAGTCCCGGGTCAGACTTGACCCGGAAAAGAGTCATGTGGGGCCTGACCCTTTTCTGGGTCAAAAATGACATTTTCTGGTTCAAAATTACACTGTGTGACTCATTTCGGGGTCATTTTGACCCGAAAAATGTCATTTTTTGACCCGGAAAAGTGTCTTTTTTCGACCCGGAAAAAGGTCAGGCCTCACATGACCCTTTTACGGATCAAGTCTGACCCGGGACTTTTTAGAGTGTACGGAATAGCTTCAAGAAGAACAGACGAGAAAAGAACAATATAGAACTACTTACCAAAAATGTCGATACTTCCAGGTGGGGTTCCTCTTTCGGTGGAAGACTTTGAGACGCTTGTTGGCAGTAAGCACCTGTTAATTTTGTTGTTGTTGTTATTGTTGGCGTCATTCCGAACGTTATTTTAACCCTAAAAGGGCTGGGGGCCTATTAATCCCCCCTTGCCAAAGAAAATTGTCCCGAGCCGAGCTTTCCTGACTTTTTAGCCTCGAGTCTTGCATATATTTTGATTGATACCAAAACATAATTTTCCGACCATTGGCTACCGCACAGCGACTGTATCCCCCCCCCCCCTAATTATGTAGGGTACACAAAGAAGAATGATCATAGGTGCATATGAATAATTAATTAGCCAATCATACCAAAATCCTTTAACCTTAGTCATGAAACTTCTTGGGTATGTTCATATTAAATTGCTCTATAAATGCACTAAGTTTCGTAATTTTTCGTCACTCAATGGCTGAGATCTGAAGGGAAGGGGAGGGGGAGGCGGAATTCGCCACCCGGCTGTGAGATGGACAAAATAACCCGGCTCCTTTAGGGTTAAACGTGCTGCTGCAAACAATAATTTGACCGGTGTGTTTACTGCCCCCACTTTCTACAAAATGGTCCGGTTGTAGAAACACAATGAACTCAACAAGATAACGGGTCACTTCAAACCTTCGAAGACTTAGAAAACACCCGATATTTGCAAAAAAATCCATAATTCAACGGTTTTTTTTAATTAAAGTAATAACTATGACACTATATTTCGTTTTCATTCTTCCAATTATGACACGGATGACCGTCAACAAATCATTCACGTCTTCTAGTTGTGCAGTTTATATACATGTATAGGTTAAAACGGCAGCCAATACTGGCGGTCGACGTTCTACAGGAACATTAATGCTGAAACGTGAACTATCATTACATCAATTTTGATAGAACAATGTAGCGCAGCATATTAAACTTATTAATGTAATTATTTTAGCGCTTCAGTGTTTCACGATGACACGGGATCCTAATATGTTTCTGACGAAAAAAAAAATCGTTTCGGAACCAACCAGATTACTAAATTTCAGTTCCGAACTAAGAGCTATTGAGGACAATCATAGACAACATTAACTATATACTTTGGCTCAAGTAAACAACATCGTTAATAAACATACCAGTAGATTGTACGCATAATGCACAAGGGCGGATCCAGGGGGGGGGGGGCAAAGGGGGCCATGGCCCCCCCCCCCAAAAAAAAACGAAACCAATTTGTTTTTATGTGACGTCGCAATAAAGGCAGGCAATGAGTACACCACCATCTTTTCCTAAAAAAAACATTGGCTAAAGTGGTCAGAAATTGCCTCAGATCGCACCACAGAGCATCGAGAATCCAAAAAATGTTCGGGGCTCTTTAGCGGGCCCCGAACCCCACGCTGTAATTTTTTGACCCACTTTTTGGGAGACACAACATTTTTTTTTTGCCCCCAAAAAATTGTGTTCTGGATCCGCCCTTGAATTAATGCACAAATACAACAGACCTCATTAATGTACCAATAGACCGTGTTTATATATATCGATAAGTCAATTTCGTAAGATTGTAGATATCTTTACAATAAAGTTGTCAAGAAACGGATGGCCGAAAACATTTTCATTGCCGACCGGTGAATTTCTGTCGAGACTGCATTTGCGATGAAGAAGAAATGCAAGATCCCACTGATCGATCTACGGATGTTCAAGTTGTTTGATATGGAGCTAGACGAGATCAAGAAACGGAAGACAAGCTTGTCAAGTGCGGGACCCCTGAACAACAAGAAAGAAACACAATTAACTAGGTACATAAAAACAGACAAAAACAACACGTGAACAGCAAATTTACACAATTTACAGGGTATATAACAACAAACAAAATGTAACAAACGTAAAAAAATAAACTGAATGTCAAAAGACGATGAACTTGACAAAATGAATGCAAATATCGCACATTGGAATTGTGAATGGGTTTACTGACACGGTCTACAAAGGCTTGAGACAAGTCTACTACGTACGTGCTAAGGGTCACGGTTCAGAAAGTTCGCCGTACACACAAACCACGTACACCGGCGTACGACAGAACAATTTTGACGAAAACAAACGTTGCAGCAGTGAAGTTCAATGCGTGCTGTCCAACGGTCAGACATGTTTGTTTACTCTTGGGGCAGTAGGTGGAATTCGTGTACTGTACTATACCATACACTTATTACAATGTATGGCGTTGTCGTGACGTAAAAGAGCAGATCCTAGGTAAGTCATTTTTGGTACAAAGTCGGAACAATTCTACCTGATGGATCCAACGTATGTGCATTTGGATGTACGTACGCTTGCCTGTACATTTTATAGGCCTGTAAGTATAGATGGGAGTGGAATTTTTATGCACTCTTATAAACTCCCGGCCTTTAGATTTGATTCGGAATCTGTGTCATATTGGACCTGATAGTTTCAGGGTAAAAATGACAGTTTTGACTGGTCATTTAGACTCGCAAATCTTGCCAAAAGAGTTTGACCCACAAAAGTATGGGCATACATTTTTCGATCCTGAATACGGAAAATATGTTGCAACCTGACGCTACTTCCGCAATTGTATACAAAGTCTATGGAGAGTCCAGTTTTTTTTTAAAAGTATTTCCTAACAAAATTGGAAATGTTTCTCAATCCCAGATTCATGTCTTATCATCATTTTTGCATGAATGACCTTCATTGAGATGATATATGAAGAAAAAAGTGGCGTCAGGTTGTAACATTTTTTTCCTTGAATACTTTTGGCCTGAGCCATCAATTATTGTGAAGTAATTTACCGGATCAGGTTCAATTTGCTTTCAGACTCGGAAAGTATAGGGTTGTGTACAATATCAACATGGCATCGGAACCAGTCTGTGTCGAGGACTTCGAGCCGTACCTCAAGGCGAGCGTTGCGGACACAACTTGGCAGTTCTTTAGAAGCGGGGCAGACGGTGAGCAGACGCTGAGAGACAATCCACTGGCCTTTCAGAGGTAATACCATTCATAGTCATTGGGTGATCCCAGTTAATCATCAAACAATTTACGCCTTACATGTAGCAGAGGCGCCAGCAATGTCTAGACGTCAATAGGAGAAAAAACTTTCCTTGATAATAGCAAGCATAGTTGTTTTGAACGGACTAAGAACGAGATGATTCCTGCCTTTCTCAGATCTTCTCGTGGCAGTGTTAACCAGTTTTCCTAGAAACAAAGGCCTATATAATTATGAGGTCAATTATAATTTAAGTTACACGAGGTTAGCCTACACTGTAAAAACTGCAGTGTTAAATATACACCATTGGTATCTATACAGGACCATCTGGTGTTAAATTTTACTAGCAATAAATATCCTGATGAGTATAGATATTGTTGCAATGTATCTTTGCTGGACCCGCAGAACAAGCTTGTTGTCCTCTGATTGCCGACTGAGTCAGAGACTGACTGCAGGACTGACTGACAGTGACCGAGTCAGTCAGTGGTATGGATGTCCCATAGCTTATATTAGTCCTTAACTGCCTACAGTGTCTGAACTGATTGGCTGGCCGAATAGTAAGCCTAGTCGTGAAAAAAAAGTAGAGTCTGTCATGGGCAAATGTGGCTCATCATGGCCTCTCCAGTTTCCTTGGCATAAAACGACTGAGAATATTTCCATTTAATGTGAACCGGTTTTGAGAAAGCCAAGTGGGGATGAAGTAGCTTGCCGAAGGAAACACGTATGGCCAGCGGCTGGATTCGTACCCCTGACTCTCTGATCATGAGTCACGAACCCTAAAACCACTTGGACACACTAATCCATTAGCAGTGTTGATAACCTCAACTATAATGCCATAATCAGCCAAATTGCAAAGCAGCCTAGCTGGACAATGCAAAAATATACTTTAGTGATACATTTCACATCTTGTCTTATACTGCTTGATTTCCGTACTAAAGGTATCGTCTTCGACCGCGATGTTTGAGGGACGTGTCTCAACGAGACACCAGCGCCTCTATACTCGGTCATCGCTTGTCATTTCCCGTTGGTGTGTCTCCAACAGCCTGTCATGCCTTTGTGCATCGTGATGGAGAAGTTGCAACTGCAAAGGGTATTACTAACTTTACTTTAGGACATTATCGTAGAAGTCATAACGCCAGCTTAGAATGTGTCATTTTGTAGTTGAGACCATTATAATCATTAAGTCTAACAAACATCTGGTCACAAATCGGTCGTAAGTCAATCATAACTCAGTCCGCACGATTTAGTCAGAAGTTGCTAGGGATGAACAGTAACGAAATGAAAACCCTTGTCACAGTTCATAAGAGGCAAGCCCGCCGCACACGAGAGCTACGTGCTGAGCAAAGAGTTATTCGAGGCTGTTTGCTCGGCACGTAGCTCACAAAATACCCCCATGTGCGGTGAATCCGCTGAGTTTTCCGCCTCGCAAGGCCGTGAGGAAAATATCTACCCTGTTGGATTTCTTTTGCCTCGAGAGGCGAAAAAAAATACCGTGTGCGGTCAACCTGAGCTATACATTTATGCTGAGCTAAAAAGATTAACTAGCAATGAAATCACGTACTTACGGTACACGTGATTTAAGATATTTTTCGTGCAAATCTTCTAAAGCCTGCTGGCGTGTGTCCCAATGTTTTAAATCACGCTACCAACAAACAAGAATAACTTGCTTTCATTGGTATTGGTTAGTTAATCTTTTTAGCTCAGCATGTAGCTCCCCTTGACCGCACACGGTGAGTTTTTTCGCGTCGCGAGGCCATATAAATCAAACAGGGTAGATATTTGACTCGGTTACATCTCTATGTTCCAACGCCCATATGTTCCGACTGCACATATTCTTATCCTTATTATCCCTACCCCTAACCGTAACCCTAAACCTAACCCTCAGTGGGAGTAACACAATACTATGTGCAGGTTGTGGGAACACCGTGGTGTCGGAACATAGGTTGAGTAGTTGGAACATAGGGGTGTCGGAAAATATATAGGGGTGTCGGAACATATATAGGGGTGTCGGAACATAGGGGTGTCGGAACATAGAGCAGTCACCATTTGTTTCACGGCCTAGCGAGGCAGAAAACTCATCAAAACTTCACCGAACACTGTATGAGCTACGTGCTGAGGCTGAGCAAACGGCCTCGAACGAGTTTTTGGTAAGCACATAGCTCTCGTGTGCTGTCATATCTCAACAGACTTATGACTACTGACTGACTGTGATTGACTCGACTACAAAACTGAAATCATAGGACAGCGCCTGACTGATTGGATATCTTGATCATATATCATACACAATGATTCGAATGGGACGTATAATTTTCAGGAGTGTCCAATGCTGGTTCTGCCATGATTCTGAGCATGTGGTCCAACAGGAGCCTGGAGGACGTGGCTGCATCAGTGCTGCCTGATACGCCACTGTTGCTTCAGATTAACCTCATACGCGACGAAAGCAGACTGGAGGCGGTGATCAGACGGGCCGAGGCAGCAGGCTTCAAAGCTTTGGTGGTAACGGTAGACCAACCAGTGGTGGGAAACAAACTTCACCTTAAAGGAAGGAAAAAAGATTTGGACCCGACGTAAGTGTATGCTCGGGAAAGGTTTCAAAGTTCCAAATTTAAAAAGAACGTGAATCAATACCGAGATGCTTTCGATCTACCACCAATCAGATTGGTCAAACTGATAAATATTAAGTAAGTTAAGTGATTTACACCATATCTATGGGTTTTTTTATTTGTGAAATGAGTGGAACACACGACTCGGCTTAAATTAAAATCTGCCTCCCTTTCCCCAAAACTGGTTGTGTCCGGATATGTCACGCACTTTTCTCTACGAGATTCATGACAAAGAAGCGAACGTACAGGCATTCGTAGGTACCAAAACCAAAAAGATTGATTTTTTTTTTTAATTTTCCGTGCACAGCTTTCCGCAACTTCTATTGCCTGGAGAGGGTACTTTTACACCAGAGAAAGCTCATGCATTAGTTAAAGAGACAGAGTCACTGACCTGGAAAGACATCTTGAGGTTGAGGGGAATTACGTCACTTCCACTCGTGCTGAAAGGTATTCTCACAGGTAAGCAGAGTTTGAGGTCCGAATTATGAAATATTAGTAGAACTTTTCTGCGTCCGGGAAGAACAGAAAAAGGAACCGTTGCAAAAAAGAAGGAATTTCGTCCCTCTGGCAGTCAACATCTTGGCTGGTAACAAAGCCAAATAATCATACTAGCTCATAATACACAATGTGCTCAGTACAACAAAATGTTTCCGAGTAAAAACAGCCCACCAGCCAAAAGGTTGTGAGCATGAAGTAAATTCAATTGTACAGCTACTTCACCTGATAGTTGCTGAACATATTTTCAGCTCAGCAGATCCATGTAATTGAAAGACATGCAAACAGGATTTTCAGATCAGTGTTGGTAGTGATCTCTCCAGCTGATGTTGAGTACAGCTCTCAACATACGAGTGTATGTGCGATTGAGTGTCTACTCTAGGACAGGTGTTAAATTATTTCTCACCCATAGGGCAATATTGATTCAAATGTGGCTAGGCAAAAGCTGAGCTTCACCTGTCCTGTTATGTTGGATTCCCCAACCTTCGGGAGCTCCCCATACAGATCAGTGTTGGTAATGTGATCTCTCCAACTCATGATGTTGAGTACAGCTCTCAGCATACGAGTGTAGGTGCCATTGAGTGACTTCTCCAGGACAGGTGTTAAAGTCCATGTTTCGCACCCATAGAGCAATACCGATTAAACTGTGGTCATACATAGGAAAAAGCTTCACCTGTACTGGTCATATTGGAGTGTCACACTCTTTACATTTTGTTGAGAAGTGTTCAAGCTAGGGACTTCCTGATGTTGATGTCACCCTCTGTTCCCAGATTCCCAAAGTCTGAGGAGGATGACCAAACATCGCTGCTAAGCATCCACGTCCATCGCTTGCCAAGTATAGAGACAGTTTTTCCGCTACGTTCGGTTTTCCACAACAGCTCTTTTAGTATCAACTAAAAGTTTTTGTTTACTCTCACCCTTTAAGCTGAAGATGCAAGAGAAGCTGTGAAGCATGGTGCCGCTGGTATCCTGGTGTCTAACCACGGTGGCCGGCAGCTAGACGGGGTACCAGCTACCGTAAGTCTATTGATTTACTTCATACGAACGTGCATATGAAACACGACTGAAGTGGATATTATAATAATTACCTCAAATTATTGCAATAATTTTTATGGACAGTGTGCGAAAAAGGTTGAGCTATGGTCACACAATTACTGTGTGGGTCTAATGAAATTTTTATCTGAAAATCAGAAATAAACAGAAGCCAACTCACTTAAGGTACTTGACCGTGTATGTTTTCTACAAAGTCTGAGCTTGATCAGCAAACAGGGCAACGTGGACAAAAGTAAAACATGTAATTTTGTCGGATAAGTTAACTTACCCAATCTCTGTTAACGTGCGATGTTAATCCAAATATAAGAATGCGAACCATTTATAAGTGAGCAATTAAGGCAGTGTGGATCCCTATCTCCATATTATACTCCACGGGCGGAAACCAGTCTAGAATGGGAAGCTTGGCCCACGCTGGTTCGCGTGCCCCATTTAAAATAAATAATTGGTATAAGATGCACGCTCACCAGGGAAGTGTGTTTCGTGTTGTTACCGTTGTTAATGAATGTTAAACTTTATCTCTATCAGATCGACGTTTTGGCTGAGATAGTTGACGCCGTTCGTGGCTCCAATGTTGAGGTGTATCTTGACAGCGGAGTACGTAAAGGCACCGATGTCCTCAAGGCCCTTGCTCTGGGAGCACGAGCCGTCTTCGTCGGCCGACCGGCAATCTGGGGTCTCGCTTACGACGTACGTAGCATTTCTTCCACACCTACATTCATTTACGCTTTTTCTACCAACTATTTCTGCTCGGTATAAACATTCTCAGCTGTGTTCCTATCAATATTATTATTTCTCTGTCATCAATCTCTCTCAATTCACAGGGGGAGAAAGGAGTTGAAAAAGTCCTTGGGATTCTCAAAGAAGAATTTAGCCGGGCTATGGCACTATGTGGTAACTTGCGATTACATTCTTCCATTATTTTATTCAAATCTAAATTCCACAGGTAGCCTAGTATAAGCTACGTATTTTAATATTCATTCGCTTCCCCAATATCGATATTTAATGTGTTTGCTTAAGCAGGATTCTAAATATTACAACTTTTAATAAATATTTTTCATAAAATTCATAAATTTTATTACATATTTTGACTGAATATTTTTGATCAATTCTTTTATTTTGCAAACCAAAACCTAAATAATTAGTTTCAGACGACTATATTACAATGACAGCTCTGAATAGAAGGTATTTTGCATATTACTTCTTTCAGTTGTATCAGATGACAGGGGTATCATCTGAAGACTTCATGTTTCATTTCTTTCACCAGGTTGTTCTTCACTATCGGATATGACACCAGATTTGATTGTAAGGATGCCTTACAACAATTCAGATGTGGAACTATAGAAACCGCATGGGACTCTCATCCATTCGAATCGGAAAAACGTAGACCTAGCTGTGCTAAGCGTAAAGAAAGAAGCTTGCAGACTCCATGACCGTACACTCTAAAAAGTCCCGGGTCAGACTTGACCCGGAAAAGAGTCATGTGGGGCCTGACCCTTTTCTGGGTCAAAAATGACATTTTCTGGGTCAAAATTACACTGTGTGACTCATTTCGGGGTCATTTTGACCCGAAAAATGTCATTTTTGACCCGGAAAAGTGTCTTTTTTCGACCCGGAAAAAGGTCAGGCCTCACATGACCCTTTTACAGATCAAGTCTGACCCGGGACTTTTTAGAGTGTACGGAATAGCTTCAAGAAGAACAGACGAGAAAAGAACAATATAGAACTACTTACCAAAAATGTCGATACTTCCAGGTGGGGTTCCTCTTTCGGTGGAAGACTTTGAGACGCTTGTTGGCAGTAAGCACCTGTTAATTTTGTTGTTGTTATTGTTCGCGTCATTCCGAACGTTATTTTAACCCTAAAAGGGCTGGGGGCCTATTAATCCCCCCTTGCAAAAGAAAATTGTCCCGAGCCGAGCTTTCCTGACTTTTTAGCCTCGAGTCTTGCATATATTTTGATTGATACCAAAACATAATTTTCCGACCATTGGCTACCGCGCAGCGACTGTATCCCCCCCCCCCCCCTAATTATGTAGGGTACAGAAAGAAGAATGATCATAGGTGCATATGAATAATTAATTAGCCAATCATACCAAAATCATTTAACTTTAGTCATGAAATTTCTTGGGTATGTCCATAATAAATTGCTCTATAAATGCACTAAGTTTCGTAATTTTTCGTCACTCAATGGCTGAGATCTGAAGGGAAGGGGGGGGGGGAGGCGGAATTCGCCACCCGGCTGTGAGATGGACAAAATAACCCGGCTCCTTTAGGGTTAAATTGCTGCAAATTAACAATCATTTGACCGGTGTGGTTGCTGCCCCCACTTTCTACAAAATGGTCCAATAGTAGAAACACAATGAACTCAACCAGATAACGGGTCACTTCAAACCTTTGAAGACTTAGAAAACACCCGATATTTGCAAAAAAAATCCATAACTCAACGTTGTTTTAATTAAAGTCATACTAACTATAACACTATATTTCGTTTTCATTCTTCCAATTATGCAACGGATGACCCGCAACAAATCATTCACGTCTTCTAGTTGTGCAGTTTATATATAGGTTAAAACGGCAGCCAATACTGGCGGTCGTCGACATTCTACAGGAACATTAATGCTGAAACGTGAACTATCATTACATTAATTTTGATAGAACAATGTAGCGCAGCATATTAAACTTATTAATGTAATTTCGTTTTGCTGAAAGAACAAGTTGATCCGTGGACAGAACTTTAAAACGGTGGTTGTATTTAAAATTCCGTAACTTCAAAAGTACATGAGTGATTTGATTGATTCTTGTATTAAAAGAAAGCTTATGAATTAGGCTTTCATATCCTAGATTTTGGAAGTGCTACACGCAGAACTTCACTAAAACAATGGTCCCGACATTTGGGTTTCGTTTTTTTGTTTACTCACCCTTTATACTTTGGCTTAAGTAAACAACATCGTTAATAAACATACCAGTAGATTGTACGCATAATGCACAAATACAATATGCCATTTTACGTACCAATATACCGTATTTATATAGGCCTATATCGATAACTCAATTTCGTAAGATTGTAGATATCTTTACAATAAAGTTGTCAAGAAACGGATGACCGAAAACATCTTCATTGCCGACCGGTGAATTTCTGTTGAGACTGCACTGGCGATGAAGAAGAAATGCAAGATCCCACTGATCGATCTACGGATGTTCAAGTTGTTTGATATGGAGCTAGACGAGATCAAGAAACGGAAGAGTTGGAATGTGTGAATGTTAATTCAACCAAAACGTCACTGACACAAGCGGTCATTTTTAAGCCCAGCATATTTCAAAAAGAGATTGGAATTTAGAGTCTGTTTAATTTTATCCGGCTATCAGCTTCTTATTTTCAATAAGATTGAACCGGATTTATGATAACAAGCATGTTTTGGCTGCCACTTAAAAAAAAAGAGGTAAAATAGCACTTTTAAAAGCTGCCACCGCGGCGCGGCTGCAGTGCTATCTCTCATTATGAATCACAATGACCAAGTTGGAACCACCAATATAGCGGTTATTTAGTGAGGCGCATTCGGAGGCGCCGCGTACATTCCCAGCACGAGGCGACAAAGCTTCACCCGCGTCAAAATCCACTCTTACGGCGTTCTCGGAGGCGCGCGCTGTGTCTGTTCACCCGTGCGTGTTTCAACGGGCAAAGTAGTAGCGCAATATTGGTGCCGTGTACCGCGAAATTGGTTCCTTTTCTGACACGGAAATGTACCATTAGACTGCACTGCCAGGTCAGGTACTAACAGACACGCCGAATTGCCTGATATTTGGTGAGGCGTACTCGGAGGCGACCGTGCAATGTTGTAATGTGAGGGGACAACACCGCACGGACCACAGAATCACCTAAAACCGCGTTATCCGAGAGGCTGATGTGGCGGAGCACGCGAAGCCGTCCACAGTTCAATTTCAACGGGACACACCGAAACACAACGTGGTGCTCCACACATCAATGGACCGCCTCATTGCTGATTTTTCAGGACGACAAGTGATACATAATGATGCAGGGTGAACCATGCACAAAAATGTCTATTTACAAGGTTCATACCGTGTGTGCTTTGTGTACACGTTAAGACAGCTAACAATTTGCTCGGAATTACTGGTTCTTATGACGGCAATTGAGTGAAGTGTATTGTGCAGGCTTAGAAGGAGTACAAACGATTCCATTTATGAGTGTCGGAATTTTTCGGTGAATCTGTGTTAACGTTGGCCCAACGTCGGACCGGTACCGGCCCGTCATCGGCAAAGCAGTACAGAAAACACCGATATGGCCTGATATTTGGTGAGGTTTACCGCCGGACAACCGTGCAGTGTTCTAATAGGACGGCTTGCTACCGCAACGGTCACAAAATCACCTGAAACCGCCTTCGCTGAGGTTTAGTGAGGATGACGGCGCGTTTGCAACGCAATCGAATGGGGATGACACTGTGGTGGACCACGCAGTAGTGAACCCCCAAAATGCTGATTTTTCTGTCGATGTAAGCCACACCGGTACATCACTGAGATGGTTGGTACAAATTTGTCCATTTTACGAGTTTTGTGCTGCAAAATACCACACAAAATACCACACGAAATACCACACAAAATACCATTGGAGAAGCAACGGAGGTGGGAAAAACAACGTCGTTTCTACCACAGGACCGATGAACCGCATAAATGATGATATTTGTGTCTTGAAAGTGCGCTGAATGTACTTCAATTTTACCAGCAACAAATCTGTCCATTTTGGCGTTTCTCAGGACTACATCTTCAGTTTTCTACCCACCGTGACGCAACAAATTCCCTCCATGACGTCATATTTACACGCATTCTCCGTAGTGCCTTAACCTCTTGAGGAATGCGCATGTGCCGCCCTGCCCAGTTGTGCAAATCACAGAAAGGAGTTGAGGGCCAAATAGGCTATTTATTGGAGTTTGGGTCACGCACGAAATGAACAGGGTCGCATTCCGGAAAAAACATCAATTTTGTTGGTACACTTTTCTCGTGTCCCTCGACAGATTCTATGCGCTAGGAATGCGGTAATCCTAATGGATGCGAGAGGGGTGCGACAACGCCATAATGGACGTTTTTGTGGCTCTTCAGGCGTGAGAATATGGCATGGCAGCACGTTCGGCAGATAAAAAGTATTGGAGCATTTTGTGGGATAACAGAAAAGAAGGCTGACGCTGTGCGTGCATGCATGACGGGTCTTTGAGCAGTATTATCAGGGCCATTTCCAGCATCACCGCGTTCACGTTTGTGTAAAAAAATTGACGAAAAAATCGTAGTGAGCACAGCACCACACCAACTGAAAAATCCACCATTACGGCGTTCTATTGCTCCTAATATTCTATTTAGACCGATTTCAACCAAACATATTTTCAAAAAGTGAAAATTTGGCCAAACCGGGGTCAAAAGTCAATATGAGGTCACTGGGTTCATAAAGCGCATTTTTTTTGTTCTCAAAACGCTACTCTTCCAGAAACTTCATTGCACAATCACGTGACTCGTTTAACACAAATTCATTGGCCTGCAGCTTCTGAGATCCGTAGTCAAGTCCTCAAAAGTACGTACCGTACAGGCTTATAAAACAGGTCTTTTACGAATAACGATTAAATCTGTTATAAGCCCTATAGTTGAAAGACTGAGTAAGCCTATTAAGCGGAATCAAGCTTAATTTTTAAAACAAAATCATCATGTTCTTTTCTACAACAAAAAATATGTGCAGTAACGACACAGAATGAGTCGTGTTAACGAAGAGACTGAAGACTCCATCTGATTTTAATTACAATGAAAGGGTGGGGACTGAATAAATCAGCACTTTCGATATGCAAAGTGCTCCATTGTCATTCATTTCTTAACCCCACCCCAAGCTCCAGCATGGTCCCACAAACCCATGTACATGCAGTTAAGAAGGTGCAGCGGTGACGGAGGGATTCACACGTTTTTGTGTCGCACTTCATTTCGGCGTTTTATTTCCTAAGTGAACACATTCCAACGAATCTATTGCAGTGTCAAAACTCAGCACTGTTTCTTGCTTAACGGATGCCAAGATTTTGTCTCCATGACAAAATTTGAGCAATCTGAACCAACTGTCACTCGGCTCAGCGATGCTGCCGTGAACGGACTCACTTGCAAAGGTAATAAAATGATTTGTAACATTGTCACATTCCAGTTATTTTTGTGCATGTATTGTGTTCACTTTGTCGTCGTACAGAAAAGAAGCAAACATTATGCACACTACATGTAATGTTTCAACTCGTTCTGTTCAATTGGTTGTTGTAAAACCTCTCCAGGTAGCGGTATAGTTGAAAAGATTCCCAGATCTGGCCATCTTGTCACCCTGTACACAAACCGTATGACTGGTCTGAAATTTTCAGTGTTTCACAGTATATTACTTTAATTTTTTCCCTGCTAAATTTGCCTCTTTTTTTTTTTAGGAAATATTATTATCACTTTCTGATGGCTGATAGGTCACTGAAGGGAAAATTAGCGATGACCAGCAGCCCAGATAATGGGAATCTTTCCTCAGCGGTTAATGCACCCGCTAGCATTGTGCAAATACGTTGGGAAATCCGGACGCCATTTCATCAGTTGTGTATTTCTTAACACAATTGGAAAGTTTTCAACATTTTTTGGACTGAAGAAATAAGTGGCGTCATGTTCCAGCATTCTTCCATTATGTATACGGAACGTGTTGAGTATTAAGCCCAGTGTAATCAGCCGAGCGTGGCCATGAACGGCCGGCCGCGGCGGCTGTAGCAGTCAGCCGGCGAAGCGGTGCTTATTCGTTGCACGTGGAAACAGCAATATGGCCTGATATTCGGTGAGGCGCACTGGGAGTCGACCGTGCGGTTTTCTAATTTGAGGGGACAACACCGCAGGGGCCACAGAATCACCTGAAACCGCGTTCACTGAGGAGCTGATGCGGTGCAACGCTTGGACCGCGCACGTGCGTTATTCAATGGGGCGAACGTGGCAACATTGGGGTGTTCACATGCCCGTGAAACCGCCACAATGCTTTTATTTCTGGAATGCAAATGAATGCACAAACAATGCAGCGTGGGGCTGGTACAAAAAAGGCCATTTACGTGGCTCACATTGCGACATCCGACTCATTTCTGCAGAGCGGCCATGCATGCATGAGTCGGATGTCGCAATCATCTTTGCGACGAGCCAAACTAGCATTAAAATGTCAAAATATTCGAAAAATAAGATTAACTTGGTAGATTTTAATCAATAAACTCCTCTATGGTCTGTTCCCGAAGTTTCTCCCAGAGTAAATTGCATTATCATGGTGATTTTCAGCAGCACCACGTTCAGATTTGTGTAAGAAATTGACGAAAAAATCGTAGACAGCTGAGGCACACAGCACCACACCAACTGAAAAATCCACCATTATGGCGTTCCCAGAGGCGTTCGCCTGTACAGGCGCGTGCTGCGTATTTCAAAGGGGAAACTACTTTATGCATCGTTCGACCAGTGAACCCCGAAAATGGTATTTTTAACGTTGCACAGGGTGTTATTGACTGAGCAGTTATTTGTGGTAATAAAATCTGCCCATTTATCGGAATCAATGCTCCACATCGCGTTTCGTCTTTTCAAGTTGAGACAAACGAGGAGTGGCGACTGAATTCGGAACAGCATTGAAACACCGAAATGGCCTGATATTTGATGAGGCGCACTCCGAGGCGATCGTGTGGTATTCTAATGCGAGGGGACTGCACCGCACGGGCCACAGAATCACCTAAAACCGCGTTCACTGAGGAGCTGATGCGGTGCAGTGTGTGGACCGCTCGAGGTGCGTTATCCAATGGGGCGAAGGTGAAAACAGCACGGCATCACACAAGCCCGTGAGACCGCCATAATGTAGACATTTATGAAAGGCAAATAAATACACAAACAATGCAGCGTGGGTCTAGTACAAAAACGTTCATTTACGAGGCTCACATTGCGCCATCCGACTCGCTTCTGTAGACGGGGCCCATAGTCGGATGTCGCAATCATCTCTGTGACGAGCAAAAAATGGCGTAAAAAGGTCGAAATGTTTGAAAAATTTGAGGATAAACTCATCAATGATCTAGGTGGTGTCTTCCTGGCTTTTTTAACTGTATTATCAGGGCGATTTTCTGCATCACAGTGTTCACATTTCTGTATAACACAAACGAGGAGGGATGGCAACTGAATTTGGAACAGCATGGAAACGCCGAAATGGCCTGATATTTGGTGAGGCGCACTCCGAGGCGACCGAGTGGTTTTCTAATGTGAGGGGACTGCACCGCACGGGCCACAGAATCACCTAAAACCGCGTTCACTGAGGAGCTGATGCGGTGCAGTGTGTGGACCGCTGACGGTGCGTTATCCAATGGGGTGAACATAACAACTGCTCGGTGCGCCTGTAAGAGGCTTTTGCCGCCATACTGCGGGTTTTTCTGGAACTAAAATACACAACAATAATGTTCGCTCAGTCGTCTTTAATGTGTTGTGCGTGTGTATCAGACACAACATTGTCACGACATCGGCGCAGCACGATAAAAAAATTATGGCCTGATTTTTGGTTCGGTTAAACGCCGATGAAAAAATCCCCTCCCCCAATAAAAAATATTCACAAACGGTTTTGGCGCTTAAAATGTTGTCTTTCCGAATCGTATTTTATATCTATATCTCGTGTTGTGAGTGTTTGTGGTAATTAAATGCAGTCTTTAATTGCTTTGAAAATCAGTACTCTTAGGCTTAAATATGTGAATTGTTTTACTCCTTTATTTGTTGGTTTGGTTTAGTAAATAACTGTATGGGATTTTGGTATGGGGAAATTAGGATTCGACTTTAGTGGTAGTCCGCCAGCCAAATGCTAGTCAAAACAGCACGGCCCGCTAGCGGCGGGCTAATCGTATTTCAGAAAGAAATTTGGATGTGTTCTCATGTTGTGCGGCCCAGGCAAAGGTTCTGCAGGCCTACATTGCTCTGCCACTCATGTAGGCAAACCGTGATTAATAAAAATGGCATGTTTTATCACTTCATTCTCATTATCAGCACCCAGACTCCAAGCGGTCTTAAACAGAGTGATTAAAACCTCCCGAGCACACACATTTATTCCCTTAATAATCGTGAAAACCGGTAATGTATGTTGGAAATAACAACACAAACTACACGATATAAATCATTACTAGCAAATCGAATCAGGATACAGGAAGAAAGTTTCCTATCCAGGGCTTACTATTGGAAACGAGGTTGGAAATAAAGAAAGCACTGGGGACGAGGTTGGGACTATGCACCAAGACACAGTAATTGTATCATCAGTATGTTGCACCACCTAACGTTCAGAATGACGCCAACAATAACAAAATGTGTTTGCTGCCACTATAAGCGTCTCAAAGTCTCCCACGGACAGAGGAACCGAACCTGGAAGTATCGCCATTTTCTTTTCTCGTCGATCAGTACTTCTTGAAGCTATTCTGGCTATTCTGTATAGTCATGGGGTCTGCAAGCGTCCTTGTTTTATCATAGAACAGTTAGGTCTACGTTTTTGCAATCTTGTTGTCGGGCACCGTAACAATCAAATCTGGTGTAATGTCCGATAGCGAGGAACAACCTGGTGAAAGAAATGACAAAAAAGAATCTTCAGAACTGATGATACCCCAGTCATCTGGTATAACTGAAAGCAGTAATATGCAAAATACCTTCTATTCAGAGCAGTCATTATAATATTCGATTGAACGTACTTATTCGGCGGTTTCCTATGGATGCATTAAAGCCGTCAATTGCTACAATTATATTTTGCATAATAAGTGGATTTTGGTTTTGGTTTGCAGATAGAATCAATTGATCAAGAATATTCAGTCAAAATATGAAATTAAATATTTTAACATTTATAAATTCATACTCTGAACCCACTTAATAAAAATGATATACGTAGCTTATACTAGCTGTGGAATTCAGATTTGAATAAAATAATGGAAGACTTTAATCGCAAGTTACCACATAGTGCCATGGCCCGGCTAAATTCTTCTTTGAGAATCCCAAGAACTTTTTCAACTCCTTTCTCCCCCTGTAAATTGAGAGACAATAATGATAGAGAATAATTTAATACCAGGCGGTTACCCGACTTCGGTGGCTCGTATGACGCATTGCTGGATGTAGTGATTGATTACAATGAGAAGTTGTCCCCCCTACTGCGATCCATTTGCGCACGAAACCACCCCGAAATCGGTGCTCTTTTTGTCACAGTGTTTCAAACAGACCCACTGTACATGTATGTACAGTGGCCTCTATTGGCGTGTAGAAGTCTCAATCGCTTAACAAATGTTGCAAAAAATGGAAGTTGGACCAAGCTCATCCACCCACCGAGTTTGAGCGCCGTGCGACCTGCCACTTCTGAGAATAAGCCCGGACAGACATCGAAACATCCAAACAGAGACTTGCGTATTATTATATAGCTAAACACAACAGAGATTGTTAATACCCAGCAGAAATAGTTGGCTCAAAAAGACAATACGTGTAAATGAATGTTACGTGTAGAAGAAATGTTGCGTACGTCGAAAGCAAGCCCCCAGATTGCCGGTCGGCCGACGAAGACGGCTCGTGCTCCCAGAGCAAGGGCCTTGAGGACATCGGTGCCTTTACGTACTCCTCCGTCAAGATACACCTCAACATTGGAGCCACGTACTGCGTCGACTATCTCCGCCAAGACGTCGATCTAGGGAGTCAATTAAGTTTGGAATTTATTAATAACGGTATAACAACACGAAAAACACTTCTCTGGTAAGCATGTGTTCTCATACCAATTCTTACGGGAACCAGCGTGGGGTAAGTTTCCCTTTCTAGACTGGTTTCCGCCCCTGGAGTACCAATATGGAAACCGCACGTTAAGAGAGATTATTTTGTTTCTTATGCACGTCTAGTATGAAGTAAATCAATAGACTTACGGTAGCTGGTACCCCGTCCAGCTGCCGGCCACCGTGGTTAGACACCAGGACACCAGCGGCACCATGCTTCACAGCTTCTCTTGCATCTTCAGCTTTAAGGGTCAGAATAAACAAATACTTTTAGTTAATACTAAGAGGGCCCTACACTGGGCACGCACTGGACGTGGATGCTTAGCGGCGATGGCTGGTTAATGGTCGCCCTCCTCAGATTCTGAGAATCTGAGAACAGGGGCTGGCATCAACACCAGGAAGGCCCTAGCTTGGACATCCCTCAACAAAATGAAAAGAGTGTGGAACTCCAACATAACAAGACAGGTGAAGCTTTTTCCTAGCCACAGTTGAATCGGTATTGCTCTATGGGTGCGAAACATGGACTTTAACACCTGTCCTGGAGAAATCACTCAATGGCACCTACACTCGTTTGCCAAGAGCTATACTCAACATCAGCTGGAGAGATCACTGCCAACACTGATCTGTGAGTGGAGCTCCCTAAGGTTGGGGACAAAATTGCCTTCAGAAAGATGGAACTAGCAGGACATTACCACCGTCATCCTGAGCTACCAACGAGCCAGTTTATACTCTGGGAGCCGCCACATGCGGAAGAAGACGACACAGAGGCAGAAAAAGGCATCGTTAAGCATCAATGTGTTGAAGAAAGACACAGGGGTGGAAAAGAAACTTAAGCTCGTTGCACGTATGAAGAATCGTGACGAATGGCGGATCCGTCCCTATAGCCTAGCCTGAGAACATATTCGTGCGAGGCATTGAAAAAAATATCAAAATGTAGTCAAGCATTCGTCAAAACACCATAAATCCTGTTTGCATGTCTTTCTATTACATGGATACATGTTCAGCAACTATCTGGGGCCAATTTCACGGTGCTGCTCAGCACAAAAAAGTCTGGCTTATAAAAGCAGGTTACTAGCCAAAACTCCATGTGATTTTCATGCTAAGCAAACAACAGCTGAATAATATACATCACATGGAGTTCTGGATGGTAACCTGCTCTTAAAAGCCAGACTATTTTTTTGTGCTAAGCAAAATTGTGTGCTTAGCAGCGCCGTGAAATTGGTGAAGTAATTCTAAACGTTCACAGCCTTTTGGTTGGTAGTCTGTTTTTACTCGGAAAGTTTTCGTTGTACCGAGCACATTGTGTAGATATCAGCTATGGTGAATTGGCGTTGTTTACCAGTCAAGACGTTGTGTGCCAGAGGGATCAAATGACCCTTTTTCAAGCTCCTTCTGTTCTTCAAGGACCCAGAAAAATTCGACTCCTGTTTCATGACTTCATGATTCTGACCTCAATTTCTGCTTACCTGTGAGAATACCTTTCAGCACGACCGGAAGTGACGTAATTCTCCTCAGCAACAAGATGTCTTTCCAAGTCAGTGACTCTGTCTCTGTAATTAATCCACGAGCTTTCTCTGGGGTAATAGTATCCTCTCCAGGCAATAGAAGTTGCGGAAAGCTTCGCACGGGGAAATAAAAAAGGATTCAATCTAGTTTGGTTTTGGTACCTTAGAATACCTGTAGATATGCTTCTTGGTCATGGATCTCGTAAAGAAAGTGCGCGACATATCAGGACACAACCATTTCGAGAAAAAAAGGGACACGGCAGATTTTCATGTAAGCCGAGTCATGTATTCCCCCCACTATTTATTATAAATAGTTTGCCCAATCTGATTGGTGGTAGATATAGAAGTATCGAAAGCATCTCGTATAGGTATTGCAAATTTACGTTCTTTTTAAATTTGGAACTTTTTTCCCAAGCAACTTACGTCGGGTACAAATCTGCTTTTCTTCTTTTTAAGTGAATTTTGTTTCCCAGCACTGGTTGGTCTGCCGTTACCACCAAAGCTTTGAAGCCTGCTACCTCGGCCCGTCTGATCAACGCCTCCAGTCTGCCTTTGTCGCGTATGAGGTTAAGCTGAAGCAACAGTGGCGTGTCAGGGTGCACTGATGCAGCCACGTCCTCCAGACTCCTGTTGGACCACATGCTCAGAATCATGGCAGAACCAACATTGGACACTCCTGAAAATAATATGTTCCATTCGTGTGGGATATGATCGAGATATTCAAACGGTCGGCACGGTCCTATGATTTCAGTGTTGAAGTCGAGTCAATCACTGTCAATCAGAAGTCATAAGTCAACTCGTAAACTCTTAAAATGAACTGTGGCAAAGAATTGTTTAACCCCTGGCAGCTTTTAGGCTACTTCTTACTAATTTTTGCAGACTGACTTATGATTTGCGACTTGTGATGGTCTTCACTACAAAATCTACATTCTCAGTGGGCGTTTTGACTTCTACGATAATGTCGTAAGGGTAAAGTGTTATCAGTCTTACCCTTTGCAGTTGCAACCTCCCCATCACGATGCACAAAGGTCTGACGGGCCGTGGGAGACACACCAACGGGAAATGACAAGCGATGACCGAGTATAGAGGTGCTGATGTCTCGCTGAGACACGTCCCTCAAACATCGCGGTCGAAGACGATACCTTTTTGGGGGAAATCATTCAAACAGTAAGTGAGAGTCTAGATAATGCACTCTAAAAAAGAATTCAGCTGCTGGCCATACGTTGTGTCCTTGGGTATATGCCACTTCATCCCCACTTGCCTCTCTCCAAACAGGAGAATAAATGTAAACCATCCCCTGTCATAAACTGGCATCCCATCTAGGGGGAATAGAAATATTCTCAGTCGTTTCGTATACCAAGGAAACTCTAGCCTGTTGGGCCATATTGGCTAGTGACAGACTCTTCTTTTTTCTTCTTCAAGACTAGGGCGTACTATATAGTCAAGCTGGACCAGTACGTATGACACTGTAGGCAGTTAATAGGACATATCCTTACCACTTAGTCATTGTCAGTCAGTCATGCAGTCAATGATGTCATTGACTCAGTCAGCAATCAGAGGAATATACTTGTTCGGGTCCAGCAAACTACATTGCAACAATATCTACACTCGGGATCTTTAAGGGGAATGATGGCAATAAAATGTTGAAGTAGCTAGCCTACCTCAACAATATGTAAGTTCAAGTTGTATTGACCTCACAGGCCTTAATTTATTTGAAGGAAAGCTGGTACGGTGGGAACTTAAAGGATGAATTTGGGTAAAACTGGCAAGAGCAGATCTCAGTCATTCTAAATTCCCACCTATTCTTGCTATTCAATCAACTTAAGTTTTTTTTTCCTTCCATTCACGTATAGACTGTGGTGCCTTTGAATTTCTTCCAGACGTGAGAAGTTAACTGTGTAATGTATTAACTGGGATCATCCCATGACTAGTCTAAGATTGCTATTTAAATGGTTACCTCTGAAAGGCCAGTGGATTGTCTCGCAGCGTCTGCTCACCGTCTGCCCCGCATCTAAAGAACTGCCAGAGCCAGTCCGAAACAGTCGCCTTGAGGTACGGCTCAAAGTCCTCGACACAGACTGGTTCCGATGCCATGTTGATTGTACACAACCCCTACTTTCCTAGTCTGAGAGGGAATTGAATCCGATCACGAACATTAATTATGTCTGTTTCTAGGAACGAACAACGCATGCGTGACGTATTTCCACCACTAACTCTGCTCCACGAACAGGATCTGTGGTGGCTGACCGGGTGAGCCGCGAGAATGACATATGGGCAGGAGGTCTCCCTAACAAAAGAGGGACAATAATAAGGGGCCCATCCACGATTGCAGGTAGAAATATGTTGTGCCTGCAATCTCGTGGACATTATTTGATGGCAAACATCGAGAATTGGTTGGAAAAAAAAAACACCAAGGCTTAGCCCAAAACATGGCGCCTGACGCCAGACTTGGCTACCATCGGTGCTGTTATCAAAGGTGAGCATGAGTTAGATTGTACTCCAGCTCCACCATACTCATCTGTAATTCTACAGCTGGAGGTCAATCTAGTTGCATCCAGCGGTTAAAAAATGACAGAGGCCGTGAAATTTGGCCTCCACTAAAATGTTCCTAGCTGTTCCCCTAGTAACCAAACCCAGATGAGATTAAACATACCTCATACCATGCAGCAGTCGTTCACAAAGCTAATGATGATCCGCTTGAAACAGAACAACAGTGACTAAACTATGAGAAATATTGGCCTCCCCCTTCTTGGTGACAGTTGGGTATATACACTCCACTCATGCGTGGAATTTTATTTCAGACACACTGTAATTTGGGCCCCCTCGCCGCTCCAACCCAACTAACCACAATCCATTCATTCATGGCAACCTTGAGACAACAACAGCCATTGAAACCACAGTGGAGATCAAAAGACTGTCAGCAGAGCCAATCCATGGCTATATGCATGCATGTCATGGCCGCGCCGGGCATTAACACAAGCCTTTGGAAATTCGCACAGGACTTTCCCCGCCAATTCTGAGCAAGCCACTGGGGCCTGACAACCCTCCAACGGCCCCCTTGGTCCATACTAGGGTCTAGTGGTAGATGATCTCGGGCATGCCTACCACGTGCTGTGACAATATATAAAAAATATCAAACAATGTGAATAGACTTGATCATATGACACGCCGACGTCCAGTGCCGCTGTTACGGTTGTGTCATGTTTGTAAATACTTGTGGAAGAATAATTTTGCTAGTGTATTTGAACATTCCCAGTTGAAGTTTGTTATGTGAGCGTTAGCGTGTGAAGTTTGGCAAATAGAGGTGCAGTATATCTCTGTTGTGAGAGGGCGCAACATCTGATGGCCAGCCTCTGCATGCCAACGAGGTAGTGTACTTGGTTAATTAGTACTGGGTAGCGCCCACACAATCTTGCAGGAATTCAGTAGGAAGAATGAGTGTATTGTAATAAATAATGGTGACTAAGAGTAGTTGCGGGTGCAAAGCTTGGATAGAACACCTTTATTGCGGGAAAGATTTTAAATGAAGAAATCTGGTCACTCCAGGTAAGGCAATCATTGAGCACTGTTACAATGTATCGTGCTGGACCCCAAGAGCAAGTAAGCCTGTTGTCCTGTGATAGACCTTCATCATGCTGCCGCCATTTCAGTCATGTTCCCGGTATCCAATAACAGTACTGAGTGATAACATTTTTTGTGCAAAACGGAACCAGACTATTTTCCTTCCAGCCTCGCTTTGGTTACTATACGTTGATTAGAATGGAAAAAACTTACGATGGCCGCAAAATGATAATATGGTACATTACTGAGTACATACAATCCTGCGGTGTTCCCATATGGTTCCCATGATGAGCATTAAGCTCACACGGGGGCATTTTTACTTTTGTTCTTAAGTACCCACAGGAAATCCGTGGGCTCTCCATCTGACATTTGTGTGAGGGTGTGTTTCTTACTGAGCTCTAGAGGTACCATCCACGACGTTTCCACATCATGACAATAAGTTATGTCAGGATCAGAATCCCAACATCGTGGAAAACACTTCCAGAGCTCCGTAGTTGCCTTAATGTTCGTGGTCAGTGAGATATGATCTGCTGTAACCTCAGCCATTTTCTTTTTAAATAAAAAAAGAAGAGTTTACAGCAGATCAAACCTCATTGACCAAGCACGTTAATTAAGGAAACTACGGAGCTCTCGGAAGACAGTGTACTGATGCGCGATCAAGCTAAATTAGTCGTTTGTCGGGAATTTCCATTTGGAGATTCAGGCCAAAAAATAATTGACTTCATCACATATCACTTCCTTATATCTCTTGGTGTTCCGACTTCCATAATTTTTTAACTAAAGATGGTATCAGCATGCTGTTTTCACAGCAGTATAATGCTGAGATTGTGCCCTGTTGTGAACATGAACTTTTACAACGTGCATTAGGTAAAAAACAGGGACCGTATGCTTTTCATGCCTCCGTTACTGCACTACAGTAGAAAAACCCAATAATTTCTTAAACGTGGTCTCTTTGTGTGTAACATTGTTTGCTCCTCTGCCTATACTGGTACTCAGTCGCACGATCATAGCTATGGAGCGTAGCCCCACTCCATTCAATAACTGACACGGAGCGGACTATACAAAGGTTTTAGTCTGCGCTGTGTGCAGTCGGTTGAGACACATGATCGACGTTTGAGCTATGACAAGTTCATTTCTAAGGCACAGGTTCAAAGTTTAGCCAAGCGTATACAAACAAACACGCCACGGGCCGGCGTTGCAGCTGAATGTGCTGACTAACATTTAGATATACTTTGCGTACTCGACGGTACGTACGCGGAACTCTGCATATGGTGAGAAGTCATACACGACCATTCATATTGCTCAATTACAGAACAGCGGCACGTACACCTCTTTCGACGACGGTCGTCGAGCACGTAGACACAAGGTAATTTTTGTCCTAAAGTAGCGAATACATATTGCCCTAGCTTTACTCTGCATTAAACATATCAGTTCCGGTTGTACATAGGTTTCAGAATTTGTTAATAATATTCTAGCGTGAAACTATATCAGGTGAAATATGACCCATTTTTGTATGTGTAGAATAATGTAGCAGGGCAACGGATCAGCAAAATATCAGTTGGTAACGTTATAGTCAGTGGGCTTACGGTCGAAAATGACCCCCCCCCCCCCATATGCAATTTCGGGTTCATTCTTTGAAACTCTCAGGATCACTAGAGGATACCTCAAGAAGTTCAAAACCACTTTATGCCATTTTTTCTGACCTTTTTGTGGGCGTGGGCATGATTTTAAAAAGTGGGGGGCTTCGCGCGTAAAAAATAAAAAAAAAAAAAATCTTTTTCACATTTGGACAGTTAACCAGCTCAAGTGATACATCACACACAAACAAATTCCACAATTGTGCCTCTTTTGGAGGTGGGGCAACCTTTTAAATAAGTGGGGGCACACGTTGCTAACAGAAAATCGACCTGTAACAGGCAATCTTGAGGTTTCTTGTTTTGTTTTTGTATTTGTTCAATCCCTTATAATTTGGTGTGGAAAACAGAGTTTTGAGTTAAGGCCAACAAAAAAAGTCTCCGGTTTCTGGTATGCGAGCGCGTCGCCATAGCCATGCGCGTCGGCAAAATGAAAAAGTTTTTTTTCAATGAAAGATGATGTCTCAAAACCGCCAAACTCACTGGTTTGACTAGAATCATGCTGCTGCACAATTTTAACGTGTTTTTAGATTGGGTTATGGTCGAGAATAAGCTTTATGTGGCCTCTCTGGACTCCCATATATTTGCACTAAGTTTAGTCGGGCACCATTTGAAGCAAAAAAATCAGTTAAAAAAACAAAACAAAAATCCGCGTTGCCACACTACTTTTTGGGCAAGCTCCATACCAGAAACCGGAGACTTTTTTTGGCCTTAGAAGACAAACGAAGGACGCTCACAGGGGGAACGGAATGATAGAAACGCGTTAAAGGGAATGAAACGAATTCCAGTGATGTGCACTGAATGAGACTCAATAGCATGAATCTGGCAAAGGGACAGAGACAATGAGCAAACAGGATGGAATAATACTTTATTTATTCAGATTAATTGGTAAAAACACCTGTCTCCCAAAAATACAACTATCCAATTAAAAGTAGTATACCAAATTTGATTAAAAACCGTCCAACAGAGTAAAAATACATTAGCAACAATAATTCCCTTAATTACAGTAATTCCCTGAATAATATAAAAAATATGTGCGACAAGTACATGTAGTCGTGTATATTATAATTATTTTGAGTTGCATTATAACAGTGTGTTTATTATCTCAAATTTCTGAAAGATTAACGAAATACAAAGTCAATTGCAAGACTGAGCAGGAAAATATATACTAGAAAAACTGCATAGTTATATTTCTACATACATTTTATTGATAGAGGATAGTCGTTGTGTTTTCCAAGCTTTTGATAGCATTTTTGAATACAACCGTTGAATGTCAATGAATCGAAAAATTAAAGTTTTGAATTTATGGGACGGAGCAGCGTTTTGTGCATTTTCACTTTGACGTAGGCCATGATGACATTTAATGCCAGATTGACTTATTCCTTAAACTTGAGCACCCTTCGTATTTCTTAGACCTCATGGATAGACTTTATGAGTATAGCGGCCGTCTTATAGGGCATCATTTGTTATTTTAATTCAGTAACAATGAGTGCTTAAAAGGTTTATTTCTGGTATGTCACAGCAAGACAAATGTATTGCCTTGATGACTGCTACCTATAAGGTTCATATACGCCTTTTTTGAAATATTGTGGGCAAGAGAGAGCGCCTTTTTTCAGTGGGTGACCTCTCTTGTATATTCACCCCGCAAATGTATTATATTATGTTATTCATCTTTTAAAAACTATTTCATTGAAAATAAAACATGACAGAAAATATTCTTCAAAATTGACAAAAATTGCAAGGGGTTAACCTTACTTTTTTTGTGAAATTTGGCCCGCGAAAAATAAATTTCTTCCTAGTACCTTATCCATCCCCAAATAGAAGTGGAATGTGTTTGAGGGTCCTTTAGGCCAAAAAAAAAAAGTCTCCGGTTTCTGGTATGCGCGCGCGTCGCCATAGCCATGCGCGTCGGCAAAATGAAAAAGGTTTTTTTTTTCAATGAAAGATGATGTCTCAAAACCGCCAAACTCACTGGTTTTACTGGAATCATGCTGCTGCACAATTTTAACGTGTTTTTAGATTGGGTTATGGTCGAGAATAAGCTTTATGTGGCCTCTCTGGACTCCCATATATTTGCGCTATGTTTAGTCGGGCACCATTTGCAGTCATCAGTCGACATTTGAAGCAAAAAAATCAGGTAAAAAAAAAAAAAAAAGCCGCGTCGCCGCACCACTTTTGGGCAAGCTCCATACCAGAAACCGGAGACTTTTTTTTGGCCTAAGCAGGGTTGTATATCACTGTTATAGAAGGGAATAAAGTCCTTGTTTGACTTAACAGGAGGTCTGAGTTATCAACAGTTTGACATTTTGAGATTTCATTGTAGTTTATTTTGTCCTGACAACAGTGTTGACCTCGTTTTATTACACACAAACTGCAATAGCCTTTTTAACTTCAAATTTATTTATCTTCACTTCATTTATAAAAATGATATTATTAAATGTTGTACTCGGTCATTGGAAATATTGTTTGAAAATGACAAAGTTCAATATTAAGAGTAAAACTTATCCAACTTGGGTGATTTAGTGAATCCTTTACAAGTCACTTGTAATTGGACAACATATTTGGCATTTAATATCCATGACCTTATTTAGTAATAGAAAAATGTGAGACTATATTGTCAATAGTTTCAGAATCCAGATTACACAAGATGGATTACACACGATTTGTTTCACTTAACAGTTTTAAATTTGGCATATCACCATAAATGATATGATTGGTGATGTACTTCAAGATTGGATATATCAAAAGGATTTGTAGCCACCGAGTAGAGAAACACATCTTAGGCTGAAACTTTGATGACTATATTGCAAATAGTTTCTGAAAACCCAATCCACATGAAGGCCCAGGCAGAAATCGAACCCTGCGATGAAAGGCGAGGAAAGTAACCAATGAGCCAACCTGACTCCCCAAGCGCCAACCTGGCTCCCCAAAGATTCAAGAAAAGCATGTGACCAGTTCAAATTATAAAAGTATTTTAATAACTACAAATCCTTTACCTTAACATTCCAGCATGGTTTTCCAAAGCGAACAACTCAAAAGTTAGGCAAACCTCTTGACAGAGGCTTGGGATATCAAGTTTTCCTTCTGATATATCCAATCTTAAAGTATGGCACCAATTATATTAATGATACATATATTCAGTGATATGCCATATTTAAAACTGTGACACACAACAAATGTTGTGTAATCCAACCAGATCTGGATTCTGAAACTATTGACAATATAGTCTCACACTTTTCTATTACTAAATAACGTCATGGATATTAAATACCAAATATGTTACAAGTGACTTATGTAGGATTCACTAAATCACCCAAGTTTGGCAAGTTTTACTCTTAATATTGCAATTTGTAATTTTCAAACTTTATTTCCAATGATCAAGTACCACATTTCATAATATCATTTTTATAAATGAAGTGAAGATAAATAAATTTTAAGTTAAAAAGGCTATTGCAGTTTGTATGTTATAAAACAAGGTCAGCATTGTTGTCAGGACAAAATAAACTACAGTGAAATCTCAAAATGTCAAACTGTTGATAAATCAAACCTCCTGTTAAGTCAAACAAAGACTAATTATTCCCTTCATTTGTATAACAGTGATATACAACCTTGCTTGACTCAAAACTCAGCTTAGCTCACATTTTGAGCCCATTCTCTCAAAGTTTGACTTATCGAGATTTCACTGTATATCAAAACATAAATGTCTCATAAAATTGATTATTTGTCCATTTGTACATGTATGTGTACAATATGCCAAATATATTAAAAACGGCTGCCATTTCAATGGCCAATGGGGGGGGGGGAGTGGGGTGGAGCAGATTGTCACTTGTTGAGGTGTCCATAGGTGTTTGTGAGAGTTTGAAAGAATGTGCAATAATCCATATGGGCTCGCACAAGCTTCCTTTTGGAATACACGTATGCCCCCTTTTTAAAAAAGTGTGACACGCCCCCCAAACCCCCAAAAGATGCAAAATTGTGGATTTTTTTTTTCTTGTGATGTTGCACTTGGGTGAACTGTCCAAATGCGAAAAAGAAAAGTAACATTTTTTAAATATTTTTTGCGCGCGATGCCCCCCACATTTTAAAATCATGGCCACGCCCACAAAAGGGTCAGAAAAAAAATGGCATCAAGTGGTTTTGAACTTCTTGAGGTATCATCTAGTGATCCTGAGAGTTTCAAAGAGTGTACCCGAAATTGCATATGAACCACCACAAGCCCACTGACTATTATCAGCATTAAGTAGATTTGGCCTCCGCCGTTTTGATCATAGTTATTTTTGCCTGATCGGGTTCGATCACCTCACTGTCAGATTCGGAAAAAAAGTCGGGGTTCGTGAACGATCTCATGGCTTCGGAACCAGTCTGTGTTGAGGACTTTGAGCCGTATCTCAAGACGAGGGTGTCGGACGCTATCTGGCATTACTACAGAGGCGGGGCAGACGATGAGCAGACACTGAGAGCCAATCCACTTGCCTATCAGAGGTACAATGTAATCCCATTTTAGTAACAATCTCATTTTCATTATGTCTGGTTCACTTGTGTGTCGTTGATTGTAGGTTCACTGCAGCTCAATAACATGCCATTTGCCAAAATGCAAAACATCAAGGCGATATGCTGAACAAATACTAGATATTCATGTCCTATATTTAATACTGCATTCTTACGGTTCGAATGGTTTCCTGACTAATTTAGGTATCGTCTTCTACCGCGATGTTTGAGGGACGTGTCTAAACGAGACACCAGCACCTCTATACTCGGTCAACGCCTATCATTCCCTGTTGGTGTGTCTCCTACGGCCTGTCATGCCTTTGTGCATCGTGATGGAGAAATCGCCACTGCAAAGGGTAAGAAGTTACAGTATAGAAGTGCTGGTCCCAGAGGGCCAGTCTCGTGTCCTCTGTACATTATCTGACTGACTCAGTAACAGTTGTGATCCAAGCAGTGCTATCGTATAGGATTATCGGCTGAATCGGACCAAGTGTGCCGACCAGATGCATGAAATACCTTTTAAGCCGGCCTCAGGTCGACCCACGATTTGCTTGCGCCACGACGGAACCGTCGGCATCAAGCACAAAAAATATGCTCAGGTCACAAAAAAAGAGAAATCTTGTGAAGGTCGCGAAACACGTCGCAGAAGTTGAAATTTTTGTACTCTTGCGACTGTTGATTTTTTTTTGAGCGCCGACTGATGTCGATCGTCTTAATGTCGTCGCAGTTGCACTCAGGTCGCACAAAATCGGCGACTGAGTTGTTTCCGACGGTCGTAGCTCAGGCCCAGCTTGATCCTGAAAAGTCAGTCGCCGACTGATCTATGTCGTCGCAAGGTCGACCTGCGGCCGGCTTAATGAGTAGCCACTCTGCATCTTGTGTGCTCTGAGACTAACTTTGCTAAGCCTACCTTGTCTCGTCTAGGTGCGTCCAGCGTTGGGTCTGCCATAGTTCTCAGCATTATCTACTGACTCACCAACAGTTGTGATCCAAGCAGTGAATCTGGCCAAGTGTGCCGACCAGAGGCACGAAAATACCACTATGAGTGGCCATTCTGAATCAATTCAACAGAATGTCGCACACTCTTTGACCACCTTTAATATGCTTGCCTTGTCTCATCTAGGTGTATCAAATGCTGGGTCTGCCATGGTGCTCAGTATGTTTTCCAACAAGAGTCTGGAGGACGTGGCTGCATCAGTGCACCCCGACACGCCCCTGTTATTTCACCTGAACATCCTGCGCGACAGAAGTAGAGTGGAGGCGGCGATCAGACGGGCTGAGGCTGCAGGCTACAAGGCACTAGTGGTAACGATTGATCAACCGATGTTGGGGAACAGAACGTACATCAGAAGGAACAACAAAGATATGGACCCGACTATAACGTAAGCGGGGAAGGTTGATACAATTCCAATTTCAAAAGAGTGCGAACATACAATACCTGGAGAAAAGTCTGTCTGATTAAAATTATGAAATACTATATAATTTATGATTGCTTTAAAGTGCATTTGCAGTTTGTTGATCTGTAAAATGGGCGGAAAACATGCCTCGGTTTGTTCATGGTGCCCCCCTTTTTTTTAACGAAGTTCTGAATTTTGCGCTTTCCAGATCTAGGATAGAAAAGCCCAATTAATAAGCTTTCTTTTAGTGAAAGAATCCTTCCAAATCGCTCATGTACCTTTCCAGTTAGGGAATTTTGAACACAAACACCGTTTTTAACCTTGTCCATGGACCACATTTAAGGTACGTAATATTATTTCAGTGGAATTTGAGTAAAAAGTAAAGCATGTTATATCCTGAATATGATATCAGAATAATCCCATAAGTCCCCTGGTAGCCAAGTAGAAGGCCCATCAAGACTATAAACTCTTGACATTATAAAACATGTTATTTTGACATTAACATTGGATGCAAGAGGCTTTTAAATAAATGTTATGATAAGTGCCAGTCATCATGGTTATGACAGTGTTCTGATGTGGTATTTTTTATATGTGAATAGTTTTCGTTTTGCTGAAACGTCACTTACCTTTATTGTGATCCGTGGACAAGATTAAAAAAATTGTGTTTGTGTTCAAAATTCCATAACTGGAAAAGTACATGTGAGCAATTTGAATGATTCTTTCACTAAAAGAAAGCATTAATTGCGTGTTGATATCCTAGATCTGGAAAGCGCTACATGCATAACTTCTTAAAAAATAGGGGCATCGTTTGGGTTTCCTTTTTTTGTACTCACCCTGTATAAACATTTGTTTAGCTGTACTTGCCTTTCTTTCCCTCGAAACTTTCGTGTCACGCACTTTTCAACAACGAGATTTATGACCAAGAAGCGTATTCACACATACTGAAATTTGTATCCTTGTGGAGACATTTCTTTGTTCTCGTGCAGTAAAGTTTTCGAGTTTGAAAGTGTAGTTTCAAAATACTCTTATTTTAACCAGAATTAATTTCCTTGGCTGAAATTCGGACTTAATATCCTTTTTCTGAAACTCTTTCATTTGCGACGGATCAACATACCTTGGAAATTCCTAGTTTTTTAAGTAAAATCCATTTCGTGAAAACCTTGTGGAGACGTATTCATCTGTAGAAATTGCCCTGTGGAGACGTATACAATCTTTTGTTCCCTATTGTGTGCATGTCTCCAGAGGGCACGGTGTATCAGATCACGCCTTCAAAAGTATGTACACCATAAATGATTAATGAGATTGTTTTCCATTGCGAAGCTTCCCGCAAGTTGTACTTCCTGGAGAGGAAATAACTCGAGAGAAGGCTAGAGCAATTGTCAACGAGCCACAAGCTCTGACGTGGAAGGACATCTTATGGCTGAGGCGAATTACGTCACTTCCGGTTGTGCTGAAAGGTATTCTCACAGGTGAGCAAAGTTTGAAATCAGAATCACGAAACAGCCGCAGAGTTTTCTGCAAACAAGACAAAACGAATTCAAAATTTGAAAACCAGTCTCTGAATGTGCACGACGCGCACGACGTCTTGGCTGTTAACCAGGTCAATCCATCATTGCTGCTCACCACACAATGGGCTCAGCACAACCAAAACTTTATCAGGCAAAAACAGGGTACAGCCAAACAGGTTGTAGGCGCGGCCTTAGTATTAGGTAAATTTATTCATACATCTTCTTCAACTCAAAGTTGTTGAACAGAATTCGATTGTATCAACTTGAAAGTCCGATTGTATCAACTTGAAAGTCTGTTTAGCGGAATTATGAAATCGAGAGATAAGCCAATTGGATTTTACCACAAAACGATGCATCTATAGCGGATTGGATGGGAGACATCTGATATTTTCCACAGGCTTCGCTCAAATTTGTATACATGTACATGTAATTCTTAAGTACAAAGTTGAAACTTTTTCCACAATACTTTAGCTTTCTTACTATTAACGGAAACATTTATTCATTCTCACCTTTAAAGCTGAAGATGCAAGAGAAGCTGTGAGGCACGGTGCCGCTGGTATCCTGGTGTCTAACCACGGTGGTCGGCAGCTGGACGGGGTACCAGCTACCGTAAGTATAATCAGTCACTCCATACTGTATAAGTGTCTCAAGAAACACGACCGAAGTGGACTTTCAAGTTGATACATTTTTTTCCCCAGATTGCCTGGAATTATTGCAACAGTATTGTGGACTTGTGCGCAAAAAGAGAGAAATCGAAGTGTGGTCACATTTATGCTGTTGGGGACTATAAAAACATTCAAATTTTGAAAAATCAGGAAAACTAGAAACACAGAAACCTTACCTCAGTCGCTTTACTTTGTGAAGCTTTCCGCAAATCTTAGATTGATTAAAATTGCAGACAAATTTTAAGTAACTTATTTATTTCCCTTAAAGCCATTTCTCCCTGTGGAAACTTACTTAAGTACGAATTTTCGGGCGTCTCCCGCCCCTCGTCAGTCAAATTGTGGTTAATCTTAGATTGATTAAAATCGCAGACAATTTTTAAGTAACTTATTTATTTCCCTTAAAGCCATTTCTCCCTGTGGAAACTTACTTAATCAATCTAAGATTGGTTTAAACAAAAAAGGAACCTTTTGACGGATATTAGTTCTTTTAACATACCTAAAGTAAATTGTCTGCGATTTTAATCAATCTAAGATTGACCACAATTTGATTGACGAGGGGCGGGAGACGCCCGAAAATTCGTACTTAAGTAAGTTTCCACAGGGAGAAATGGCTTTAAGGGAAATAAATAAGTTATCAGGAGAATCCCTGTACAAGGTCAAGAACATCATAAAGTGTATCGAAATTTTTAAGTAGCTGGTTGAATAAGTGCACTTACATAATTTTCATCTTTGATAAACGTTTGATGTAAATCCGTAGTACGTTTAAGCATGCTCACCATGAGAACGTTAGTATTTAGGCAGTGTGGTTCCCTCTCTCCATATTACATTTTTGGTGGAGTCAGAAACGAGTCTAGAGGAGAGAGCTTGTCCCACGCTGGTTCGCGTGCTCCATTCAAGTAACTGGTGAGAGTTATGTTTACCGGGGACGTTTGTTTCGTGTTGATACGTACGTTGCTAATAAATGTTACACTTGATCTCTATCAGATCGATGTTTTGGCTGAGATAGTCGACGCAGTACGTGGCTCCAATGTTGAGGTGTATCTTGACGGAGGAATACGCAAAGGCACCGATGTCCTCAAGGCCCTTGCTCTGGGAGCACGAGCCGTCTTCATCGGCCGACCGGCAATCTGGGGTCTCGCTTACGACGTGAGTTACGAAGTATTCATTTCCAGAGAAGGGTGACCCCCTTTATATTCTATGGAAACAACAAACCCCATTTTGAATAAAGATTCTATGCGGTGTTTTTTCTATATCATGTACGTATACCATGTGGTAATTAACTCCCTAGGGGTGTGCAAAATCGTATTAAAATTGGAGGATTCAGGACTGTTAGGGCTACGCCCTATATATTATAAACATGTTAAATTCACTGAAATTCATTTTTTTTCCCTCCAAATACACAGGGGGAGAAAGGAGTTGAACAAGTTTTGGGGATTCTCAAAGAAGAATTTAGCCTGGCCATGGCTCTATGTGGTAATTATAATACATGTATAGCGGTCAAATTGTCAATCATGTTTTTGTGTTTTTGTAAATCTCATATCACCCGCTAGTAAGCCCGTGTATATCATTATATTCTCTTTCCCAACATTGAAAACAGTGTTTACACTTAGGCAAGTACTACGTTGAAGCAAACAGCTCTGAATAGAGAGTAGTTTGCAAATGTCTGCTTGCCAAGTTAAAGCTGATGACCGTGGTATTATCTTCATTTCTTTCACCAGGTTGTTCCTCGCTATCGGATATTACACCAGATTTGATTGCGACGATGCCGTACAGCAAGATGTGAAACTAGAGTCTGAGAAGCAGTTCTTGTTTGAATTGGAACAACGAAGGCCTTGCTAACAAGACTTAAACGGAGAAACTTACAGACCGGATGACGTCACAGAATGTCATTGCATTCTTCCAAGTTATATGTTTGTTGGCCCTCAACAAATTGTTGGCACCGTCTTCTTGTTGCAGTTTACGCATGGGTTTAACGACTGTCTATAGTTGATTAACAATATCACCAAAATTATTGACATATTAAAGTTCAAAACAACACCAGGCATTTTTGATGTAGTTGATTAATTTATAAGCGGGTGTCATGTTCATCTGGTTCCTGTCTTATGTATTGGTGCTAATTATCGGCTTCTGGGTACCAGACGGCATATAAGACGACTGATGGATAGATTGTCATTAAGAAAGAACTTTTTATTGTCGGGGACCAAATTTGATAAAAAAGGTAAAATTAACCTCTTGTAATTTTTGTCAATTTTGGCCAAAAAATGAAATTGCTCCAAAGTTACTAAAAAGATTCTTAAAGAACCTTCAGACACATTCCACTTCGATTTGGAGATGGATAAGTAACTAGGAAGAAATTCATTTTTTGCGGGCCAAATTTCACAAAAAAGTAAGGCTAACCCCTTGCAATTTTGATAAATTTTGGTCAAAAAATGAAATTGCCCCAAGCTTAATGAAAAGACTCCGAAGAGACCCCCAAGACATTCCAACTTGATTTCGGCATATAGATATGTAATTGACAAGAAATTTATCTTTTTTGGGGCCAAATTTCTTAAAGAAGTAAGGCTAACCCTTTGCAATGTTGTCAATTTTGGTCAAAAAATGAAATTGCTCCAAACTTGCTAGAAAGACTCTTAAAGGACACTCCAACACATTCCACCTCGATTTCGGGATGGATATGTCATTAAGAAAAAATTCATTTTTGGGGGACCAAATTTCTTAAAGGAGTAAGGCTAACCCCTTGCAATTTTTGTCAATTTTGGTAAAAAAATGAAATTGCTCCAAACTGACTACAAAGACTCTTCCAGGACCCTTAAACACATTCCAACTCGGTTTGGGAATGGATAAGGTACTAGGAAGAAATTCATTATTAGCGGGCCAAATTTCATAAAAAAAGTAAGGTTAACCCCTTGCAATTTTTGTCAAATTTTGTCAAAAAATGAAATGGCGTCAAACTTGCTAGAAAGACTTTTAAAGGACCCTCAAACACATTCCATCTCAATTTGGTCATGATGGATAAGTCTTTAAGAAGAAATTCATTTTTTTGGGGCCAAATTTCATAAAAAAAGGGATAGGTTAAACCCTTGTAATTTTTGTCAATTTTGGTCATAAAATGAAATTGCTCCAAACTTACAAGAAAGGCTCTTAAAATACCCTCAAACACATTCCACTTCTATTTGGGGATGGATAAGGTACTAGAAAGAAATTTTTTTTTGCGGGCCAAATTTCACAAAAAGGTAAGGTTAACCCCTTACAATATTCGTCAAATTATGTCAAAAAATGAAATTGCTCCGAACTTGCTAGAAAGACTCTTAAAGGACCCTCAAACACATTCCATCTCGATTTCGGCATGGATAAGTCATTAAGAAGAAATTCATATTTTTGGGCCAAATTTCATAAAAAAGTAAGGGGAACCCCTTGTAATTTTTGTCAATTTTGGTCAAAAAATAAAATTGCTCCAAAGTTACTAAAAAGATTCTTAAAGAACCCTCAAACACATTCCACTGCGATTTGGAGAAGGATAAGTAACTAGGAAGAAATTAATTTTTTTGCGGGCCAAATTTTCACAAAAAGTAAGGTTAACCCCTTGCAATTTTGATGAATTTTGGTCAAAAAATGAAATTGCCCCAAACTTAATGAAAAGACTCCGAAGAGACCCTCCAAGACATTACAACTTGATTTCGGGATAGATATGTAATAAAGAAGAAATTTATCTTTTTTGGGGCCAAATTTCTTAAAGAAGTAAGGCTAACCCCTTGCAATTTTTGTCAATTTTGGTCAAAAAATGAAATTGCTCCAAACTGACTAAAGAGACTCTTAAGGAACCCTCAAACACATTCCACCTCAGTTTGGGAATGAATAAGTCATTAAGAAGAAATTCATTTTTAGCGGGCAGAAATTCAGAAAAAAGTAAGGTTAACCCCTTGCAATTTTTGTCAATTTTTGTCAAAAAATGAAATTGCCTCGAACTTAATAGAAAGGCTTTTGAAAGACTCTCAAACACATTCCACTTCTATTTGGGAATGGATAAGGTTCTAGGAAGAAAATCATTTTTTGCGGGCCAAATTTTTAAAAGAAGTAAGGCTAACCCCTTGCAATTTTGTCAATTTCGGTCAGAAAATGAAATTCGTCCAAACTTACTAGAAAAGTTCTTAAAAGACTCTCCAACACATTCCACTGCTATTTGAGGACGGATAAGGTACTAGGAAGAAATTGATTTTTTTGCGGGCCAAATTTCACAAAAAAGTAAGGTTAACCCCTTGCAATTTTTGTCAAATTTTGGTCAAAAAATGAAATTGCTCCAAACTTTCTAGAAAGACTCTTAAAGGACCCTTAAACACATTCCATCTCGATTTCGTCATGGATAAGTCATTAGGAAGAAATTCATTATTAGCGGGCAGAATTTCATAAAAAAGAAAGGTTAACCCCTTGTAATTTTTGTCAATTTTGGTCAAAAAATGAAATGGCCCAAAAGTTTCTAAAAAGATTCTTAAAGAACCCTCAAACACATTCCACTTCGATTTGGGGATGGATAAGTAACTCGGAAGAAATTCATTTTTTTGCGGGCCAAATTTTCAAAAAAAAGTAAGGTTAACCCCTTGCAATTTTGATAAATTTTGGTCAAAAAATGAAATTGCTCTAAACTTGCTAGAAAGACCCTGAAGAGACCCTCCAAGACATTCCAACTTGATTTCGGGATAGATATGTAATAAAGAAGAAATTTATCTTTTTTGGGGCCAAATTTCTTAAAGAAGTAAGGCTAACCCCTTGCAATTTTGTCAATTTTGGTCAATTTTTGAAATTGCTCCAAACTTGCTAGAAAGACTCTTAAAGGACACTCCAACACATTACACCTCGATTTCGGGATGGATATGTCATTAAGAAGAAATTCATTTTTTTGGACCAAATTTCTGAAAGAAGTAAGGCTAACCCCTTGCAATTTTTGTCAATTTTTGTCAAAAAATGAAATTGCCTCGAACTTATTAGAAAGGCTTTTGAAAGACCCTACAAACACATTCCACTTCTATTTGGGGATGGATAAGGTTCGAGGAAGAAATTCATTTTTTGCGGGCCAAATTTCTTAAAGAAGGAAGGCTAACCCCTTGCAATTTTGTAAATTTTGGTCAAGAAATTAAATTGCTCCAAACTTGCTAGAAAGACTCTTAAAGGACACTCCAACACATTCTACCTCGATTTCGGGATGGATATGTCATTAAGAAGAAATTCATATTTTTGGGACCAAATTTCTTAAAGAAGTAAGGCTAACCCCTTGCCATTTTTGTCAATTTTGGTCAAAAAATGAAATTGCTCCAAACTGACTTAAAAGACTCTTAAAGGACCCTCAAACACATTCCACCTCAGTTTGGGAATGAATAAGTCATTAAGAAGAAATTCATTTTTAGCGGGCAGAATTTCAGAAAAGAGTAAAGTTAACCCCTTGCAATTTTTGTCAATTTTTGTCAAAAAATGAAATTGCTCAAAACTGACTAGAAAGACTCTTAAAAGACCCTCAAACACATTCCACTTCGATTTGGGAATGGATAAGGTACGAGAAAGAAATTCATTATTAGCGGGCCAAATTTCATAAAAAAGTAAGGTTAACCCCTTGCAATAATTGTCAAATTTGGTCAAAAAATGAAGTTGCCCCAAACTTAATGAAAAGACTCAGAAGAAACCCTCCAAGACATTCCAACTTGATTTCGGGATAGATATGTAATAAAGAAGAAATTTATCATTTTTTAGGCCAAATTTCTTAAAGAAGTAAGGCTAACCCCTTGCAATTTTGTCAATTTTGGGCAAAAAGTGAAATTGCTCCAAATTTGTTAGAAAGACTCTTAAAGGACACTCCAACACATTCCACCTCGATTTCGGGATGGATATGTCATTAAAAAGAAATTCATTTGTAGCGGGCCAAATTTCATAAAAAAAAGTTAGGTTAACCCCTTGTAATTTTTGTCAATTTTGGTCAAAAAATGAAATTACTCCAAAGTTACAGAAAAGATTCTTAAAGAACCCTCAAACACATTCCACTGCGATTTGGAGATGGATAAGTAACTAGGAAGAAATTCATTTTTTGCGGGCCTAATTTTCACAAAAAAGTAAGGTTAACCCCTTGCAATTTTGATAAATTTTGGTCAAAATATGAAATTGCCCCAAACTTAATGAAAAGACTCTGAAGAGACCCTCCAAGACATTCCAACTTGATTTCGGGATAGATATGTAATAAAGAAGAAATTTATCTTTTTGGGGCCAAATTTCTTAAAGAAGTAAGGCTAACCCCTTGCAATTTTGTCAATTTTGGTCAAAAAATGAAATTGCTCCAAACTTGCTAGAAAGACTCTTAAAGGACACTCCAACACATTCCACCTCGATTTCGGGATGGATATGTCATTAAGAAGAAATTCATATTTTTGAGACCAAATTTCTTAAAGAAGTAAGGCTAACCCCTTGCAACTTTTGTCAATTTTGGTCAAAAAATGAAATTGCTCCAAACTGACTAAAAAGACTCTTAAAGGACCCTCAAAAACATTCCACCTCAGTTTGGGAATGAATAAGTCATTAAGAAGAAATTCATTTTTAGCGGGCAGAATTTCAAAAAAATATAAGGTTAACCCCTTGCAATTTCTGTCAATTTTTGTCAAACAATGAAATTGCTCAAAACTGACTAGAAAGACTCTTAAAAGACCCTCAAACACATTCCATTTCGATTTGGGAATGGATAAGGTACTAGGAAGAAATTCATTATTAGCGGGCCAAATTTCATAAAAAAAAGTAAGGTTAACCCCTTGCAATTTTTGTCAAATTTGGTCAAAAAATGAAATGGCTCCAAACTTGCTAGAAAGACTCTTAAAGGACCCTCAAACACATTCCATCTCAATTTTGTCATGATGGATAGTCATTAACAAGAAATTCATTTTTAGCGGGCCAAATTTCATAAAAAAAGGGATAGGTTAACCCCTTGTAATTTTTGTCAATTTTGGTCAAAAAATGAAATTGCTCCAAACTTACAAGAAAGGCTCTTAAAAGACCCTCAAACACATTCCACTTCTATTTGGGGATGGATAAGGTACTAGAAAGAAATTTATTTTTTCCGGGCCAAATTTCACAAAAAGGTAAGGTTAACCCCTTACAATATTCGTCAAATTATGTCAAAAAATAAAATTGCTCCGAACTTGCTAGAAA